GGCCGGACTAACAGGAAGTGCACACAGTGTGTGCACTTCCTGTTAGTCCGGCCGGGTACAGGAGACAGCTGCTCCCTGTACCCGCCGACTATACAGGGCTCGGCCACGCTACAGTGAGGGAGCTGACAGGAGGGAGCGCTAAGCGCTGCCCTCCTGTCAGCCCCTCTCCTCAGGCTGCGCCCGGGCGGTGCGGTCCGCCCTCATGGAAGCACCGCCCGGGCAAAGCTGCAGCCGCCTGAGGCTCACTACAGAGCGCTCGGGCGGCTGCAGCATGGGGGGGCGGGGGCTGGCCATGGCACCCCCCACCCGGCTGGCACCCGGGGCGGACCGCCCCCTCCGCCCCCCCCTTAGTACGCCACTGGGCACCATAACCACTACAGCACGCTTGACACCTCAGGCACCATAACCACTACAGCATGCTTGACACCTCAGGCACCATAACCACTACAGCACGCTTGACACCTCAGGCACCATAACCACTACAGTGCACTGTAGTGCTAATAGTGTCTAGTTTGACATTATCCATTTAATAAAATGGCTTGTTTTATAAATATATGTATATGAACTTAAGTGCATGGGAGGGAATTATCTTATTGCTGGCATTTTATATTCTGAATTAGAAAAATATTCTGAATTTATTCTGAAATATTTGCTTCCAAAATAATAACAATATAATTAATAATAATAAACAAATCCAGCACAGCAGTCATGTAGAGATGATTACTAGGTGAGGAATGTGAGTAATCCGGATGGCTGAGCCTTATTGGAGTTGCAGCCAGTAACATAACATGGAGTAGCCTGTTGTTCCCTGTAGACTCCTTTCTCTCTGTATAAAGCCATTTAGTGTGGGTTTCTTGCACCCTATGAGGGTAGCTGAGGGCCTGCCCGCTGTGTGTGGATACATTGTATCAGGAGCTGTCACTGTACCCTGGCACTGCCTGCAGGGGGTGTCTGTCAGCTGGTGGGCAGGGCCGGAGTGTGAGCAGGCACACACAGGACTGGCTCCAGCACTCACAGAGCACAGAGGCGGCTGCTGCAGGTAGGGAGGCTCCAAGGATTGCAGGGGGTTACTGGGCAGTGCCAGCCTGGCATGGTAACCTTAGTGATGGCAGTGGGTGAGTGGCCACTGAGAGTGTAAGAAGGGACCAGCGACAAAAATGGCATCCGGGGGTGGAGGGCACTGGATGCAGATGGAAGGATGTGGAGCGATCATGGGGGGGGAGGGGGGGGGCACAGAGAGCTGGCTGGTCCTGAGAGATGCTGAATGAAGAGACATGGTCTATAGGTACAGCCTGCCTGACTGATTAAAGCAGAGAGTGCAGGACAAGGGGGAGAGAGTGCAGGACAAGGGGGAGAGAGTACAGAGCAAGGGGAGAGAGTGCAGGACAAGGGAGAGAGTACAGAGCAAGGGGAGAGAGTGCAGGACAAGGGAGATAGTACAGAGCAAGGGAGAGAGTACAGGACAGGTGATAGAATGCAGGACAAGGGGAGAGAGTACAGAGCAAGGGGGAAGGAGTGCAGGACAAGGGGAGAGAGTACAGAGCAATGGGAGAGAGTGCAGGACAAGGGAGATAGTACAGAGCAAGGGAGAGAGTACAGGACAGGGGAGAGTGCAGGACAAGCGGAGAGAGTACAGAGCAAGGGGAGAGAGTGCAGGACAAGGGAAGACAGTGCAGGTAAAACGGAGATTGCAGGACAAAGGGACACAGTATAGGGAAAACAGAGAGTGCAGAGAACACCGATAGTGCAGGGCAAGGGGGAGAGAGTGCGGGGAAAGCAGATTGTGCAGGACAAGGGAGAGTTAATACAGGATAGGCATTAGGCAGAGTGTGCAGGGCTTTGGGGAGAAGGTGTAGGGAAGGTACAATGTGCAGGATTTGAGAAGGGGAGAAGGTACAGTAAATGCAGATTGTGTCAGACATGGGGGAGAAGGTAAAGGAAAGGACCTGAGTAGGATTTTTGGGGGTGCAGGAAGAGGGGGTTAGGAAAGGCAGAATGTTTAGGATTTTGGTGGGGGTATAGGAAATGCAGGGTGTGTGGAATTTGGAGGTAGGGTTGAGGTAAAAGCAGGGGCAGCAGAGCACTTGAAATTTGGAGAGACAGAATTGGAAAGAAAGGGTCCATATTGGGACATGGTGCAGGTCCATTGGAGTGTGAACCATTATTGGACAAACTAACGGGAACAACAACAACAACAAAACATTGTGTCTGCAGCAGATTTAGAACTTTGCACCATTAGATTTATCAATAAACCCTGACACATGTATAGGACATGGAGAGAGAGTGCAGAGACAGACATAGTGCAGGACATAGAGAGAGAGTATATAGACAGACAGAGAGTGCAGGACATGGAGAGAGAGTACAGAGACAGACAGACAGACTGCAGGACATAGAGAGACAGACAGAGTGCAGGACATGGAGAGACAGTACAGAGACAGACAGAGTGCAGGACATAGAGAGACAGACAGAGTGCAGGACATGGAGAGACAGTACAGAGACAGACATAGTGCAGGACATGGAGACAGTACAGAGACAGACAGAGTGCAGGACATGGAGAGACAGTACAGAGACAGACATAGTGCAGGACATGGAGACAGTACAGAGACAGACAGAGAGCAGGACATGGAGAGACAGTACAGAGACAGACAGACAGACAAACAGAGTGCAGGACATGGAGAGAGAGTGCAGAGACAAACAAACAGAGTGCAGGACATGGAGAGACAGTTCAGAGATAGACATTACAGACTACAATAGTGTGCACGATACGGGAAGCGAATAGAAGTCGGAAAATGCACAGAAAGTGAGTGCAGGGTTGTAGAGGACATTTATAGGACTAATAGAGTGTCACCGTATATTTATACAACCAGAAAGGGTACAGTTTATGGATGGGGTGCAGGTTGTGTTAAATAGATGCATTTGGTAACAGTGAGAGATAATGCCCTTTATTATTAGACTCTGAGAGCTGGTGCAGAGCATGTATGGGGTGTCTAGGGTAAGGGGACCCCCCACTCTTGGAGCCATAAAATAGGCAGGCAGTGTATGGTCTATATTCCTGACCTGCAGTGGCAAAAACATAACCCCCATCTGCAGAACTACAACTCATTATACTAAGACTGGCATTGTATCATGGGGCATGGAGCTTCTCGACACCTCTATTAAAGACAGAGTTCAAATGTGGAGAGTGCAGGTTGTACAAAGAGAGTTGTGGTTGTGAAGAGAGAATGGAGTTTGTAGAGAGAGTGCAGGCTGTGGAGAGAGAATAGGGTTTATAGAGAGAGTGCAGGTTGTACAGAGAGTGCAGGCTGTGGAGAGAGAATTGAGTTTTTATAAAGAGTGCAGGCTGTGGAAAGAGAGAATATGGTTTGTAGAGAGAGTGCAGGTTGTGAAGAGAGAATGGAGTTTGTAGAGAGAGTGCAGGTTGTGAAGAGAGAGTGCAGACTGTGGAGAGAGAATGGAGTTTGTAGAAAGTGTGCAGGTTGTGAAGAGAGAGTGCAGGCTGTGTAGAGAGAATGAAGTTTGGAGATAGAGTGGAATTTGTAAAGAGAGTGCAGGCTGTGGAGAGATAATAGGGTTTGTAGAGAGAGTGCAGGCTGTGGATAGAGAGAATGGAAATTGTAGAGAGAATGAAGTTTGTAGAGAGAGTGCAGGCTGTGGAGAGAGAGTGCAGTCTATGGAGAGATAATGGAGTTTGTAGAGAGAGTGTAGGCTGTGGATAGAGAATGAAGTTTGTAGAGAGAGTGCAGGTTGTGGAGAGAGAGCGCAGGTTATAGAGAGAGAGTGCAGGTTGTGGAGAGAGAGTGCAGGTTGTAGAGAGAGAATTGAGTTTTTAAAGAGAGTGCAGGCCGTGGAGAGAGAATGGAGTTTGTATAGAGAGTGCAGGTTGTAGGGAGACAGTGCAGGCTGTGGAGAGAGAATGGAGTTTGTAGAGAGAGTGCAGGCTGTAGGGAGAGAGTGCAGGCTGTGGGGGAGGAGTAAGGAATAAGGATTATGAATGGAATTACTGAATTTGCCTTTGCAGGATGCAGGTTTGTTAAATGTATATTTTAGGTGATGGACACTTTGGACAGACAATCACTTGTAGGAGGAGACCATAAGTGACCTGTTCCTGGAGGAAACTACGGTTATCCACTAAAGTCCGAGCCGTAACAAATTGAAAACGGAATTGCAAGTCCTAGGCTAAACTAGTCAGGCTGTTACCATAGATCAGTTGGAGAACGATTCCTGATCAGAGATTTTAACTTACATTTTGTCTTTCGGATTTTTGTTTGTTTCCCATAAGGTTAGGGGAAGAATAAACCGCTGTTGGTAACATTTAATACTTTTACTTCTGGACTATTCTCTTTTGAAGGAACTTAGTGTGTGTTTTTTTTTTTTATATTTGTTCTTTTTGGTATGACGTACTTAGAAGAGCCCAACAATAACAAATATTTAAACGAAAATGTATTTAGAAATTAGTTTAAATGTAAATAAAATGTTTCGGAATTGTTCTTATTTAGTTAAAATGGGGTCTATCAAGACATCACACAAAATGTACAATGACGTCTCATTCCCTTATTGGGAAAATTAACGTATCCAGACATTGCAATCGGAAATGTTTATTCATTACTTTTGTTTATCTCTTATTATTTTATTATTTATATAGCGCCAGAAAATTCCGTAGCGCTGTACAATGGGTATATCAGTATAGTAGTCCGTCCAAAGGGACAAAATTAAAATAGGAAGGTACAGAGCTACCAGAATGGTTCTGTAATTGTCCTATTACTTCAGATGATCCGAAGCCGAAAGCCAGAATTTATTGGAAAGGACGCACACTGTGAAAGAGGAAATAATTCCCCCAAATAACGGCTTGTTTTCCCATCTGCCATTTGGGAAGAGAGGGTAGCCTGGTGCTGTTGTAGGTCTGAGCCTTCTGCCGTTGTTTATGCTTTACACGGAGTCATTATAAAAGTGATGCTCATGCAGATCCTCTGAAGTGAAGATAAGAACTCTGAAACATGAGTTGTTATAGTGATTCTGAACGTGACACTTGGTCCTTCCCTCAGCCCAGTGTACCGTATTGGAGTAGATATTGGGCCGGGTGGCGCAGCAGAGGTAAGTAGAAACTGCATGAGTATATACGAGTTTGGGCATTCCTTCAATAGAGTCATATGTGCGCATGGAATGTGGGTTAAGGTCATTTGCCTGGAATTTAGAATTAGTCAGATTTTGTTGGGAAAAAAATTAATAAAACAATTGAGGCATCATCAGCCAGCCCCAAATGCATTAGCTGACTCTCTCTACTAATGAATGGCTGGCAGGATTGGCTTTGGACTTCTGCAGTTGTGCAGACGCTGGATGTTGCCTCTGGCCGCCGGAGGAACCTCAATGCCCAACAGGGACCTAGATAAGAGGGAAAACCAGTGCAGAATGATTTGCTTTATAACCAGGAAAAGGGATACTACGGTGGGTTATGGTGCTTGGAGTAACCATTTACATTTTTATTGTGAAACACTCTGACACGTGACATTGTCACAATAAAGGATAACGCTAACCCTTTCTAAAACACTCACTGTGTTAACTTAAAATGCCCTATTGGGCATTACTAATAGATCCCCAATGTAATCAGAGGCGTCTCATTGGCTGTCTCTCACACTTAGGAACACTCTATGGGCATTTCTGATTAGGAGTCGGGATGGGCGCTGCGGGTCATGAACAGCATAACCAGGCCTCCGTCACATTGGCAATGCTAAAAGGACGTTAGCTCAGGTCACAGTGGAGGGAGAGGAGGAGGCACAGGGTAGAGGGGGCGAGACAAAGGAGCAGACTCCCATCACCCTCAGTCAGTAGCCAGATCACACCGGACCCCAGGAAAGCCACCCTCATGCACCCAAAAGGGTATGTAAACAGGGAGTGGCCATTGAATGAATGGGGAGCTACTAATTGGCTTAGAGCCTAAGCTGTAGAGTGTAATCTCTATGCCAATCAGCGTCATCTCTGCCCAAGGCTTCCTGATTCAAGCCTCAGCCAAAAGCCAAAGATGGGCAGAACTAACCGGCACAGGATTTAACAATTTGGGGTTAAACCATTAGTAAATGGTTTGACCCCCTAAAGTTAAGTCATTGCCAGGGATCTTCTGGCACCATAACAACCTCATTACAATGATGTTGGTATTGTGCCCGGAGAGTCCCTTTAAGAAAGGGCTTTTCTGAATTTGGATCTTTCAACTGTTAGTAGATAGCTCCCAAATTCTGTATCCATATATATGGCAATCACACCAGGATACCAAACCAGAGAATAGGCAGATCCGTTATATGGTATCCTTATGTGGGATTGACATATTAAAGGATACCACATTATGGAGCTATCTATTAAAATGCTATAGGTGCCAAATTAAGAAAACACTTTGCTGGATTTTGATCTTGTATCTGCTTAGTAGCTAGCCCCCTAATTTAGTATCCTTAAGTGGGATTGCCATAGGTGAACGGATGATAAGATCTAAACATTTAATCATGATTACGGAACCTTGCTTTATCGTCACAGTCTAGTATTTGGTACACAACAGAAATTAGTTACTATAAGAGGGGTACAAAAGTGGATTCAGGAGCTAATAAGTGGTCCTCGCAACACCACTGGATAAAAGTAAAACACACACTTATACAGAGTACAAGACAAATTAAATAAACAAGGGGGGGGGGGTGGATTTCCCTTCCTTTCCCCTCTTCCACGCCTCCCCCCATACAATACTGTATTACACTGTATAAGCACTAATCACTAAAGCTGATCACAAATGTTTTTTTGGAAACTTTTTGTGATAATCACGTCCTGTGTAAATGGTTGGTAGTGAAGCAGTTGATGCTATATTTTTTCATTTCATTAAGATTTATTAATTGATATATATATTGGTACGATTATAAATGGAGCCGTATGATCCATGCGTGGACAGACGGTATCAGTAGGGTGTCTCGTGCATGGCATCTTTGTCTTCTCTGCTTACAATATTGGGATGTCCAGGTATAGGTCTGCGTGTTATGCATTTAATCCAGAAATCCCCGACCGCGGCTCTTTAAACCACTTGTTACTTTTTTTTATCACTGTGATGTCACCTTCCATTTTGCCTTTTACACAGCAATGTATTATATGTTGGTTTCCATAGCATTATTAGCTAATGTTACTATCTTGTGGGTACAACTATACCAATTTTTTTTTTTTTTAACTTAAGTGGACAGTCCAAGCACTATAACTACTGTGGCATAATGCTGTGGTTATGGTGCATGGACTAAAACAAATAGAATGGGTTGGCTTTGTCCTCGAGTGTCCATTTAAAGCAGAATGGCCAATTCCAGAGGAGTGACAGTATCTCTTTCCTTCACCCCACTATACGGTATTGCAACAATTACAGAGATAAATAAATCAGCAGAGGTAAGTACAAAACGTACTCACTTTGTTTACACTTCCATGTTTGGGGCGACTTTGCCAGTCTAATCCCTCATGCATACACGGGCATCAACAAGTTCTGTATGAGCACATGTGCACTTGGTGTTAACAATAGCAGTGATGTACACACACATGCTCCAAATGTACAGCTCTGCACGAGTTAAAGGGACACTATAGACACCAGAACCATTACAGCTTAATGTAGTGGTTCTGGTGTCTATACCCTATCCCTGCAGGCTGAGCACTGTAAACACTGGACGGTTTTGCATTAACAGGCCTAGACTTTGAGCTAGCCCTGGAGACTAGTGTATCAGATCTGGGTGTCAGGTTTAGCAGAATACCGACTGTTTTTTTACTAACAAAACCGGGCTTAGACACCTAATACCGAGAGGAATGCCTGTGGCACAGCTCTGGTATTTTAATAAGGTTAAAATGAAACTCTATTCATCTCTGCGAGGTCTCAGCTCTTTGTAAATAGGGATTATTCTCCAGGATTAGAACTTTACCCTCACTTCTGCGAAGGGCTCAAACTGGAACCGTGCTGAGCAGGCTGAAATTTAACCTCAAAACAGTTAGACGTCAGCTTTCCATTGATAAGCAGTGAATCATATATATATAATTTGCACTTACATATATTTTATGGAGCATTGATCTTGTAAACTGGAGGACCTTTTAAAAGTTAGATCAATATGTAGATCCTTAAAGGAAGACTCCAAGCACCATAATCACTACAGGAGTAGCTCTCTGTGGGACAATTCAAGCTGTTTTAGAACTATTTGACTTCAAAGCTGGGATTTGCCTGGTGCTGCTCCCTGCCTCCACTACAGCCTTTAGTAGAGCCAGATGTTTTGTGTCTGAGCTACACCGGGCAGCACAGTGCTTATCTCATTCTCTGAGAACGATCAGCTGACTCTCTGAGTCAATGAGCTAGCCCTGGGCCCCGCAGGGCCTAGCCTAGGAGAGCTAACAGTGGCCCCTAAGTAAGAGGTTCCGGGCTGTCCTGTCTGCTGAGAGAAGGTGAGAAGTGGCAGCAGGCGGACCCCAGGAGAGAAATCAAACTGTTCACTCCTGGCACCATAACCACTACAGCGCACTGTTTGAGTGCCTGGAGTTCTTAAATAGTTGGAGTTGTTTAGTGTTTAGGAATAGCAGAGAGTTCAGACATTTTGTAAATAATGTGTCAGTCCCAAAGGAAACATGGTGAATCTAACAAATGTATTTAAAGTAATTAAAAACACTGTAGCTTTAGGGATTTAAACATATATTCAAAAATGAGCACTATAACGTGAGGAATACAAAGCTGTGTTCCTAACAATATAGTGTCCCTCTGCCCTCGCCACCCCCACCCACTGTGGCAAAGAAAGGATTAATGAAAGGATTAAATAACCCTTTAAACACTTATTCGATTCCAGCGCCAAAGTCTGTAAGCGCTGGCTCTGCCTTCTCTGCCATGATCTTGAGGGGGAACCTATTACAAATGCATGGCTGGCACATAATAGGCCTTCCCGTTAGGAAAGCATTGACTCTGTGCTTGCATATAGAGATTTTGCAAGATGCAATATGTTCTCATGCGGAGCTCTAGGACGTCCATCGTCATTTCACGGAGTTTAACTGCAAGAAACGTCTCTAGGGAGGGGTGCTAGAGGGAACTACAGTATAAGGAATACAGATTTCTATTTCTTACACTACAGAATCCCTTTAAATAGTCCAGACCCAAATATAATATAGGACAGACTGAGAAAGAGTTCAGTAATTACTTTGTCTCTAAGTAAACCCCAGCACACAGTGTAAGGGGCTGCAGTGCTGATCTCATCAGCATTTAACTAAAACCATGTGTGGATCCAGGGAGAAACACTGCCTGCTGCGCATGTGCTCATCCATTGAACATTGATTGCGGCAGAGCATAGTCTCAGTTTTATTTTATTTTTATAGTTGCAAGGGAGTGGACTACAGCTCACATCATCCTCAGACTGGTGGGATACTGCTAATGATACATGGAAAGGTTTAATCACTGAGTAATGCATTGTAATAAATTATAATCCACATTGCAATTGAGGCTAAAATGGCCAGGCTGTGACTATAATTGGAGATTTTTTCAGATTAGCTATGTTAGCCTAAATTTGCCATTCAGATTTTAAAGGGACACTCCAAGTACCATAACCACTACAGCAACCTGTAGTTGTTATGCTGCCAGGAGTGACATGGGCACCTTCCCTTTGTTAGAAGTCAGACCGTTTAAGAATGGTTTGGTATCGTACCATGGGGCTATAGAAACTCTTTAATATGCTAAGCTCTGCCATGCTGTGTTGACTCATTGATTCAGGGCAGGGATAGGCAACCCTCGGCCCACCAGATGTTATGGACTAAATCCCCCATAATGCTCTTACACCCATAATGCTGGCAAAGCATCATGGGAGGTGTAGTCCAAAACATCTGGAGTGCCGAAGGTTGATTATGCATTAACTGAGCCCTCTATGCCAGTGGACTCCTCCCTGCATTGCCAGGCTCAGCTTAGTCTGGCTGCAGAGGAGAAACCATCCAACCAATGAGCTAGACACTGCATGGCCATTCTTCATGCTAGCAGAGATGCAGGGAGCAACACTCCGTAAGAAGTCAGCTCATTCTAATCCACAATGGGAGGGGGACTGCCAAAGCATTCCTGCCACCATAAACACTGCAGGGTGTTGTAGTGGTCATGGTGTTTGGCGTTTTATTTTAAACTATGTTCCATTATGCAAAATATTGTATGGAATTAAAGGACCACTATAGGCACCCAGACCACTTCAGCTCTAGGTTTAACCCTTTTTGCTGTAAACATAGCAGTTTCAGAGAAACTGCTATGTTTACAAATGGGTTAATCCAGCCTCTAGTGGCTGTCTCATTGACAGCCGCTAGAGGCGCTTCCGTGCTTTTCACTGTGATTTTCACAGTGAGAAGACGCCATCGTCCATAGGAAAGCATTGAGAATGCTTTCCTATGCGCATGCGCATTCAGCCAGGGACGTCAGAAGAGGGAGGAGAGTCCCAGCGCCGGCGCTGGAAAAAAGGTAGGGGATTAACCCCTTCCTCCCCTCTCAGCGCCAAGGGAGTGGGACCCTGATGGTGGGGGTACCGTCAGGGCACTACAGTGCCAGGAAAATGAGTATGGTCCTTTAAGAAATGGTAACCTGTTTCTTGCTGTCCTCTAAAAATAAAAGTTAGAGATAGTTTATCATAGGTAGTAAAGACCCCTAGATTGTAAGCTCATGGGCACTGTTGTTTTTTGCCTTCCTTTTAATGTGTCTAATTATTTATTGCCTGAATGTTTAATTACCAGTATTTTACATTAATTACAAATCACTCTGGGTAAGAGCGCTATGTAAGAACTAAATACATTTTTGTTTGAATTGCCACATTCCTGATCTTTTTATTGTTTATTAAGTCACAAAGTGATAGAATAAAAAATGAATACACCGCAGAGGTTACAGAAAAACACTGTAATAGTCATACGTACATGAAACAAGAAAACGTGAAATGAGCAGACAGGTTAAATGATAAATGTACATCATTCAGGGGGGTTACCTACCCGCAGTTTTTTATACTCAAGCAAGAATCTAAAGAAAAGGGAATAAGAGGGAGAGGAAAGGAGAGGAAAGGTGCACTGGCAGACCCTACACAAATTTAACAAGGATCAACATTTTCCTCAGTCAGTCGAGTAAATTAAAACATTGCAGACTTGTCCACCGAAATCTAATGGCCACTGTAACAAGCAGGAAAACACCAAGCTACACTAAACAACATTATAAACCATCTCAGGGATGCTCATCTGCATGCTCGTCATCCTCATCGGGGTCTCGACCTGACCGCAGTTTGTTGTCGTAACCGACTTGAGTGGGCAAATGCTCACATTCAATGGCATCTGGCACTTTGGAGAGGTGTTCTCTTCACGAATGAATCCCGGTTTTCACTGTACTGTGCAGAGGGCAGACAGCGTGTATGGCGTTGTGTGGGTGAGCGGTTTTACGATGTCCATGTTGTGGATCGAGTGGCCCATGGTGGCCATGGGATTATGGTATGGTATGGGCAGGCATATGTTATGGACAACGAACACAGGAGCTTTTTATTGATGGCATTTTGAATGCACAGAGATACCATGACGAGATCCTGAGGCCCATTGTTGTTCCATTCATCCACGGCCATCACCTCATGTTGCAGCATGATAATGCACGGCCTCATGTTGCAAGGATCTGTACACAATTCCTGGAAGCTGAAAACATTCCAGTTCTTGCATGGCCAGCACACTCACCAGACATGTCACCCATTCAACAATATTTGAGAGAAATTGAAATTTTGTGTACATAGAAAAAGTCTTAGGTCTTTCAGTTCAGCTCATGAAAAATGGGGGCAAAAACCAAACTGTTGCATTTATAATTGTATTCAGTGTATATTGTATCCCTGTGTGGCCTCCATTCTGGTAACAGACAAGCCTAAGGAGTGGAAGGTCTCCAATTCCATAAAGCTATCCCAAGCAAGTGGCTAGACCACATATCTCAAAATACCCCATTTGGAATACTCTGGGTTGCCTACTTTTGAAAATGGTATGCCATGATGGAGGAAATGTTATCACCCAGGCCGCTATACTTTGTCAAAGATAACACAGGCCCAGAATATCACTTTGTCAAATTTCCTGGTATAAAGACTAACATTTGCAAGCCCTATATTTTTCCCTGTAACTTTCTAAAACCCCATAAAACCTGCACATGTGGGGTACTGTTGTATTTTAGAGACATTGCTGAACACAAATACAAGTGTTTTAGAGCAGTAAAACATATCATGACGATATTATCAGTGAAAGTGCTGTATATTTGTGAAAAAAGCAAAAAACTAATAGGAACACTAACTTTGGCCAGGATTTGTGACTAAATGGCTACTTAAAAAGACTGTACATACCCCATTTTGAATACCCTGGGTTGTCTAGCTTTGCAAATGGTATGCCATGATGGGGTAATTTTCATTTCTGGGCTGCTATGCGGTCTCAAATGCAACATAGGCCCAGCAAACCAATCTAGCAAATGTGTAAAAACTGAAATGGGCAAGCCCTGTATTTAATTCGGTAACTTTACAAAACCCCATAAAACCTGTACATTGAGGATACTGTTGTACTTGTACGATATCACAGCATACAAGTATGTGTAATGTATTGCAGTACAAGCTAACAGTATGACATTCACAGTTAAAATGTCACGCAGAACTTGGAAAATAATATTTCTTAATTCCTCACGTTTTAGATTTTAATCATATTAAATTGGGTTCCATATATAAATATTTGATAAGAAATGAAAGCTCTGTTTTTCTTGAACAAAATGATATATAATAAGTGTGGGTGCACTTAATATGAAAGCGGTAAATAATGGTGGAGCAAACATTAGTGCAAATTCCAGGTTTTGTTTTGAGAAGAACTTGGACAATTGTCTCCATCCTTAAGGGGTTAATGTTGTGGCTGATCCATGTAAGTTAAAGCAGAGGATAATCCAACTTTGAAATCTACGACATACAAAACAATTTTCTGGATCACAGACTAAAACTAAGCTGCACAGGAAAGTCCCATCAAATATGTATATAGTTGTCAATGACCTCTCCACACCACTGACATTCATTTTTTATTTTTAAACCTATTCTAATAGCTTCCATGTTGGAAATATGATCCCATAATTTGTCACACTCTTGAGATTGCCATTTGTAATACATTAAAAGCAAGACTAAGCTTTTTTGACATTGACTAAGCATTCCTATGTTCCCATTGAATGGATTCTAGAATGATAATTTAAAAAAAAAAAAAAAGGATGTTAGATACCTCCTGTCTTTAAGAATCTTCAAATGTGTTCAGGGTGTTGGTGGGGTGAGGGACCAAAAGAAGGCATGTCACACCAGCACTCCAATATAAAGCACTGAATGTCCAATTTCTTCTTATTTTAGGGATGAGGGGAGCATTTTTCTTCATCGGGATGAGACATACGGGATACTTTGCCTGCGTGGTAGGGGGTGGAGAATTGTTACTTCTCTATCCTATGCATCGAAACAAGGACTTGACCAGGTACCTGACCGAAGAAGATTTTCGGGATATAACGGATTTCAATGATCTCCCTAATGCACTTTTTGCTTGCAACGTCCACCAGTCGGTGTTCGAAGATGAACTAAGCAAGGTATGCTATCAGTATTCATTTATTATTACTCTTAACTCATAATGTTGGCACGTTTATAAATTAACCTGGTTACATCCCCTGGGACAACTGGTCCTGTTACTACCTGGTTTGGTTAGCTCAGTGGAGCTAATCTCAAAAGGCAGCCAATTGCCCAGAGCACCTGCCTTGCAAAGACTTCTCAGTGAGCTGCATCGAGAAGCCTTTGATTGGACAGCCACAGAAAGTCTGGGCGGGCTTGGAAAGGGAGCGCTTGCAAAGGCTGCAGATAAGAGAACTGCAGCTTTTACAAGTTATTTTAGATGTACTCACAATAAAAAAAAAAAATCATTGGGATATATCTACTAAACAGTGATTGTTATTTAGTTGTATTTTGGAAGTGGAGTGTCCCTTTAACATCTCATTGTCTCCCTATGCTGACTGCCACGTGCCAAGAACGCAGTTTATAGCAATGATTGACAGGAAGCTCAGATGGACACGCTCAGTTGCGGGATAGAGTGATATGGATTTCTACATTTCATTTAATATTTCATACTTCACAAATACACATTAGTTAAATGTAGAGATAAGGAAACACGATGTTAAAATCCACATGAATGACACTTCCCCTTTGAAAATGATGCAATAGTCGTCATGGTGAATGTTTTTAAACTGAGAATATATTGTGTAACATTGGAATCATAGTTTTGCTGCAGTCAGACTATTCATTAAGGAGTTAACTAATGGTATTTCTGTCTCTAATTGGGGAGCATTTACTAAGCAGAGAATTGTGCTGAATTGGAAATAAATAACATTCAAAATAGCAGACTAGAGGAAACTGCTAAAACTGCGGTTTTATTTGTCATTTTCTCAAGGAATGCGTGAGATATATTGAGCGCCTTATTGGAGTCAAATAAGTAAAAAAAAAATACCTGTGACGCATTTAGAACACACTGCAAGTGAGTCACTACTATTTTAAATCAGGTCAGTGGTGACATCATGAGTGAGAAACAATTCCTATTGGCTACGATTGTCATCACAGCAGTTCTGTTAAAAAGCATCACTCAAAACAAATTATAAATGTGTAATTGCATACTCATCTATATTCTGAATATATTGTCGCATTAAAGTTTTGTAAGACACAAGACAATAACAGCTTTCACGATTTTGTCTAGTAATTGTCTGATTTGCAATTTACACACAGGATCTCAGATATTACTTAGAAAACAGGGAACGAGCGGTAGAAAAATTGCAATGATCAGCTGTTTTATTGTTTATTTGGGTCATTCCCGGGGATGGATTAATGCACAAAACCAATAATAATAGAAAGTGTTTCTATTTAAAAAAAAATAATAAATAAATTTCAATATTTTTAAAATTTTTAGGTTGGTTTAAAAATGATGGTGAATTCAGATCACCATTTCAGTGGCAGCCAGGCATGTGCACTGCCAACCAGTGTCCTTCACCTACACAAAATACAGCACATATTGAATATTAGATTTTTGCGTCTATCCGCCATTCTATGGACAATGTGTATATTGAGAGCGGTAACATTAAGGCCAACCATGTATAAAAGCGGGTCAGTTTAATATTATACCATTCACAATGTAAAAGTACCAGTTCTAGGGCCCGAGAGTTGCGGTATACACAGAATTATAGTTCATTCCTTGTGCTGGGGCAATTTGAGCTGTTTGTATTTTTAGGACGTTATACACTTTTGCCCCTTTGTACTATTAATAGCTGTTGGCCTGAGCATGCTGGAAAAATGGCCTCAGTGTGAATCATAAAGTCACAGCTTGCAGCCCAACGTGGAATGCAAGTTTCAGGAATTGGCTGCCAGGGGGTACTTTGCAAAAATGTTCTCTTATCAGAATCTCTCTACGTTTTAACGAGGCCAGTTATTGCTGCCAGCACAAGATCAGTTTGTAACAAGCGAGCCTGCAGCAGTTAGATTTTGCCAAGGGTGTCGTGTTTGGTACTGCAGTGATTCTGGACTACACTTCCCATCATTCTTAGCTTTGAATCGTGGTAAACTAGCACCAAAGGTTTGCATTGCTAACACTAACCCATGGTGTCATAGGGTGATTTATTTCAGGAAAGCTACAAGTACAATGTTTTCATGGAAAAATGTAACAAAAACCCCATAGTAATATGCCTTTATCCAATTATACTGGTTTGATTTACGATTTCTCCAATTATGGACCACTGTCCTGCTGGCAAAACAAATTGCCATTATCTAAAAGAAAATCTATTACCTCATTTATTTTTTAAATTAATTCAGCAGTTTCTTTATAAAAATACTGTCTGTCACCGCATATACCCATTAAGAAGAGCGTTGAATTTTACAATTAGTTTGCAGTTTGGTGAACTGAGCCATGTCTACCGATTGGCAAAGCCGTGGTCAGCACATGTGAGCAGAGAAAGCTCGGACCACGTTTTGCACGTGGCACAAAGTTTGGACAAAATGTATATAAAGTGCCTGATTGATAGCTCTGAGCGTCAGACCTCTACACCATTACGTTTGCTATTATGTGGAGCTTTTATGCTGCCTGGTGAGGTGACCCTTTATTAACCAAATCCAGTCTACATGACAGATCTGGACTGGGGTAAACAATGCCAGATAGAGGGACTGTTCCAGGAAATCCAGTACATTTAGTAGCTATGACAGTAGTGATGGTTGCATTAAATATCAATAAACCATGGTATTGTCCTGTACATTATTAATTGTACTAATATGCATTATATGTTGACTCCTTTAAGAATTAATAACAATTGTATCTCAGAACAATATACGGGTTCCTTCACATTCCACTTATTAGGCTGCTGCTTTATGCACATATTACAGCGAACTTAAAAATCAGCAGAGTATTTTCTCCGAGAGATATTTTTATGTAAGGCTATTTGTAAATCCTGATGAGGCTCTGCTGCAAATCAAGGTTGTTTTTTTTTCCCCAGTAGCTATTTTAATTTCCGTGCTAAATTCGTCTTTTTTTTTCCCCATTTCAACTAGGAGAGAACTCTTGTTTCTTCCCAGACTGCATTAATATGTGTCTGGCATGGTTAAAAAAAGAAAAGATCTGCACACTTTTCTGGCAGTGATAGTGTTAATTCAGCAGTTATGTGGTTTGGACACATCCCTACCTGGTCACTGCTCTCTCCGATGGCATAGGATGCCAATAGCTCTTCTTTCATAACCAACCTAACTGAGCATCATGGGAAACTGAGTTCAAAGCATTTGGGGTGCCAAGGTGAGCTGTCACTGGCCTAGGTTTCAGTATCCCATGTGGTGTATTCATTACAGGTTACTGGCTTTGCTTTGGAACACTGATGGATGATAGGAGTTAGAGAGACTATACACATTTATCAGGACACTCGGTGTATCATTAATCAGGAGGAATGTGTATTTAGAAAGCTCAAGTACTGTGGTTCTTAACAGATCCTCAAATTACACAACATAGCAATCTGTTCTTCAAATGGAAAATTAGCTCAGAGATGCATTCTTCAAGTGTGATATAATTAACTTTAAAATATATTTTGTAGAACACCTTTAAAGTGGCACTGTCACCTTAGCTGCAAAGTTAGTATTTTATAAAGATAGAATCTTTACGAAATACTCATGTTGAGTGTGTTGGAAATTCCCACCCAGTCAAAAGAGATCCTGAGGACTTGGAAAGTAGGGCAAGTTAAACTTGCCTTTGCCTGCCCCCCAGCCACCGGACCCTCGTTGGTGATGTTACCATTGCGGTCTTTGCAAATTGCTGCTTTAATTAGATCTTTCCAGTATCCAAGGGACCTCAGTGCTCTAGGGAAACCAACAGTAAACAACATATTTTGGCAACTTACCTGGGGCGAGATGAATGTGATATGCCTGTTATTATCAATCATGACCCTCTGAAATGGCATGGGAATCATTTTTGTGCTTTAAGAGTTACTGTTTTAAAAATAGGTGGTAACTAGAATTGAACATTTGTTTTAGGACAAAAACAGATCGGTTTGAATTTTTGGCAATTGGTCCATTTGTCCAAAAGATCATTTTTTTTTTGCTGTAATTTTTGTTTTTGTCATCCTGTCCTTTTTTACATTTTTTTAATTATGACGTGACATTATGGATTTTTATTTGGCCTTTTTTGGGGCTTAAGAAGAGAAGATGGGAAAAAAATGGTAAGTATGACATTTCTTTTACAGGTATTTAGTTTATTGGTCCACCCTCACTATTGTTAGGGTGAGGGGGGTAGGTAGGGTATTATTTGGAGGGGACCCCTAGTCACTGGGGGGGGGCTCTCAATTCAATTAAACAATATTAGCACCCACTGTTGCCAATGGATGGGGACTAAAATGGACAATAGTTCCAACCGTCTTTATTATCACAATAGGTGGGAGCTGGGGGGACACCCTTATTGAATTTTCGACTAAAGAGCAATAGCTGCCCAGTCGCTAGTCTTTTTTTATGACAGTGAGCAGCCACTGGTAACAGGTAGCCCCTTTATTTATTAATATTTTTACTGTTAACAGTGGCGACTGTTTATAACCATTGTAGCCACTAATGTAAGAAGGACACTAAAGTCACTCAGTGCACTCCATTTCCTTTTAATCTTGCGATTTAAAACATTACAGTTTTTTAGAAGCTGACAGCCACGAGAGGCGCTTCCGCTGCCCTGACTGAGTAAAACGTGTAATAGATGCATTGAGAATTAGCTTTTCTAAGACTTTGCAGATGTTTTATTGGAATAAGCACAACATGACAATGTTTGGGCTGATATGAACAGCCTATTTCAAGTCAACCCCCCTCAGCCCACTTGGGCAACATTCAAGAACATTTTTCAAAACTCCGGTTTATTGTAGAATAACCCTAACCTATGAAGGAAAACATGTATTTCCACTTCTCAACCAGAAGATGGAGACAGAATTCAGCAAGTCATGTCAGGCCAGTAGTTGTAGAATTGAAGACCTGGCTGGGTGCTATGTTAGACAAGCACCCTCTGTCTTCACGTGGCTTGGCTTAACATGCTGGGAGTTATTGCAGACTCAGAGAATGGTGATGGTTATTATTTTACTTTGCTTCTGTCGCATTGAATCAATGCTTTCCTGTGGGGAAAAATCTGATGCTTGATGTCCTCATGCAGGACATTGTCAGATACCGGACAAAAGGTCTGTTTGGATGCAGGAAGCACCACCTTAGTGCTGTTTCTCTGGAACTGCAATGTTTAGCTTTGCAGCACTAAGCGCAATAGGAACACTGCACTCCACTGGGTGCCTATAGTGTCCCTTTAATTAATTAGTATCAGATGGTGCCACACTGTAACACCACGGCTCTTTCATAGGACGTGGACAGGGTTGTGAGCTGAGAAGTGCAGAGTTTGGTTATTTTTCAGATCAGTTCTCTTATGTTTGGCTCATAAAATTCCTCTGTGATTCACATTATTAGCTATCATCTGACCTGAACCCCATTCAGCAGAATGTCTCCTGCTATTTGGAAATGGATCTCATTGAATCAGTGATGTTTGTTTGCAAGTAGCTGTAGACAAATGTACCAAATGGTAACCCGATGGTATCTGAAAAGCTGCAGAAAAAAAAGACATACAAGTGGACCGTGCTTAGAATGGGGCTTTAGGTGATTTTGGAAGCAGCACAGAACTGCAGCGCCACACGATGGCCTTGGAGGAAAATACATAAAACATATACACATATGTGCTTTTATTGTCCCAGTTGCTGAGCTCTCCTGAACATCCTAACTGTTCCTCGGTGCTGTGGCCATTGCAGCTCATTGGGCAAGTCCCTGAATTCCCCGATGGCCAGTCTCGGCCAGAGTGATATTACATTACACACTACAAATTGGGGCAGAAAGGGTGAATATCATTTGCTTACATTCCCCATTTTGTTAGGAAAGTCCAGAATTTGGGACCATGACATGTCGTATTGTTTTTTTTATATATTTTTCTCTTATAAACTACTTCTGGAGACAGTGATACAAATTGTATTAAATAGTAAAATTAGGTGAAATCAACTATATATTCTACTATATACAGTTCTTTCTAAGAAAATACAATTCAACATATATGGGAGGGGAGGATATGATCTGTATTGTTGTATAAGGATATAGGCTGTAGGAAGGATAGGTGCTGTAATGTATGGCACGTTAATTTTTAAAAAAATATAAAACACGTTATTTAGTGCTGGAATAGGGCAGTATTGTGGGGGATTAGGGCTTTAGTGTGGGGGCACATACACACACAGTCAAACACAATCAAAAACACTGTTAGACAAACAACCACGGACACAACCTCACACACTCATAGACCTTCTCACACAAACACAATCAAAAACACTGTTAGACACACAAACTACAGGCACAACCACACACACTCACACAGTGGCGTACTAAGGGGGGGGCGGGGGGGGCGGTCCGCCCCGGGTGCCAGCCGGGTGGGGGGTGCCATGGCCAGCCCCCGCCCCCCCCCATGCTGCAGCCGCCCGAGCGCTCTGTAGTGAGCCTCAGGCGGCTGCAGCTTTGCCCGGGCGGTGCGTCCATGAGGGCGGACCGCACCGCCCGGGCGCAGCCTGAGGAGAGGGGCTGACAGGAGGGCAGCGCTCAGCCCTCCCTCCTGTCACTCCCTCACTGTATCGTGGCCGAGCCCTGTATAGTCGGCGGGTACAGGGAGCAGCTGTCTCCTGTACCCGGCCGGACTAACAGGAAGTGCACACACTGTGTGCACTTCCTGTTAGTCCGGCCCGGTACAGGAGACAGCTGCTCTCTGTACCCGCCGACTATACTGGGCTCGGCCACGCTACTACACAGGTAGGGGAGGGGGGAAGAGAAAGGAGAGGGGGGGTGAGAGAAATTAGGAGGGGGGAAGAGAAATTAGGAGGGGGAAAGAGAAATTAGGGGGGAGAGAAATTGAAATTAGAAGGGGGGGATAGAAATTGAAATTAGGAGGGGGGAAGAGATATTAGGAGGGGGAAAGAGAAATTAGGGGGGGAGAGAAATTAGGAGGGGGGGTGAGAAAGAGAAATTGGGAGGAGGAGAAGGAAATTGGAGCGGGAGGAGAGATTGACATTCATCACATACACACAATGCACCCCTTGCACACAGAAAAACACACAGACACACATACACAAGCAATGCAACCGTTACACACAATGCATCCCTTACACACACAGAAACACACAATGCATTCATTACACACACTCAATGCACCCTTACACACATTCAATGCATCCCATACATACACAGAAACACACCTTGCAGTCCTTACACATACAAACACAATTTCACACAATGCATTCCTTACACACATATCAGGACATCCCCTACACACTCCACCCCCTGTGAACAAACTCATTGGTGGAACATGAAGGTGGACCCTGGGACCCAGACCTTGAGCTGTGTAAAGGACCCCCAAAAAATGGAGCTGCTTCCCGTTCTCCCAGAACATTGATTTTTGTGACCACAGTTACAAACCGCCTCCAGAGAGCCTGTTCTGCACCAGACCAGTGGAGCCAGACTGCAGCTAGAGCCCATCATCATCCTCATCTGGTTGTAAGTAGGCAATCTAGTATATTATTCGTGGCACTAAGCTCTAATTTACCTCACATTAAAGAAACACTATAGTCCCCAGAACCACTTCAGCTTAATGTAGTGGTTCTGGTGTCTATAGCCTGTCCCTGCAGGCCTTTTAATGTAAACACGGCGGCACTGCAGCACTGGCGTTAGTTAACATGGCAAATCATATGGGTGGGGCATTGTGATGTCACATGGGGGGGGGCGGCAAACTTTACTTTTGCCTAGGGCGGCAAAAATCCTTGCACCGGCCCTGGCTGGAGGGGGCTGTGTGAGCTGTGGCCGCACAGTGTCCCATGGCAGTTAGGGTGCCGTGCGGCCAGTACAGCTCACACAAGCAAACAGCTGATAAACTGGCCGCACGGAGGAAATGTGTATGTGTGACTGTCTGCCTGTGACTGTATGTGACTGTATGTGACTGTCTGTCTGTAACTGAGTGTGTGACTGTCTGCCTGTAAATGTGTGTGTGGGGCTGCAGGGATTTTGTAGAAGGGGGCGGGGGTTTTGTATTGGGATAGGAGTCTTTATAAGGGGGGATAAGCAGGGGATTTGTGGAAGGGGGTTGCGGGGGTTTTGTAGACGAGGCAGTACAGGATTTGTAGAAGGGACAGGACAGAGGTTTTGTAGGAGGTGCAGGACAGGACAAGGGTTTTGTAGGAGGGGCTGACAGCGGTTTTGCAAAGTTTACAAATTGTAAAAAAAAAAAAAAAGAGAGCCTTTAAAATTTTTTACAGGTTTTTTTTTTTTTGGGGGGGGGTGCCAAGCACAGGATCCGCCCCGGGTGCCAAATGCTCTAGGTACGCCCCTGCACTCACAGACTTTCTCACACACATACACACTCAAAAATGAGTTTTCTGGGGGGATTTTTACATCCATCCAGTCTCCCTACCTTTAGGAGAACTGGAGTGGATCCTCTGCCTGGGGTCCAGTGTGGTCTCCTTGAAGGATATGTGACCCATATGTATATCGGCTGCATGGCTAGTCATCATGTGCGCCCTGTAGTAATGCTTGGGCCAGAGTAATGTGACATTCCAGCTTCTAGCATCTCTATAGGGCACATGAGGAAGCTTTGCAGGCAATGTGCATATGGAGCTCCCTCGCCTCCTGTACCACTGCTCCACATTTATGCAGAGTAACAAGCAGAAGACATTTGGCGCAGCACAGCGTATTTTGAGTGGCTGCTCAGTGCCAAGCAAAACCAACACAGTACCCCCTGCAACTTTAAGAAGGGCATTTTCAAATCTATATTATTATTGAAATCAATCAAAAAGTGTTCTGTTACTCTTTTTTCAAGCATTATTGCACTGTGGTTCGTTTTGTTTATATGTTTTAGAGATATCAGTTGGATCCCATAATTTTATACTATATTCTATGGATATTCTTGTCTGAAGTCTCCGAAATCTTTATTTCCTGTATTGATTTTCTCACAAGACAATAACGCCATATTGAACACAAAACACGGCCAGTTAAATATATTCAGATAAATGAACTATATAAGCTGGCAGTGTAAGACAGCTACAGTTATATCTGCTACGTGAAGATTAACATCTTCAGCCTCTTGGTGCATTTGTTTCCAATTAGTTTTATAAAACGCAATCATTATCTGATGTAGTTTATGATGCATGGAGAGCTTCCGAGGTATAAATGTTGTGTCTCTCTGGAATTAGTTGCGTCAAAGCTTTGGCCGTAGACCATGTAAGCAGGCAGGTGTAATGGGAATCCTGTGCTGCGCTGTCAAGCCTTTCTTAATGTTCTGCGCTTTTCAGGGACTCCGCATGCTCATCGGGACAATGTTGCCAAGTCCTTGAAACCATGCAATCAGTTATGTTGTGTCTCAGTGCAATTACTAACCTGGTGGTACATGAGGTTAAACTCTATAAATACATCATAACTGGTTGAAGAAAAACGTAAACACTAAAAGATGAATTGTCACGTCTCACAGCTGCAGTGGTTTTTGGGGGATGAGGAGGACCGTTTATGCAGCCCTAGTCACACCTCCCCTGGCTGTGACTGACACAGCCTCCATAATAAAAAATAGTTTCAGATCTTATTTACCGGTACTTGAGAAGTGTTCCAAATGTGTTTATTTGTGCTATAGGATGAGGCATGTATTATGTTATGACCTGCACTCCAATATAGTCCTATATCTTAATTACATGCAGCTACCTGGTGTCTCCTGTACTGGCTTACGGTCATAATACCTTAACAAAGAATGTAAACATGCCCCTGTGTGCTGAGTGTCTGGATAGATGTTGTTTTCAGAATTCCCAGACTCCTTTGTGCCTGAGGTTGTCCTAATGAACAAATCGAATGTATTTGTAGAATAGTCCGCTTGAATGTTAAAGCAGCATTGTCCCCCGATGGTGACATTGCCACTGGTGGTCCGGTGGCCAAGGTGGGCAGGTTAAGGTGAGATTACTTACCTGAACCTGTCCCTTGCGGGTACTGCCATTTTGGACAGGCATGGTCTTCCTTGGCGCTGACGTCACTGCTGTACACTGCGGGATCCTCCATAGACAAAGCCAATTCCCTGCAGCCGTCACTGATTGACACTGGGGTTCCTACTTTGTCTCAGTATACCTTTTCACTGGGTTGGAATTTCAGTGAAATTCCAAGACAATAATAATGAGTATTTCATAAATATTCTATCATTATGAACTACTCATTTTTCTGGGGAGGGAGGGCGCGGGGCAGTGGAGCTTTAAGTGCCCTGAAGAGCATACATGTTAAATGCCACCATACAGTCTCAGTTCAGTCTCGTATGCTTTTTGTCTGTGGGATTTGTGTGCTAAGACACTCCTGATTAACACAGTCAGGGTTATTAACTAAAGTGAGAATTTATAGGAAATTCATAGTAAATTTGAAATTTAAGTTTAAAATAGCCATACATTCTCTAAGTCAGCTATTTGAAATTCACTTTGAATTCTCACGTTAGTAAATAAGCCTGTGTTTATTCCAGATGATTGGAGTGCAATGCTTTTTTTGGATCATTCATACTCCTTATAAGCGAGAACCTTATAGCTACACCTAAATAATCTGCTCGTTCACATTGAAGTTCATAGAGAACCGTCTCATTCAATCTGTGATACAGAGGGGTTTAGTAATAATGCTGTGGAGGTAGGTAAAAAAAAACATAGCTACCTCTGCTGCATTTTGGGAGTTTGCTGCAACAGATTCCTTTTTTTTGTGCTCATGAGTTTTTGGAAATGTACTCAAAATGCTGTCATGATTGACATTCCTCCACTAATGTTGTCTGAGTGTGAGTGCTGTGCATCTGGAACTGCAGGGGTTAATCTAATTAACATATTGTGCCCTGCATGGCAAGTACAGTACAAAAATATAAAAGCCAAACAAACCTGTGACATTTTCCAAAAATCAATAGCAAATGCTGCAAAGGTAATCATCCCCTTTTGTGGCGACAACTGCGCACCCCCCCTCTCAAGTGCTGGGTGGAGGAGGTGGAAGACACGAGGAAATTCGAAGACTTGAAAGTAATCTCACCAAATGACAGAGACAAGTACACACAACGATGGTTTCACTGGCTCCGCCATATTGCTTCTGATGCCTTCGTACAACATCTGACCAACCCATGAACAGCTGGAGGAGAGCGATAAACATTAAGATCGGCGACTTCCGGGGGAGAGAACCGCCAGGCGCGGTGGGCTGGGGTGGTGACGGAGGGCGATGAGAAGAGTTTTTTTTAACCCTTTAACTGCTGGGGTGAGGGAGGGGTTGCAGAGTGACACTATAGTGTTAGAAATACAGCTTTATATTCCTAACACTATAGTGTTTCTTTAATCAGTAAGAGAATAGAAAAAAGTTATGTAATAGCCTTGTGATAATGAAACTGTCCGGGAATGGAGCTATAGATGAGATACAGCGGTCACTTCATTTTATATATTAAAGGGACATTACATGCACCCAGACGGCCCCTTCAGCTCATTGAAGTGGTCTGGGTGCAGTGTCTCTCTTGCACCTAGTACTGCAATGTTAAACATTGCAGTTCCAGAGAAACTGCAGTGTTTACATTGCAGCACAAAGTCTGCCCTCAGTGACTGTCTACCCTTTAATCTCCAGACAGCCGCTCGAGGCGCTTCCTGAATGGCTTCCTGACTCGCATGAGGACATCCGAGTCAGATTTGTCAGGAATAAAGTTATCCTAACATGCAAACCTAAAGGTAATAGTAAAGGTATACATACCGGTCCTTAGAGTGGCCGGGTTAGTGCCTGAGACAGATAAATGTCTGCAAGCAGACAGAGAATAAACGAGAGACAAATCAAGGTCAGAATTACAGAAATACACAGAATCGATAGCCAGGCCAAGATCAGGATAACAGAGAGCAAGAATAGTCAAACAAGCCAAGTTCACAATAACTGACAGACTAACACAGACACTCACTAACACACTCACTAACAGACACACACGCACACACACTAACACATTCACTAAGACTAACACACACACACACACACTAAGACTAACACACTAACAGACACATACACACTAACACACTCACTAACACACTCACACATACTCACTAAGACTAACACACACTAACACACTTTTACAACATTTTTACATTTCATTCCACCTGGCCTCCATACCTTGGGAGTGCTGGAGTGGATTCTTCCTGGGGTCCATTGGGGCCGCTGCTGGTAGGGCTGGCATGCACGGGCGCGGCGGCTGGAATGGCAGGCTCATATTGGAGGTGGCGAGGGAGCTCTGATCCTCCTGCTAAGCTCCCTCGCGCACCTCTCAGTGATGCCGGGACCGGAGTGACATCCTAATCCGGCTCCCGGTTTCCGGCATCAGTGAGGTGCACGCGAGGGATCTGAGCAGGGGAGAGTGCTCCCTCGCTGCCCACCTACATCAGCTCATTCCAGCCTCTGAGGGCCCTGAGGTGGCCAACTCCTGGGCCCCCCAGGACAAGAGGCTGGCAAGGCATTTGCCAGGGCGTTTGGGGGGCGTCTTTTTTTGCCGTCCCCTGAAAGTGCCGCCCAAAGGAAAATGCCTTGTCAGCCTCTTGGTAAATACAGCACTGGGCACAAGGGGGGGCACTGCATTATGTAGGGGGGGCCATGGCCCCCTCTGAACCCCCCAGTGACGCCACTGTTTCCCAGGGGGATTTGAAGATGCTTGGCGTCCTCGTGCACAGCTTGGAGACATCCAGTGTCGTTTCACTGACTCAAACTTCATGAAACAGCTGGAAGTGCCTCAAGTGGATGTCTGGTAGACAGCTACTAGCAGCAGTCTTAGCACTAAAAGTGTTTTACATTGCAGGGCTAAGTTGGGCAGAGACACTGCACTTCAATGAGATTAAGTCTGGGTGCCTATTGTGTCCCCTTTAATGTCCAGTGCCAGCTATTCTCCAGCCTCCCTGAGTGATCAGTATATAGGAGCTATGATGATAACAGGCTCGCCGCAGGCAGACGGAGCATATGATTGCTCGCAGGGGGCTCTCTTCCACCTGCTGAAACGCAGCCTATTTATGGGAACATTAAACAGTCTGGTGTAGAAACGTGACAAGGGCATAGATTTAAACTGATGGATCTGGCAGGATATTTATTGCTCCTTATGTTTGTTTGTGATAAGAAGGTATTTAACGCACAAGGTGTAAGCCTGTTTATCCCCATTAAAGCATGTTTTCATCCTCCCACCCTATGAGTGCTAATGGCTGGTTAGTAGATTGGCCGAATGGTTCTTATCTGCCGTCACATTCTACGTTACAGAACATGGATGGATTATGTCAAACTTTTCTGTCGCTGTATGAAAGTGATACTTTTATTTAATTGCTGAGTTACTTGGGGGAGAGGTGTCTTAATTTTCAATTTCAGTTAAAACAAAACAAACCAAATAATTACTATTTCACTGTTTTTATATATTTGTTGTCTTTGTTGTGTCTGGGGAAATAAGGACTGTAGTTAGGCCTGTGAGGGGCTTAGGGACTGCAATGGATAGCTCCTTCCCTCTGGTGCTGGGGAGAGTATTAGAGTGTTGCTCTGATACTATAAAAGAAGTGGAAAATTTGGTCTGTAACAGCAGGAATCTCAGCCCAAGTTCTCCCACCAACCACAGGCATCAGGGTATGTGGCCTGGCAGGTAACGGAGTTCTTCGATCCACCAGTTACCACTGGACTGGTGCTTAAGTAGTGCCGCCAGCCCCATAGGGCCGGCCTGACAGTTTAATAAATAGGCAGTTTTTTTTTTAATGCTGTATTATTTAAAAGAAACATTTTGAAGTTGTATTTCTATCTAGCAAAGAGAGTAAAGATCAATCAATTTATTATATTTGCAATAGTTTTAAAGTGACATTGAAATGGTGCAATTTAAAAAAAATATATAATATATACCATTGTTTATGCACAATGAGCTAGTCAAATATAGAAAAGTATTTCCAAGTTTTTCCTGCCTTTGGCTTTAACACAATGCCATTGGCTTTGTGGAACTGAATGCAATTATGATGATTAATAAATGGCAGAGAATTGAGCGGTGAGACCACAAGGGCATGACCTATTCACCCAAACTGCTTCATTAAGTTAAAGCAGTTTGGTGCTTACAACATCCCTTTAATTTAATTTATAATCCGATTTTCATTTTATCTTGCATTATTGTCAGCAATAACCATAACTCTAAGTAGTAACCTTAAACCTGGTTGCAAATACAACCTCTAACCCTAAATTCTGTCCATAATCTTCACACGAAGCCAAATACTATGGCTAAACTTAAAGGAACACTAAAGGGTCAGGAACAAAAACATGTATTCCTGACCCTGTAATGTTTAAAACAACCATCTAACAACCTGCCCCCTCCCTCCCCCCCTGATAAATATATTACAAATCTTACATTTATTTTAGTCGGCTGCTGCTGGCTCTGCCCCTGATCCACCTGCTTGGCTGACATCGTCAGAAGTGATTCTCTTAGCCAATCACAATGTTTTCCCATTGAGATCAGGCGCAGAGCCAGCACAAGCCAAACACAGCTCTGGCCAATTAGCATCTCGTCATAGAAATGCATTGAATCAATGCATCTCTATGAGGAAAGTTCAGTGTCTCCATGCAGAGCGTGGAGACACTGAAGGGAAATACCTCCCACAGCCATCTGAGGAGTGGCCAGTGGAGGTATACCCAGGCTGTAATGTAAACACTGCCTTTTCTCTGAAAAAAACCCAGTGTTTACTGCAAAAAGTCTGAAGGGAATGATTATACTCACCAGAACAAATAAAATAAGCTGTAGTTGTTCTGGTGACTATAGTGTCCCTTTAATATTATGCCTAATCTGTCCGTCATCCAAAATAGAATGCCTATCCTTAATAATGTCCCTTGTTCTAAATACTGTTCATAAACTAAAATATTATGGTAAACCCTAATTACTCTCACTAACTGAAACTACTCTGCTTGCCCCTAAATACCATGTCAGACAATATATGCTATGCCTGGCATAAGATACTGTGACTAACTTATAATACTATGAAATGCCACCCTACTCTATTTCTCCCCTAACCAGGTAGCATGGCCTGGGCCAGCATGGTTCCTCTGAGCTTCGGAGTTTAGGACCTTGCGGTGGGTTACCATGACAACACTCCAAACAATGGAGTTTGTAAGATCAGATATAGAGGAAGGAAAGAACTAGAGGCTCGGGGAATAAAGTGTGTACGTGTGTGTTATGTCTAACATTGTGTGTGTATATGTGTAACATATTGTGTGTGTATATGTGTAACAGTTTGTGTGTATCTGAATCTCTTTATTAATAGTGTATCAGAACTGAAATGTATTAAAGATGACTCAATCAATTATCCCAAATTATTCCTGTCGGCTTAAGATTCTGCATGTTAATTACCACATTTGATGAAAGGCAGACAGTGGAATGACAGGTTATTAATATTGTTAAACCTGGGGAGATAGCTGAGTGGATAGAATCTGTAACTCACCTTACGATTCCATTGAGGTCACCCTGTATTCCTTGCAGGGGCGTACCTGGAGCATTTGGCACCCGGGGGTGGATCCTTTATTTGGCACCCCCTCCCCAAATGTAAAAACAACCACAATTTTTTTTAAATGTATTTAGCACTGAGCAGTGTTTGTATATTTTTAATGTAAGCATGTTTTTGTATGGAGTATGTGTGAGTGAATGTACGGGTGTGTTTGCACTTATTGGCATTTGAATGCAGCCGTGCATTTTTCTGTAGTGTGGTTTTTGAATATGGTGGTGTGTTTTTATTTGGTGTTGACATTTGGATGCAGGGTTGTATTTGTGTGTAGTGTAGATGAAATGTTGAGATGTATGCACATATACTCACATATACTCACATATACACACACTGGCACACATACAGATACACAGACACATAGGTACACACATGGAGTTACATAGAAACACAGTCATAAACAGATACAGAAAAATACTGACACACATACACATTCAAACACACATACAGGCACACAGAGAGAGACACACAGGCACACATACAGATACACAGACACACCAAAACAAACACAGACACACAAACAGATACACATACAGATACAGAGACATACAGATACACATGTATAAGTGTGTTTATGCATAGTGTGTTTGCGTAGTGGATACAGTGTGTGCATTTGTATAGTGGATGCACTCTGTGTATAGTGTATGCAGTGTGTGTATAGTGAATGCAGCTTGTGTGTATAATATATGCAGTGTGTGTATAGTGTATGCAGCTTGTGTGTATAGTGTATGTAGTGTATGGAGTGTGTGTATAGTGTATGCAGCTTGTGTGTATAGTGTATATAGTGTATGGAGTGTGTGTATAGTGTATGCAGCTTGTGTGTATAGTGTAGTGTGTGTGTATAGTGTATGGAGTGTGTGTACAGGGAGTGCAGAATTATTAGGCAAATGAGTATTTTGACCACATCATCCTCTTTATGCATGTTGTCTTACTCCAAGCTGTATAGGCTCGAAAGCCTACTACCAATTAAGCATATTAGGTGATGTGCATCTCTGTAATGAGAAGGGGTGTGGTCTAATGACATCAACACCCTATATCAGGTGTGCATAATTATTAGGCAACTTCCTTTCCTTTGGCAAAATGGGTCAAAAGAAGGACTTGACAGGCTCAGAAAAGTCAAAAATAGTGAGATATCTTGCAGAGGGATGCAGCACTCTTAAAATTGCAAAGCTTCTGAAGCGTGATCATCGAACAATCAAGCGTTTCATTCAAAATAGTCAACAGGGTCGCAAGAAGCGTGTGGAAAAACCAAGGCGCAAAATAACTGCCCATGAACTGAGAAAAGTCAAGCGTGCAGCTGCCACGATGCCACTTGCCACCAGTTTGGCCATATTTCAGAGCTGCAACATCACTGGAGTGCCCAAAAGCACAAGGTGTGCAATACTCAGAGACATGGCCAAGGTAAGAAAGGCTGAAAGACGACCACCACTGAACAAGACACACAAGCTGAAACGTCAAGACTGGGCCAAGAAATATCTCAAGACTGATTTTTCTAAGGTTTTATGGACTGATGAAATGAGAGTGAGTCTTGATGGGCCAGATGGATGGGCCCGCGGCTGGATTGGTAAAGGGCAGAGAGCTCCAGTCCGACTCAGACGCCAGCAAGGTGGAGGTGGAGTACTGGTTTGGGCTGGTATCATCAAAGATGAGCTTGTGGGGCCTTTTCGGTTGAGGATGGAGTCAAGCTCAACTCCCAGTCCTACTGCCAGTTCCTGGAAGACACCTTCTTCAAGCAGTGGTACAGGAAGAAGTCTGCATCCTTCAAGAAAACATGATTTTCATGCAGGACAATGCTCCATCACACGCGTCCAAGTACTCCACAGCGTGGCTGGCAAGAAAGGGTATAAAAGAAGAAAATCTAATGACATGGCCTCCTCGTTCACCTGATCTGAACCCCATTGAGAACCTGTGGTCCATCATCAAATGTGAGATTTACAAGGAGGGAAAACAGTACACCTCTCTGAACAGTGTCTGGGAGGTTGTGGTTGCTGCTGCACGCAATGTTGATGGTGAACAGATCAAAACACTGACAGAATCCATGGATGGTAGGCTTTTGAGTGTCCTTGCAAAGAAAGGTGGCTATATTGGTCACTGATTTGTTTTTGTTTTGTTTTTGAATGTCAGAAATGTATATTTGTGAATGTTGAGATGTTATATTGGTTTCACTGGTAATAATAAACAATTGAAATGGGTATATATTTGTTTTTTGTTAAGTTGCCTAATAATTATGCACAGTAATAGTCACCTGCACACACAGATATCCCTCTAACATAGCTATAACTAAAAACAAACTAAAAACTACTTCCAAAAATATTCAGCTTTGATATTAATGAGTTTTTTGGCTTCATTGAGAACATGGTTGTTGTTCAATAATAAAATTAATCCTCAAAAATACAACTTGCCTAATAATTCTGCACTCCCTGTATTGTGTATGGAGTGTGTGTATAGTGTATAGAGTATGTTTATAGTGTATGGATTGTGTGTATAGTATATGCAGTGTGTGTATAGTGTATGGAGTATATGGAGTGTGTGTATAGTGAAGCAGCTTGTGTGTATAATGTATGCAGTGTGTATAGTGTATGCAGTGTGTGTATAATGTATGGAGTGTGTGTATAGTGTATGGAGTGTGTGTATAGTGTATGCAGTGTGTATAATGTATGCAGTGTGTGTATAATATATGGAGTGTGTGTATACATGGGCGTCCGCAGGAATTTTTCCAGGGGGGGGGGCATAATTGTAATGACATCAATGCTTGGTACCTTTTTGACAGTGTCATGAAAGGGAAGGGGCATAGCCATTATCACATAGCCAGGGTGAATAGCGTTTTCACAACTATGGTGTCAGGAATATATGTTTGTATTCCTGACACTATAGTGTTCCTTTAAGCAAATTAAAGGACCATTCTGGTCACCATAACAACTTCACCTAAATGAAAATGCTATGATGCCAGGAAGCCCCTGGGTGCTTGCTTTCCTTTAAGGGGTTAAATCGCTCTCTGATGGATTAACCCCAAAGGCTTCCTCCAGCTCCAGGTCGCTCAGTGGTATTTGGCTTCTGAAACAGAGTGTCAGGAAGTGCAGATTGACGTCAGGCATGGGTGCCGCTGATTGGCTAGAGTGGACAGTTGACGCTCTAAGCCAATCGCTATTTCCCGGTTCATAAACTATTTTTACTTTTTTATGAATGTGGAGCTACTGATTGGCTTAGAGTGCCAGCTGACCGCTCTAGCCAATCAGCAACACCCCTACCCAACGGCACTCTGTGCTTCCTGACACTCAGTAAATAAAAGTGAACACATTAATACTGATATTTTTTTACCTTTGGAGATGAGAAGGTCCAGCGTTTTCGTGCCTGGCCCACATACCAAAGCCTTATGATGTGGTGTCCAGAATAAAGTGGAGGGTTCACTTCATTTGTCCTTCCTGCTCCAATCTCCTTTTCCTCTCCTTCATTTGACAGTCTTTTTTTTTCTTCTGACACTGTTTTCTATCCTTGGCCCCGTCTGCTCTTTTACTTTTCTGCTACTTTCTGCTTATTTTGCGCCCTTCTGCTCCTTTCTCATTCTGATCTCTTTCTGCTCCTTGCAGACCCTTTCTGCTCCCTTTTCTACTTTACCTTTGTGCTCCTTGCTGTCCCTTTCTGCTCCCTTTTCTACTTTACCTTTGTGCTCCTTGCTGTCCCTTTCTGCTCCTTGCTGCCCCTTTCTACTCCTTGCTGCCCCTTCCTGCTCCTTGCAGGCCCTTCCTGCTCATTCTCCTACTTTACCTTTTTTTTACAAAGTGCTCCTTGCTGTCCCTTCCAGCTCCTTGCTGCCCCTTTCTGCTCCTTGATGTCCCTTCCTGTTCATTTCTGTTCCTTCTCCTTTTCTTACCTTACCTTCCTGCTCCTTGCTGACTCTTCATGTAGGCTGTCTCCCCCATCCCTCACTTCTATAGGCGTGCGCACGGGGTGTGTCGGGTGTGCCTGGGCTCACCCTAATCCCCGCGGCACGCCAATGGATTGAGACCGGCAGGGGAGATCTTTGGATCTCCCCGGTCGGCTCATGCAGAGCCGACGCTATCCGAGCGGCCGGTCTGGTCTAAGCCTCCATGGGCCGGTGGGGAGATCAAAGTTCTACCTCACTGGTCCACAGCAGCATGGAGGGAGGCAGCAGAGAACCCGGGCTAGAGTTCACTCTCCACTGAACCACCAGGGAAGGCAGCAGGACTGGGATATTAACTAGTATGCCCCCACCTCCACCCAAACATACAGCACACACACATACAGCATACACAGCCCACAAACAGCACCCACACACACACACAGCACCTACACACATACATCACCCTCGCACACACAGCACCAACACACATACAACACCCACACACACCCAGCACACTAACAGCATCCTCACAAACACACAAAACCCACACAACACCCACACAGCACCCACACACAAACAGCACACTCTCATACAAACAGCACCCTGACAAACACACAACACCCGCACACAAACAGCACACTAACAGGACCCGAACAAACACGCACACACAAACACCCTCACACACACACACACACACACACACACACACACACACAGCACACTACCAGTTCCCTCACAAACAGCACACTAACAGCACCTCACACACACACACACACACACACTTTACACACCAACAACACACACACACACCCACACAAACATGCCCCCCCCATGCCTCACTCCCCTAATCTATAGGCTGCTGTCCTCCTCCCTAATCTATAGGCTGCCCCTAATCTATAGGCTGCTGCCCCCCGTCCTACCAGGCTGCCTTTAGTCTATGAGCTGCTGCCCCCAAAATCTATGGAAGCGCTTTCCACTTTAATCTATAGGCTTCTGCCCAAAATCCTGGAAACGCCTTTAAAAAAAATCTATAGGCTGCACAAATATATAGGCTGCTGCCCAAAAAAATCTATAGGCCATAGCACCTCCCCCTAAAAGTCTATAGGCTTAACACTTTAAAAATCTATAGGCTATCTCAAACCCTCCCCCCACTCCCCTGATCTGTAGGCTGTCTCTGGCTGCATGTGTTGTTCCCCTGCGGTTTCAATCAGCAGAGAGAAGCAGGGATAAGATGCAGCTTCCTATCCCTGTCTCTCTCATACACACGGCGCCGGTATTGCAGTTTATTCTAAATCTCACACGAAAAAAGCAGAACAAGCTGAAAAATCCAGGGGGGGGCAAGTGCCCCCCCTTGCCCCCCCCTGCGGACGCCCATGTGTGTATAGTGTATGGAGTGTGTGTGTATAGTGTATGCAGTGTGTGTATAATGTATGGAGTGTGTGTATAGTGTATGGAGTGTGTGTATAGTGTATGCAGTGTGTGTGTGTATAGTGTATGCAGTGTGTGTGTATAGTGTATGCAGTGTGAGTATAATGTATGCCCCTCCCTGACACTTGCCTGGTCCTCGTGGTCTGGTGGCACAGCATAGATGGGCAGTGAAGAGGGGCCCAGAACTCTGCATGCTCGTTTCCCATCCAGCAGCAGCAGGCTCCTCTGTTCTCGTGATTCCCGAGGAACCTGCTGCATGGGAAAACTCCATGGATACTCGAACACGGCACACCGGTCCCTTTTCATAAGACACAGGGGTGGTGAAATGCCGCCCCTGTGAAAGTGTGCCCCGGGCACGCCCCTAGTGAGTAGCACCCGGGGCAGACCGCCCCCGCCGCCCCCCCCTTAGTACGCCACTGATTCCTTCCAAGGTTGATAAAACAAGCACCATAAAGTTGGGTAATATTAGCAAGTAGATCCCATAAGATACATGGAAGACAAGCTAAATGTACGGGTCCTGATTAAATAGTTTGATTTCATCATTATTATTATTAATTTCCAAAGTCTTAAGGTGAGCTGATCTAGAAATTTATCAGGAATGCTGAGGGACTCTCGACTATGAGTATCAAGGGTCTTCCCAAAGCATCATATAATTGCCGTGTTCTACAGGCTCTAAGATAACTCTAGATATAGCCTTACATGTGCAATGCCCCAGCTCTGCTTTCCCGTGAACACGTTGCTTGTTTTAAAAAAATATTTAAAGGGACACTATAGTCACCGACACAACTTTAGCTTATTGAAGCCGTTTTTGTGTATAGATCATGCCGTTGAACTTTCACTGCTCAATTCACTGCCATTTAGGAGTGAAATCACTTTAAACGTTTGTTTTTTCCCTACTCTGTAAATGGAACTTTAATCACACACAAGGCTCTTGCAGCATCTAGTAAGCTATTAACAGAGCATAAGATAAGTAGTTTTAAAGTAAACAGAATTTTGCAATAAAGGAAGTGTAAATATTAGATGAATCGTTACAGGAAGTGTTTAGGAAGGCTGTGTAGGTCACATGCAGGGAGGAGTGACTAGGGCTGCATAAACAAAGTGATTTATTCCCTAAATGGCAGAGAATTGAGCATTGAGACTGCAGGGGCATGATCTATACACCAAAACTCATTAAGCTAAAGTTGTTTTGGTAACTATAGTGTCCCTTTAACCTTTCTGCTGACTGAGAAGAAAGCTTTCTGTGGTTTTCACAAATCAGAGTAACAAACACATATAACAATTGTTAACCCATTCACTGTTGTCTGCAATAAGTAATACAGCATTCTGCAATGGTTAAAGGGAGCAGTCTTTTCCCAGAATCCCCAGAATATTTTGTTTACTTTTCCACTAGTTTCACAATCATCCCCCACAGCCAACCCCCACACACAGTAACCCCATCATAGACAGAAACATAGAAACATAGAATGTGAATGCAGATTCGGCCCATCTAGTCTGCCCAATTTTCTAAATACTTTCATTAGTCCCTGGCCTTATCTTATAGTTAGGATAGCCTTATGCCTATCCCACGCATGCTTAAACTCCTTTACTGTGTTAACCTCTACCACTTCAGCTGGAAGGCTATTCCATGCATCCACTACCCTCTCAGTAAAGTAATACTTCCTGATATTATTTTAAACCTTTGTCCCTCTAATTTAAGACTATGTCCTCTTGTTGTGGTAGTTTTTCTTCTTTTAAATATAGTCTCCTCCTTTACTGTGTTGATTCCCTTTATGTATTTAAATGTTTCTATCATATCCCCCCTGTCTCGTCTTTCCTCCAAGCTATACATGTTAAGATCCTTTAACCTTTCCTGGTAAGTTTTATCCTGCAATCCATAAACCAGTTTAGTAGCCCTTCTCTGAACCCTCTCTAAGGTATCAATATCCTTCTGGAGATACGGTCTCCAGTACTGCGTACAATACTCCAAGTGAGGTCTCACCAGTGTTCTGTACAATGGCATGAGCATCACATTGTCACCTTTATACACACAGACACAGACATCCCCGCACACAATAACCCCATCGCATTTTCACCTTTATACACACAGACATAGGCATCCCCCCACACAGTAACATTATCACCTTTATACATACACACAGACACCCCCCGCACACAGTAACCCCATCACATTGTCACCTTTCTAACACACAGACACCCCCCGCATACACTGTGACCCCATCACATTGTCACCTTTTTAACACACAGACACAGACCTTCCTTACACACAGTAACCCGATCACAGTGTCACCTTTATACACACAGACACCCCCCGCACACAGTAACCCCATCACATTGTCACCTTTATACACACAGACACCCCCCGCACACACAGTAACCCCATCACATTGTCACCTTTATACACACAGACATCCCCCACACACAGTAATCCCATCACATTGTCACCTTTATACACACCGACACCCCCCGCACACAGTAACCCCATCACATTGTCACCTTTATTTTTACCCAAAACAACTGATTTGACACTGCCAGAAGCCAGCCCTGCAGCCGTGAGATTTAAACATGTTTCCGTGGTGTTCTCATTTCTCTTTACTAGCCTAGCTTTATCTCCAGCTCTCTGCTTTCAGTACATGATGTCCTTATCGGATATTTGTCTGTTTTGTTGCTGCACAAAGGACTTAGAAGGGAAATAATATTGATGATGCATCCATGGCGATAACTGGTTTTCTGCAGACTTTCTAATTCTGGTTTCCAAGGAAGCATTTAAAACATTTCTTATAAAAGTCATTTTGTGTGGCCCAGGGGATACGTTGAGCATTGCGAGATGGCTTGACCTCTCTGTGCATCAGACACAATGTGTGCTGTCACCTGTCACCTCGCAGTACCTAGCGTGGGGGCATTGTGTGTGCAGAGCGGCCGCTGAGTACCTAAGCCCAAGTTATTTCTGCTCCGGTGTTTTATTAAATCTGATTAATCTGGTGATGCGTAGCCTACTGAAACCAAAAATATAACTATTAAAGCAGAGAACCGCCAGCAAAATACTGGTTTAGGGGCGTTAAGCCCAATTAGGACTTTTGGACAGAAAGATTGTGTTCAGACCTAGTTAAACACCTTAAAGAAGGGGCTTGCGAGCGGCACTATACACACACACAGCATTGCAGACCTCATACCCACGGGCATCCGCAGGAATATTTTCGGGGGGCGGGGCATAATTGTAATGACATCCATGCTCGGCCCCATTTTGACAGTGTCATTAAGGGGAGGGGATTAGTCATTATAACATGAAGTGCAAGCAGGCAAAGAGTTAAGAAACCTGATGCAAAATCTTATTAGAAGAATCAAGTTGACATTGTCTGATTTAAGTATTGCAATGTCTAATCTGTTTTAATATTAACACTATTCAATGCACCCCATTAGTACACCCATGATCAAGGCACTATCACTGAATTAAAAAAATAAACATTTGTAATCTAAATTTAGCGTTACATTTGGCCACAGCAATAGGTGGCATGCACAGCACCAGATTGCACCCACAGCACCAGATTGCACCCACAGTACCAGATTTCCCTTGCCACAGCACCAGATTGCACCCACAGTACCAGATTTCCCTTGCCACAGCACCAGATTGCACCCACAGTACCAGATTGCATCCAAAGTACCAGATTTCCCTTGCCACAGCACCAGATTGCACCCACAGTACCAGATTTCCCTTGCCACAGCACCAGATTGCACCCACAGTACCAGATTGCATCCAAAGTACCAGATTTCCCTTGCCACAGCACCAGGTTGCACCCACAGTACCAGATTGCATCCAAAGTACCAGATTTCCCTTGCCACAGCACCAGATTGCACCCACAGTACCAGATTTCCCTTGCCACAGCACCAGACTGCACACAAAGCTATTGCCACATCAGAAGGTAGCATACACAGCGGTTGCTACAGAACTAGGAGACACTCACAGTACCAAAAAGTACCCACAGTATCAGATTGCACCCACAACACTTCCCACACCTAATAAATGCCAGTACTACTACTACTAATAATAATAATAAAGGGAAAAAAAATTGTGTCCCCCACTTCTGCCCCTTCTCTCATATCCCCTACACACACACCTTCAACTTTCTTCATATTCTCCATGTTTCCATTCTCCATGTGTCCATTTTCTAATAACTCCCTACACCCACCTTCATATTTCTCCATATTCCCCCCTCTCCCACCCCTCATTCTGTCCCTTTCTCCATATATTATCCCTGTCTGTTCATTCCCAGTTGTATACAGGGGAGGGCTGGCAGCCTCAGGCCTGGGGGGCAAATCCAGTCGAATGGCCCATTGCACCCCCGAATCAGCTCACCATCCATGCCAACCTTTTCCTGGTCTTATAAAGGATATTGATGTTATGCTAATCAGTAGCTCTTTTGCCATACCCACTCCTTTGCAGCTCAGACTGTCAATGTTGTTAGAGCGCAGGCTGAGAATCTCTGAGCCTGTGCTCTGACTCACTAGAACCACGAGGGAGAGGATATGATCTGACTGCACCTACTGCTTGTGCGCACCAATAGATCACCAGGGAATCGTTTAAATTAAATATGCTGGTGTCCCAAACTTGTGAGCTGTGTTGGCCGCCGGGCGTGTCTGTTGTCATGGTGCCCTACATGACCGCACAGCTTGCACACCTCAAAAGCTGGCCCTGCTGACAGACACACTGGCACTCACTCTCAATAACACACACACACACACAAACCCTGAAAGACAAACAGTCACTGACAGGCAGACACATACACACACACACACACACACACACACACTGACAGGCAGACACACAGATTCACTGAAAGACACTTACTTGACAGATACACTTACTGACACACACACTTACTGACAGACACCAGTGCCATCTTAACATCATTATGGGCCCCTGGGCAAAGCAGTGCACTGGGGCCATGCCTACACAACTTACAGGAATAAAAACGTAAATTATAGATACAACGAAGAATATATTTAGAAGTACCTCCAACAAATGCAATGCATACATACACACAGGCTGCTGAATACAGTCACACACCGACTGCTGAATACATATATACACGACGACTGCTGAATACACGCATACAGACTGCTGAATAGACAAACACAGACAGACTGCTGAGTACACACAAAGACAGACTGCTGAGTACACACAGACAGACTGCTAAGTACACATAGAGAGTGCTGAATACATGCACACAGTCCGCTGAATACAAACACACACAAACATACACACACAGACGGCTGAACACACACACAGACTGCTGAATACACACACATTGCAGTAAGGGGTTCAGTGTATGTGTGTACGGGTGCGGTGTGTGTGGGGTGCTGTGTGAGTGTGGGGTGCAGTGTGTGTGGAGTGCTATGTGAGTGGGGTGCTGCGTGTGTGTGGAGTGCTATATGTGTGTTGGGTGCTGTGTGTTTGAGGGGTGCAGGTAGCAAATGTTTTTGTTTATTTAATACTATTTTTCATTAAATAAAATCTATATGCCCCCCCCCACCCTTCTTCTTACCTTTGGTGAAAGAGGCTGGGACACAGCCAGCCCTGGTGGTCCAGTTGTGAATTCTGTACAACCTGCAGCTTGTCTGGCTGCAGGCTGTCTCCTGTCCTCCTGCGCGCAGAATGCTGTGTGGAGCATTGCCATGGTAATGCGCAGAATCGCTCCTCACAGCCTGCTTGCGGGAGGAGCGACCTGCCTTACAGGTCGGCCTGTCCTGCTGCCCTGGGTCCTAGCTACCTCTCTCCCCGATTGAATTGAGATCTCCCTCACCGGCCCAAGGCCAGAAAACAGGGCCACCTCTCCATTGGCCGGCAGGGGAGATAAAAGGATCTCCCCTGTCGGCCGGGCATGCTGGGCAGCGCGGTGTGTGGCCCACGGGCAACTGCCCAGCGTGCCCATGCAGAAAGACGGCCCTGACAGACACACACACACACTTCCAGACACAGACACACACACTTACTGACAGACACACACACTTACTGACAGACACACTCACTTTCAGACACACAGACTCACTGACAAACACACACACACTCACTCACTGACAGACAGATACACACACTCACTGACAGACAGATACACACACACTTACTGACAGACACACACTCACACTTCCAGACACACACTGTCACACACACACACACTCACTTCCAGACACACACACACTTCCAGACACACACACTCACACTTCCAGACACACACTGTCACACACACACACTCACTTCATGACACACACACACACTTCCAGACACACACACACATACTCACTTGTTCCAGACACACACACACTCACTTCCAGACACACACACTCACTTCCAGACACACACAATCACTTCCAGACACACACACACACACACTCACTTGTTCCAGACACACACACACACTCACTTCCAGACACACACACTCACTTCCAGACACACACAATCACTTCCAGACACACACTCACAAATTAATTTTATTTCTTGTTGCTCCTGCCTTTAAGAGTTCTCTGGGGCCTCTCCCTGGGGTCCAGTGTCTTCGATGATCTTCCTGCTCCTCTCTGCTCCCTCGCGCAGTTTAGTGATGTGGAAGATCATCAGCAGAGGCAGTGCTCCCTCGTCGCCACCTGCCTCCTTCCTCACGCGGCCGGTATATTGCTGCAGAGTAGGCACCTGCCATCTGGGACAAGCAGGTGCCTACTCTGCCTTGCTACCGGGGCACCCTAGATGGCCAGTTGGCCACCTGCTGGGCTCCCTGTGACAGGCCATTGGCCAGCTCCGCGTGACGCCAGGGACCGGCGCTGCAGCGGCTGTTTTTCTAATTATTTAGGGCAGCCTGGGGGACAATTGCCTCCCTAAAGTTATCAAAAAAAAAGTACCCACTTCAGGTTATCCTGCATGGGTACCTGTGGGGAAGATGGGCAAATTGAAATTTCCTCCGGACGCCCATGCTCATACCATCAAATCTCCCAACATTTCAAGTGGACAAAGAGGGACACATTCATTTTTGGACTGTGAGTGTGTGTGTGCCCAGGGTCGGGGCTGTTATGAGACATTTTAGGTGACTTACTAATAGCAATTTAAACAACTACAATGTAATTTAAAACAAAATCAATGTATCTTATTTACACAGACTGATTTCTAAACACATTTGTTGTAGTTTAAAGGAACACTATAGTGTTAGGAATACAAAACTGTATTGCTAATACTATAGTGTCCCTCTAAAGATACCCATTCCCCCCCAACCCAGTCAAGAAATCGTTAAAAACCTTTTTTTTCCACTTACCTGATTTCAGTGCTAAATCTCCTTCGGCAAGTGCATTAGGCCTTCTCCATAGGATAGCATTGAATCAGTGCTCTCCTATGGGAATATTTAAAGATGCTGAATGTTCTCATGCAAAACGTGAGAATGTCCAACGTCGTTTCATGGAGTTAAACTGGGAAAAGGAGGTGCAGGAGACAGCCACTAGAGGCAGTCTTAGCCCTGCAATGTAAGTATTGCAATTTCTCTAAAACTTCCACCATCTCCCATCCTCCCCCCCCTCCCCCCCCGTGCCCCCTTCCTCCCTAGTACTCCTAGCAGCTAAAGGGTTAAAAAACTTTTAGTCAAGTACCTGATTCCAGCACCGATGTTCCTTGAGGCTCGGTTGGTGCTCCGCCTCCTCTGACGTGATCCGATGGGGGGACCCATGTTGTGCAAGCACAATAGGTTTTCCTTTGGAGATTTTACTGACACTGGATGTCCTCATGCAAAGTAAGATCCCAGAAGTGCCACTAGAGGCTGTCTTAGTGCTGCATTGTAAACATTGCAGGTTCTCTAGATTTGCAACATTTTACATTGAATGACTAAGTGTGACTGGGACATTGCACCCAGACCACTTCTCTAAGATGATGTTGTCTGGGTGCATACAGTGTCCCTATAAAGGGGACAGGTTCACTACACCTAGATCACTTCAATGAGATAAAGTGGTCTGGATCCCTGTAGTGTCCCTTTAAAGACACATTACTGTCAGTATTATTGCTATGGGACTGTTATTCACTCAGACATACCAACAATGTGGACAAGAGGGACATTCGGTTAGAAAAAACTAACAAAGGGATTTGGACCAAAAATAGGGACTATTGGGAGGTATACCATTAAAAATTCCATAACCTACCAGACTGTACATGTATGGGACCCCTGCTGTATGTGTACAGCTTTATAGAATATGGACTGTTGAATAGTCTTTATTTTCTCTAGTGTCCGCAGTAACAGCAAGACAAAAGCATCTTGTCTCATTGTTCTTCTCCAAAATCTAGGCATCAAAGATTGAAGGTCACCTTTATCAAAGGGAAGACAGGTTCTCCTCTGGAGCAAGGTGCAATTACCATGGAAACCAGGAGAATGTTTCACAAGATAAAGCACTATGCCCTGGAATTGTTTGTCTTGATAAATCTTGCTATTTGTGTCATTGTTGCTTTTTCTTTCTGTATTATTTTTGAAGACGTCAGAGTGTTCTTTTCTTACATTTAGTTAAAGAATAGGACCAGCAATAATTGCACAATTTGTGAAACAAATTAAATGATTAAGAGTGCTGCAATTTATTTGTGCTCAGACGGAATCTGTGTCAATGACTCACATTTTACATAAAACCTTTTTTTCTGGATTAAGACACAAAATTATTTACATCCCCTGTATAGTGATTTAATGGCCAGTTGTATAATCCACTTAGAATTATTGGGCAGATCTGGCACACTAAGTACGATCTAGTTACATCATTGTCACCAGTATAAAAGATGGTATAAATGATTTGGTACCCAGGCTAGCTCGGCCAGCACTGTGACTGCATTGTTAGTGACTAAGTCCCCAATGGATTGAAGTCGGTGTTTTAGATTTAGTACATAATCATTTTCAATTTGCTCCACTGCACAGCCTGCAGATAAAAGGCTTCAAAAAATAGATTAAGCTTATGTCAGTCTCGGTGGTGATGTCATTCCTACGAGAGACGGTCTGGAGCTGTTACTATGCTCTGCCTGTTCAGTGTGAAAGCACACACAGGGAGAAAGGCACGGCACAGCTGTCCCTGGCAGAAACTGGCACCAGATTTCACATGGTCAGTTTACGGAGAAGCTAAGGAGAACCAATCTGGAGAATCTGAGAACAATCTGGAGAATTTCCATCAACTTTTAGGTTTTAGTAGTTTGCTGGCTACATTGTAACGGACAGAAAAAAAAATGCCTTCTCGAAGTGTGGGCTACGACGTGTGCTCTTTGGTCGCCTGCCTGGTAGATATTGACATTTTCAACAATGTACATGTCAAGGTAAGCTATGATGATTATTCTTTCTTGAAGCAGGGATAAGGGCATGGATGATATATATTGACTTGCGTAGCTGAATGACCTATAATGGCACTCAGAAGGTGAGTATATGGAATTTAATCTTTACCACCAAAAAGCAACATCTCCTGCTTGAGAAAGGCTGTGATGAGTCGAAACTTTGTTACTAGGACTTAAAGAATGAAGTGCATATATTTCCCCTCTGTGTGTCATTATCTGGGAGGTTGTACCAGACCATTTAGGTGAATGTCTATGAAGTGTGTGTCATTAACCTTGTACTTTTAATAAGCTGAGCATCATTGGGAAGGCTCCTTCGCAATATGTTACACACATTCCATTGACCCTATTGATCAGAGAAGCTCCGTTACTCTGAGGAGCAGTTCCGTTACAATACGTGTGTATCTGGCTGAGGCTGGACTCGCATTGGTTTTATCATTCTCCAACCCTTTTAAAATTTTAGAAATTTTGTAATTTGCCAAATGGCATGAAAAGCGTCTTTAGGTTTTCTGCTAATGTAAATTTTCCCCTTCTAAAACGTACTTTTTAATATCGAAACAATAGTTATTATTTCCAGATTAATTGTATAGGCCAGTAGACTGAGACCTGGATAGCATTCATTTTATGACTAAATTAGTTTTTCTTGGAGTAATTCATATTCTTTTTATTGGCAGATTGACTAAACTGCCAACTGTGGAGAGTCGACAAGCGAACGGGGAAAAATAGATGATTTGGGGATTTATTTCCAGGCTAGATGCTTACATTTAAATTTGCAATTTCTTGTAATTTATCCACTGTTCTCAATTTAGAGAATAAACTGACTATGTTTACTAAAGTATCCTGTTTTATACAGCCCTTCTTAGTATGTTGGTGTTTGGGCAAAAGGAATGTAAAGAATATATTGATTTCTTCAGTATCTGTTATGGAGAGCTGGTCAATACCCTTTAATATCTGTTATAACATTATAGGCCAGGCATAGGCAACCTTCGGCATGCCAGATGTTTTGGACTACACCTCCCATGAGGCTTTGCCAGCATTATGAATGTAAGAGCATTATGGGGGATGTAGTCCACAGCATCCGGAGTGCCAAAGTTTTCCTATCCCTGTATAGGCTGATTACAGTCCCCTTCAAGATCTTCATACATATTTCAAATGGATAAAGGTGAAATGTCTATAATCAGGTAGAGGGCAAAATAAGACATTATATTTTAATCGTAACTACTATAACCACTTCACATCATCACCAAACGTGCAGAAAGTACCCCGCACCCACTCTTACTGATAAAAAAGGGCTTATAACTGAAGATATTGTCACTTATTACTGCAGCTATGCAGCCTGCAAACCTGGCTGCAGCAGTAAAATCTAGTCCGTTCCCCCATTGCTATTCAAGCGTCTGGTCTGTCTGGAGTCTGTCAGCTGCAGTGTTTGCTTGTGCCATGTGATACAATTTTTCAAGTATTTTTTTTTTACATTTTTTTATTTTAATTAAAGTAAATTTTGCATATTTATTTTTGAACTTTATATATGATGAACTAACAATTTGATTCTGCTTATTGTCTCTTTAAAACATATTCGTCATGTTTTATTTTCTAGCAAAATGAAATGCCTTCTCTTTTATAGGGTTCTGTTTTAAACCTATTGTTGTGTACAGCGGTATTTACTTTGTATTGTTTTTACGAGTATCTCTTCCTGTTTGCAATATCACATGGCTAACTAGCTGTCCCTGCTGTGTAACTTGATTGATGGCTAAGGTCACCGTGAGCGCACACAGCTATACATTTAGTTTTCAGAATGTACCCATATTTCCTTACCAAAGCATTCATTTAAAAAACTGCCAAATCCAAAATGTGCTTGTTTCCACAAAGGTTACTGGCGATTAACGCACACCAAAACTTTTCCATTTTCACCTAATGTGCCATTATCTGCTACTTACACTGATCAGCCATGACATTAAAACCACTGACAGGTGATGTGAATAGCATTGATTATATCGTTACAAAGGCATCTGTCACGGGGTGGGATATATTATGCAGCAAATGAAGTCAGTTCTTGAATTCCATGTGTTGGAAGCCGGAAAAATGGGCAAGTGAAAATATCTGAGTGACTTTGACAAGGTCCAAATAGTGATGGCTAAACGACTGGGTCAGAGCATCGCCAAAACAGCTAGTCTTGGGGGTGTAACTTACCATATGTGGTGCAAAATAGGACAGCCGGTGAACCGACATCAGGGTCATGGATGCCCAGTTAGATCAGCTCTATGTGAAACTATGTGAAACGTGTAGGAAACATTTTTCTTGTTGGGTAGTATCAATGTTACTATTTTCATACAGATTTTGGTAAAAGTGAAGGTGCAACTCATGCTTCGTAAAAATCTACTTATTTCAGTCCCAGTCTTAGCATTAGGTGAGCATTCTGCATGGAAGACGTGCTCATTAACTCATACGTACAGTGTAAGTAACGCACTGATAGCCAGTGAGTGATTACTGGTGTAACGGACCGTTGTGCACACAAGAGGTTAAAAACAGTTTAGGCGATATTCCCCTTTTCAGATGCACAGACAGCTACTGCAATCACCAATCTCCCGAACTGCAAACACATGAATTCACCAATCTCCCGAACTGCAAACACATGAATTCACCAATCTCCCGAACTGGAACCAGGGGAATGCTCCAAACTCCCGAACAGGAAACACACGAATGCTGTAAACAGCCGAACAGGAAAAAACATATGAACAGTTTACACTCCTGGCAATTGCACTGTAACAGCGTACAATCCAATTCCCCCCAAGAACGAGACAACACTTCGTTTGAGGGTCAAGAAGAACTGATTTACTGGGGCTACCTGCCTGGCTTTTATGCAGGTCTCCCACCTGGTGGACACTCCCCTAGGGGACCAGATGGAAGACTGGGAAACATATTGGACATTGACCAATCACAAGCTTACAATCCCACAATGCATCACAATCCCTCCTATCTGTCCTGGAGATAATTGGGAAGTAATCCAATAATCTCCAAGGACAGAGGAAAAACTCCATTAACCACATGGCAGACAAAGGTCAATAAAAGACATAAAAATACATACTGTTACATTCATCACATAGAACATACACATTCTACCTGTCCCCAGATAGCTTAGATCTGAGCGCACATTATTACCGGATGGCGCTCAGATCACATACATACAGTTCAATCGCCATGGAGCCAAAGTCTTTCATACAGTCTTTCAGTATACGGCTGGGGTAGCATGGTTTAAACATAAAGTACCGAATGGACCGTTGTTCTGATAATTGATTGCAGGTAGGAGAAGGGAGGTTGGCGGATCAGCTGTGTTCGTGACTTTAACAGTCCACAGAAAGGCACGAACCAGCCTTTCTGCAGGGAAAAAGAACAGTGTTAAACATGGGGCCAAAGTCCAGCGGCAGGAGGCGGGCGACCAGGCTCCTCCAGTGGCCAGTGGTGAGGTTGGTTCCGCCACAACTGGCAACTGAGATATATTACTGATTACTGGCACCCAGGAAAAGTAAAACACTTCAGACAGACAGCAAAGATGTAAACCTAACGAGCTCTGGGATCTCAATCTGTGTTGTGATCACATTTACACTATGCAGATCAACCGTGGTTTATCTCACAGGTTTAGTCTCTCTTCATTTAGAAATGTCTATGTTTCTGTTTTGAGCTTTCCTGATTAGATTGGGTTTGTCTTCATCATGTCTCTAGAATCATTATACCGCCTCATGCAAAACCGTGGAAAGTCCAGTAAGCCGGATTCTCCCCTCTTCTTACACCCCCCACCCAGTTATCTGATATAATGTACAATGGGCAGAGATAGTAAAAAAATTGTAAAGTGAAAAATAAAATAAAGGAAAAGTGATACAAATCATGATTTGAATTCCATTGGATAGTTTCCATTATCTGTAATATCTCCTTAAGAAACATTGTAACAGTTGTATTATCCTCTTAAAGTAACACTATAGGGTCAGGAACAACAGTGGATTGCTGACACTATAGTGTTAGAAACACTATTTAGCCACCTGGCCCCCCTTATCCTCTTTAGATACAGTGAAAACTCACCTAATTCCAGCACCACATGGCTCCATAGGGAAGCATTGGATTGGCTGAGATCTTCCATTCTGATGAATCAATGCATCTCTATGGGAAATGTTCAGCACCTCCATGCAGAGCGTAGAGACGCTGAACATCAGCGATGCACACCCAAGAAGCACTGCTAGTGGCCATCAAGGAGACTGCCACCGAATGTGTCCCTAGGCAGCAATGTAAAGACTGCCTTTTCTCTGAAAAGACTGTGTTTACAGCAAAAAGCCTGCAGGGACTGACTATATACCCCAGGGCAGCTACATTAAGCTGTAGTTGTTCTGGTGACTACAGTGTCCCTTTAACAAAGTTAGTTTCTATGCAACTCCAGCAAACAGAGTTCAAGATGTTTATCTCCTGGGCCCATACAAAGCACACAAGCGGTTTGAAATGGTCATGGTGTCTGGAGTCTATATGTGCAGTATTTCACTGGGAAACATTGCATATACATTTAAACCCCTTTTCTGCTGGAGGTGAAACTCCACCACCGGTGCAAGGTATTTAGGGTGTCATCATAATTCTAATTCTATGCAGGTTTCTATATACAGAGTTCCATTCGTGGTCTGAGATGGGTCAGCTGACACTCTGAGTAAATGAATGGCAATTGGCTTCTGGCTTCTACAGATCTATAGAAACTGATCTTGTTACCAGTGGGGTATCTCAGGGATCTGTACTTGGACCCATTCTCTTTAATATTTTTATTACTGATATTGCAGAAGGTCTTGATGGTAAGGTATGTCTTTTTGCTGATGGTACTAAGATATGTAACAGATGTTCCAGGAGGGGTAAGCCAAATGGCAAATGATTTAAGTAAACTAGAAAAATGGTCAGAGTTGTGGCAACTGACATTTAATGTGGATAAGGGAAAAATAATGCATCTTGGATATAAAAACCCAAGGGCAGAGTACAGAATATTTGATAGAGTCCTAACCTCAACATCTGAGGAAAGGTATTTAAGGGTGATTATTTCTGATGATTATTTCTGATGATTTAAAGGTAGGCAAACAATGCAATAGAGCAGCTGGAAATGCTAGCAGAATGCTTGGTTGTATAGGGAGAGGTATTAGTAGTAGAAAGAGGGAAGTGCTCATGCCATTGTACAGAACACTGGTGAGACCTCATTTGGAGTATTGTACGCAGTACTGGAGACCGTATCTCCAGAAGGATATTGATACTTTGGAGAGAGTTCAGAGAAGGGCTACTAAACTGGTTCATGGATTGTAGGGTAAAACTTACCAGGAAAGGTTAAAGAAACTTAACATGTATAGCTTGGAGGAAAGACGAGACAGGGGGGATATGATAGAAACATTTAAATACATAAAGGGAATCAACACAGTAAAGGAGGAGGAGACTATATTTAAAAGAATCAAAACTACCACAACAAGAGGACATAGTCTTAAATTAGAGGGGCAAAGGTTTAATAATAATATCAGGAAGTATTACTTTACTGAGAGGGTAGTGGATGCATGGAATAGCCTTCCAGTAAAGGAGTTTAACCCCTTAAGGACACATGACATGTGTGACATGTCATGATACCCTTTTATTCCAGAAGTTTGGTCCTTAAGGGGTTAAACATGCGTGGGATAGGCATAAGGCTATCCTAACTATAAGATAAGGCCAGGGACTAATGAAAGTATTTAGAACATTGGGCAGACTAGATGTGCCTAATGGTTCTTATCTGCATTCACAGTCTATGCTCATCACGAGCCACTGGCCCACATGACCAATAGCTGCCACTTCTGTTGAAGCCAAGGTAAAATAGATAGAAGGATTTATATGGATATTCTCACCCAACGATCTGCAGAAAAACCCATGCAATGACAGCAAGCAGTGTTTTGTAGTGTTCTGCCATCCTGTTCAGATGATCATGTGCTCGCTATAGCTTTCATCTTGCTCTTCATAGTAGATCGGACTGGACCTTTCGCACAGTGAAAGGCTGTTCAATGACCCACCTTCCACATGCTAATGTTTGGTCCAACAGCTGCTCATGTGGAGTGTGCCAAGTTTATCGAGTCTACATGGTTTTCGGCACTAAATAATATCTCTTCCACATTTCGAGTGTTTTGCTGACTAATGTGAATGCTGACTTGCAGACGTAGAGTGGATCTTTATCCTAGCACGCAACATGTAGTCTCTTAGTCTGGAGTATTTTCTGGAGTGTTTCTTTGGCAGACCCAAGTGTATTTTGCTAGAATGTTCTGCATGATCTGGACTGTAATAATGACTCATCTAGGAATATTCTACTACTGTGACTACTGCACTGCCACACCAGCATGTTTTCTTCCCGTGGTTAATAAGGCAGCACCTGGTCCACGATAACAGGTATCAGTTTGTTGTCCTTATATTAGATGTACCATTTGCCTTGGCATATATGGACAACTTGCCACCTGTAACTCCAGTCACTTCACCCAGCCAGAATTATAGAAGATTTTTTGTTAAACTTTTGTGGAAGACTGACTTATGATATTTGAAGCTATACGTCTTCCCAGTAAGTGGTCTTTTTGCACAGATTATATTTTGACACTAGTAACATTTTGTCTTTTGTGGATGTCGTGACCCACTGGACCAAGTCACTGCTTCCAAGTAGCAAATCTCTATCTGCAGTTCTGTCACAGTACTGCAAATCACGCTAGAATGATTTCCTTTGTTTGCTTGCGTCTATTCTTCTTCAATGATTCCCGCAGGCAATTGCACGCTAATGATCTCAATTAACTTGATACGCCAATCTTTTTTCTTTTGACAAAAGCAATGAGAAGAAAATAGCACCAATTTATTTCCAGATGTAATACTAATTTTTTTTCTGGATGATATGTAAATAGGTTAGAAAGGAAAATAGGCAACCGTCAGTGTGTGGAGAAGGAACTAACATAGAATTTATGCAGTAGAAGAAGACATTCATTCAAGGAAGGATACTCTGAATATGAGTATTCATAGTACTGGTAGACTGCAAGATAGTATCACAACAGTTACAAAATATCAGCGGTGATGTGGATTAAGATATTTTTTTAAATATCCATTGTAAAATTGAAGATCAATCCAGGAAAAGATTGCCAGAAGAAAAAGAAAGACAGAGCCAAAAATTAGGTACACTAAAGAAACGGGGGGTAACCCCAAGTAGGAAATATCAGAAAGAAGGGTGGTGTACCTACACAGTCTGAAATTGGAGTCAAAGATGCATGACTTATTGTTAAATCTCAGAAATAACGGACTGATCACTGCCAGACATTGTACTGGATTAATAAAATGCCTCAATCAGAAGGCAAAAAATAAATACATTTTATTAAACAAAAACCTTATGACAAGGATAATGTGTAATGAATGTGCCTGTGTACAAACGATTAACAAATAATGGGTATTAGAAATCTATACCCTGTTAAAAAAATACCTAGTGGTATGAAAAAATCACAATGTAAGCTATGGTATATTCTATAATTGTATGCAACAACCGCTAACAAAAATCTAGGATATGGTCTCTAATTATGTGCGACAGCCGCTCACAAAAATAAATGAACTGTCAAGACTATCTAGTCTAACTAACAATTTGTTGCCAAAAAAAACAGGACTGATAAGGACTGCACAGGTAGATTGGCAAGTGTGGCGTCCTAACAGTAAAATAAATCGATAAGAAAATGAGCTGCTGGATGTAAAACTAGCAAAATGATCTATTAGTCACTAAGTTTATATATCTCTTAGTGTTCTCCTTAATGTTCATTAGATTCAGCATACAACGTGCTCCAACATTGGAAGCAATATATCTCTTACTACAGCTCAAATCACTGTTGGGGAACGCCAGACCAGAGTTATACTTGGTGAAACTGGTCGGTCTGTAGATTAATGCGGAAGGGGGATAAGTATTAGTGGGTCCTATAGTTAGGATCACTAAATGCAAAGTTCTAAGAGTTTCTAATAGTGCTGCTCCTACAGATGAACTAAATACGAAAACCTTATCAGGGTAATGACAGCTGCATAGTAAAGTATCTATGCTAAAAACTTCTAACACTATAAATCCCCCTGTGCCTTCAAGGGCACCTGCTGCTTGTCCCCCTAGGCTAGTGCCGCTAAGGTGGTGGCAAAAAATAGAATTAAATAATAAAATGATAACGAAGTAAGCTAATCAATTCAGTGGCTCGGTTGCAAGTGTGCCACTGAATTGATTAGCTTACTTCTTTATCATTTTATTATTTAATTTTATAGTGTTAGGAGTTTTTAGCACAGATACTTTACTATGCAGCTGTAATTACCCTGATAAGGTTTTCGTATTTAGTTAATCTGTAAGAGCAGCACTATTAGAAACACTTAGAACTTTGTAATTAGTGATCCTAACTATAGGACCCACTACTACTTATCCCACTTCCGCATTAATCTATAGACCGACCACTTTCACTAAGTATAACTCTGGTCTGGCGTTCCCCAACAGTGATTTGAGCTTTAGTAAGAGATATATTGCTTCCAATGGTGGAGCACTTTGTATGCTGAATCTAATGAACATTAAAGGACCACTATAGTGCCAGGAAAACATACTTGTTTTCCTGGCACTATAGTGCCCTGAGGGTGCCCCCACCCTCAGGGACCCCCTCCCACCGGGCTCCCACTTACCTCTTTCTCCAGCGCCGGGCGGGGAGCTCTCCTCCTCTTCGGCTGAATGCTCATGCGCGGCAGGAGCCGCGCACGCATTCAGCCGGTCTCATAGGAAAGCTTTCCTATGGACGCTTGCGTCTTCTCACTGTGATTTTCACAGTGAGAAGCACGCAAGCAAGCGCCTCTAGCGGCTGTCAAGAGACAGCCACTAGAGGCTGGATTAACCTATTTATAAACATAGCATTTTCTCTGAAAATAATCAGTGGGGTAATAGCTTCTTGATCCAAAGAGATTCCATTCTGGAGTCAAGATAGAATTGTTCCTAGTTTTTTGTCTTCTTTTAGATCAACAGCAAAAACAAATGTGAGAGAGGCTGAACCTGATGAACACGTGTCTCTTTTCAGCTATGTAACTCTATAAACTATTTAAATGTAATTATTATCTAAATGTGGCTTTCGCCCTTGGTTTATTCTATTTTCCAGTTCTAGTTTTTTCTATCCTGTTTATGATGAAAAAAACTTATAAACATTAAAATTACCAAAAAATAGACTCTACCATGTGGTTATGTAAATGGTTAGTAAATGCACTATTTGTGTCATAAGATATATATATATGGTAAAGATGTCTTAAAAGGAAGGCTTAGCTCTTAAAGACACACTAAGCACCATAATCACTATAGCAATGGAGAATAAACCATAGTGATTTTTTGGCTTTTGAAAATTGTACACTGAAAATGTAGCTGGAGCATGACTCCATCCATCTTGCTTGGAATGACAGAGCTCCTGTACTCCGACCTAGTACCTCAGCCCAATCTGCTTCCTAGCCATTGTGGAGGTAGCCTGGAACGCTTTGGGCCCAGTCGCCAAAGTTTGACTGGGGTCTCTCCGGAACTCTTCCCCCGACCTGACTCTTCTTCCAGGCAGGTATCGTCCCCTCTGCCTATTCCTCTGCATCTCTGCTTATAGTTATTGCTATTGCCTTTACAATTGCAGCTCTCAGGCCTAACTCTCTCGATTTATCCCAAGGCTAGAGGGATTGTGCAAGCAGCCAACAGGTCCGAAGACTCTGTCACTGGGATCCCTAAAAATCCACACAGGACACACAGTTCCAAAAGGAACACACATACAATGCTCTATTTTTAAGAAGAGCCTGGCCTTCAAGCCTCTCCAAAAGGCCACAACATAGGAGTTTCTGTCACACTTGGTACTGAGGGAAGCTGCAAATTAGAATTATGTTATATAGGGTTAATGATGGACTTGCCAAATTGTCTTCTATTTTTCTAGAGAAAAGACTCATGGGTGAATAAAATAGAACTAGGAGCTTAGACTTCATAAGCTTCATTAATACATGTTCTGTAATCAAGTGATTTTTCCCTACAATTTATTTTGCATTTTTCCCCATTACTTTTTATATAGTGTATTCCATTCATTATTAGTACTATGTATATTATTTGGCAGCCATGTTCTGTCCTCCTCTGTCCTCATGCAACATTTCAATTTTGCCATGGAAACATTGCGCACATTATTGCCGCATTTTTTATAGTTAGTGGTGCCTAATAGTGTAGAAAATTTGGAGGGGAATATACAAAGAAATGAAACACTTCTTTTTTTGACTCCTTTAAAAACATTTTAATTGTTACAGATTTTAAACATCCATTTTTGGGAACACATACTAAATCTCCCCCTGTGTGTCAAACAGCAGGTCTCCTATAGATGTAACTGTGAAATTATCCGTGAACCTGTAATCAAGAGATGTCTTCTAGACCAGTGTTCTGCAACCTTTTAACACCCGTGGCCCGGCGAAAATAGGATACCAATGGTATGTGTGAGGAATGCAGTGTATGTGAGTGCAGGGTGCTGTGTGTGTGAGGGATGGAGTTTGTGTGTGGGGGGAGGGTAAGGAGGTGCAGGGTATGTATGAGGGATGCAGTGTGTGTGTGAGTGGTGCAGTGTGTGTGTGAAAGGGTGTGTGATGTGTGCAGGGTATGTGTAAGGTGTGTGTGAGGGGTGGAGTTTGCGTGTGTGGGTGAGCAAGGGGGGGAAGGATATGTATGAGGGATGCAGTGTGTGTGTGAGTGGTGCAGTGTGTGATGGGTGCAGGGTATGTGTAAGGTGTGTTTGAGGGGTGGAGTTTGTGTGTGTGGGGGAGCAAGGGGGTGCAGGGTATGTATGAGGGATGCAGTGTGTGTGTGAGTGGTGCAGTGTGTGTGTGAAAGGGTGTGTGATGGGTGCAGGGTATGTGTAAGGTGTGTGTGAGGGGTGCAGGGTGTATGACGGGGCGCTGTGTGTGTGAGTGGTGCACGGTATGTGTGTGAGTGGTGTATGGTATGTGTGTGAGGTGGTAAGGTATGTGTGTGAGGGGGTGCACGGTATGTGTGTGAGGGGCTGCTGTGTGTGTGTGAGGGGTGCTTTTTGTGTGTGTGTGTGGTGGGGTTTCAGGGTATGTGTGAGGGGTGCAGTATGTGTGAAAGGATGCATGGTGTGTGAGGGGTGCAGTGTGTGTGAAAAGATGCAGGGTGTGTGAGGGGTGTGTGGGCGTGAGGGGTGCAGAGTATGTGTGAGAGGATGCAGGGTATGTGTGTGAGGGGGTGCTGAGTGTGTGAGGGATCTATATTGTGGTGGGGGGTAATAAGGAAGCTTTATGCCCATCTTCTTACCTCTGGCCTGGAAGGAGTGGACATATCACTGCAATCCCTGGTAGTCCAGTGGTGGTACGTGCAGGCCAAATTCGATAATTTCTTCCCGCGAGCACAGTGCTGTGTCGGAGCATTGCCATGATACCGCACAGCAACGCTCCAACCTACCTGTTCGCGGTAGGATCACAACTTCCTGGATCCTCCTCCTGCCCTGCAGTCTCCCGGGTCCTACTTCCCTCCCTCTCCCTTAACAAACAGCCAGGAGACCAGTGAAGGAGATCTTTGATCTCCCCTCCAGCCCGAGAAAGGCAGACAGCAGGGCCAGCTCACCCCAGGTGAAAGCATGGTAAAAACTTTTGCGGACCAGCAATAAATTCTTGCTGTCCGGCCCCGGTCCGCGGACCACCAGTTGAAGACCACTGTTCTAGACAGCTCAATGAGCACTCTGTGTTATTTTCCTTTATTTTCAAGCTGTATAATCGAGTTGGTTGTTCTCACAGATTGTCTGATGAGAACAGGTTGTGTTGAAACATAAACAAGTCTGGATGTGTGAGAAAATCAGGGCCGATCAGGAAGTGAGCTTAGATTTTAAGGACTTACTCAAAATGAAAAGGTCACTTGACTCTCTTGATCCGTACAAGCTGTCATACTAAATACCATCTCACCCTGTGGCTTCGCCACCCTTAGGAAAAAGCAGCCTCTTTCACTGTAGACTATCGTGACCTTACGTTTGATGTGTGCTTGGCTGGGCTGTTTGATGGAAATCACAGTCTTCTAAATGACTGTAACACTGAGCAGTATTCACGCTGGGTTTTACTCTGATGAAAATTGCTCAGTGATATGAACCAGTCTATATTTTCTCTTCTTTTGTTGAGGGACGGTTTTTGTCCCCCTGTGTACTTACAAGCAGGCAACGTTCTTAACACACCAGCAATCAAAGGGTTATACATATTGCCTAGCTGTTGTAATTTTGTCTTTTTTTTTTATGATTTAAAAAAAAAATATATATATTAAAGGACCACTAATGGCACCCAGACCGCTTCAGCTTAATGAAGTGGTCTGAGTGCCAGGTCCATCTAGGATTAACCCTACCTGCTGTAAACATAGCAGTTTCAGTGAAACTGCTATGTTTACATATGGGTTAATCCAGTCTCTAGTGGCTGTCTCATTGACAGCCGCTAGAGGCGCTTCCGCACTTCTCACTGTGATTTTCACAGTGAGAAGACGGCAGCGTCCATAGGAAAGCATTGAGAATGCTTTCCTATGGACTGAGTTAATGCGTCCAATGACGTCCAAAGGAGGAGGAGCATGGTGCTGGAGAAAGGTAAGTGTTTAACCCCCTTCCTCCCCCTTCAGCCCAGCGGGAGTGGGACCTCAGGACACTATAGTGCCAGGAAAACGAGTTTGTTTTCCTGGCACTATAGTGGTCCTTTAATGATTTCGTGGTCCTTTAATGGTTTCAAAAGGTAAAATGCCTTTATATTCACAAATCACTCTTCCACCCCACCTTGTGCGTAGTACAAAATGCCCAATAATTGCATCTTGCATGTTTGACAGTGTTTGCATCTTGCATTTTTTAATAGTTATGTGCAAACTGGAAAAAGTATCTTTCCTAAGATCTCATAATGTGCATTTGCATATATCATATACCTGTGTACATGGCATTGTGTTTTATGGTTAGGGTTAGATATTGATAAATAAACACAGTTTGTGTTATACAGGTACGCTCTGTAGGAGGCTTCTAAACATTTTTTCTTCCATTTTCTGAGGTCTGGTGGCATTTAGACTTGGAGATTTGTTTCGAGCCAAAGTGCATTTCGGACTAATGTGGGCCAATCTGGTGTTCGGAAGAATTCTATAATTCCGAGCTGAAATGTGCCAGACATATTGAATAAACGAAACGCGCCATTCTGAATATGTTCAGCTGGGTTTAATATTCTAATTTCTGATGATAGTGCCTATAAAAAAGAGATGATTGACGGGAAAAAAAAGATTAATGGGTAGGCGAAGGTCACTAAATGTTGATTTTATTCACAGATTAAGTGAAACGTGAGCAGTAGATTGAAAAGCAGGAGTAAAAAAATAAATCTATACAGTATATGTATTAATATACATATGTATTTGATAAATGTTCCAATCAGTGTACTGCTACGTATATACATAATGTTGTATGTTATATTATGTATATATTTTGCACACACTGATTGGTCCATTTTTGTACCTTTTAGGTTTGTTTTCCTGACTCGATTCTCGAACAGACATCTGACTAAATTTTGTGTGTCCTGAAAAATGTCCCATCTCTGGAAAAATTGATTCCGCACAGGTGAAATTTCTCTTTTTAACAAGTCTAATGGCAGTGTAGAGGCCACACTCTGATCGATAAACGTGGATATAGCTAGCTGCACATTAAGCTGCATTGGTAGTTCTGATGAAACCAGAGATTTTCAATTTACAAATGTTCTCACACAACTTGAATCAGCAGTTGTAACGCATGGAAGTTGTAGATTAGCCGTTGATCAATTCTGTACTGAGTAAAGACAAGGTGCTGTGACCTGGTATTAATTAGGAAAGTTAGTATCTCCCTGGACTGAAAAGGAAGGGGGGCATGACTGCAGGCCAGCAGTAAGGAGGGATGGCTATACTGGATACTTTGTTGCAATATGGAATATAAAGCAGGACAGAGGAGGGGCCTTGACAGTTGCTCAGTAAATTTAGGATTGAGAACTTGCTAAGGGGAAAATCAGTGGGCTCAGATGTTTCTCTGGTTTGATATCTTACATTAAAGGGACAGCTAAGTCACATGAAGGCACCATAACAACTACATCTACATGAAGTTGTTATGGTGCCAGGAGGCCACTGGCACATTCTTACCTCCAGGGGTTAAACAGTTTTGGAACGGTTTAACCCAGAAGTTGGCTCAAGCCTTGGAAGAGGTAGGTTTCTTTCAGCTCCAGTTTTGTGAATGGGGAGTCATTGATTGGCTGAGAGTGTCAACTGAACGCTCTCAGCCAGTCAGAGGCACCCCTGCCCGGCCTTCCTGTAAGTAAAATTTCAAAAGCCGGATGCTGTGTGTGGGGACGGAGGGTGTGGAGATCGGCGCTGGAGGCAACTTCTGGGTTAAGTTCTGCTGTAAGCCAATCATCAGAGCCCCTGCCCGGCAGCACTACCTGCTTTCTGAAACTGTGATTTAGATTAAGTTGTTCTGGTGACACTTTAAGGTCGTGATCTCCGCATTATTTATTGGTTGTGACAGTCATTGTGTGTGTCTTTGTGCGTGAATGTATGTGTGGTGTGGGATCTCATATTGTCCTGTTTCTGATGAAGGATTTTTGTATTTTTTCTAAAATTGGGTGAATGTTTTGCTGCTAAATGGATTATAAAAGTATCTCCAAAAGCCTTGCTGTTCATCAGTCCACGGTAAGACAAATTTTATAACATGACAGGAGGCTTCGTATTTGCATCAACTTTCTTTACTAGCTCCATAGCAGCAAAGAAAAAATCATTAAAGAAAGAACCAATCAGAGTAGAACAGAGGATATATAAGTCCCAGCGTAGCCAATCATTTCCTCTTTCTTTGCTGCTCCATCACAAGTCAGGTCAGAGTACTGATTTCTTTAAGATTCCTGCCAGGTTTCTTTAAGATGTTTTGACTGTATGTTTTGGCTTAACTGTACTTTATCTTACTGTTTTATTTACCTATATGCTGTAGTGGATTAGGGGGGCCAGGGGAAACCTGAGTGGGACTACCCTTTCCTGTCAGGGGAGCTGTGCTCCCTTTGGGGCAGGGTACTGGGCTGAGGCTCTCCTCTCCCTGCTCGTACGGACTGTTTGTCCGACTACCTCCCACCCCCCCTTCCCCACCCCTCCCTTCCTTTTCACCTATTCCAGGGTGGCTACGCTCGCCACCCCCCCTTTTTTCTCTGCTGTCTTGCTCTGCTCGCGCTCTAGTAGAGCGAACAGGCGAGACCCTCGTCTCTCAGGGCGCCGGGCTTTCGCGGCCCGATCCGTTCGCGCCGTCAGCTTCAAAGGCGCGAACGGGCGGACCGTTACTGCTCGCGCCCCCCTCCCAAGCCGTTCGCGGGGTTTTGCCGCGAACGCATTTAATTTGCGAATGGACAGTTTCCCGAATTACTCAAGGGAATTCAGTCCGTTCGCGGGTTTTCTTATGCGCACAGCGTTCGGCGGTTTCAGCCAGGCGAACGGCCGTTCGCGGCTAATCTGCCGAACGCTGGAAGGGCTCCATTTTCGCGGGCTTTGTGCCTGATAGTCTCGCGAGACCCGTGCGGCCATTTTGTGGGTTACCGGTTTCGTGGAGTGTAACACCTATCAAGAGAAGGCTCTAGCTCTATCAAGCTTATTACTAATTCTGCTGTGGTGGAATTCGTTTGGGACCTACACAGGCTGGTGTCATTGCCCCTGGGGAGTGGGACTGCCAGTAGGGTTTAGCCCAATATCCTGGCTAGGGGTGAGCCCCCATTGAGTGCTGCATAGCGGGAACTGTTGAAGCAGTTCCCTGTGAACCTGGGTGAGCCCCAGCGACTCGGAGTCCAGTACCACGCCACTGCGCGTTTTTTACCTTGAGTCCCTCCCGTACGGTCCCTCACCTCTCGTAGCTATACCTGTGCCTGTTAGTGCCCACGCCATGGAGGACACAATTAATACCAGTGACCTTCAAGCAATGATCAACGCGGCGGTAGCTGCGTCTTTGGAAAAAGCGTTAGCAAAAGCGGCTCCTGCCCCCGCTGAATCTCATGCGCTGTCTAACAAGCCACACCAGGCTCACGAAGACTCAGATGAGTCGGATGACTCCACTAGAGAAAAGAAGCGCCCGGCGAAACGCCACTGGAAGGGCGAAGCTTCCAAGCGAGCTGCCTTCAAAGGCAAGGCCCCTATGAAGCGCGATAAACGCACTAATCAGATACCTCCCGTGTACGCTGGGGAGGCCTCCTCAGATGAGGAGCAGGACGTGCCCCACTCTCTCTCCATTCTGGATGAGTGGCAGGCTGAAACCTCCGACTCTGACGAAGGCGATTGGGGCCCCAACGCCTATGTCACCGAGACATTTCTGGGTGAGCCCCAGCAAAAAGGAGATGCGGAACCCCCCGCCACGGCCACGCAGGAGCAGGAAGTATTCCTGGATTCCACGGGCCAGAGAATGTTTGATCCTAGGAAGATCCGCCACCCCCGCTCGGGTGAGTGGGCCCCTCCTGATCATCTCATCCGCTTCATGCATTTTTGGATCAGAAAACCTTTGGAAAAACATATCCGTAAGAGGATGCGGGCAGAGTGCCCGAGACCTACCCTGCCCGATAAGGTGGCCTATACGCCGGAATTTGATCAGCTTATGCTGACCTTTATGGAACAAGGGGGCCGCGACCCACGGAGGGGGATTGAGAAGAGTTTTAAGGGAGCTCAGGATAAACTCCTAGACACAATGGGCCCGTTGGCCCGAGTTATGTACCTGGCGGACGAAGCATACGCCAGAGCGGACTCCTTCACGGCAGACATGGTACGAGAATGGGCACATAATATCCGAGAGTGGGCCCAGAGGGGCTTTTGTTTCCTCGGTAATACAAATGCGGCCCTCTCTACGGAGCGGCGCCGGGCAGCACTTTTTCGTATCGACCCCAAATTAGCTGACCTCGGGGTCAAAGAATTGGGCCCACAGGCACAGGGCAAGCTCTTTGGTGAAGCTTTTATGAAGGAACTGAATAAGCACGTAAACGTCTTTACCTCCTTGAATAGAGCCCGCACGTCCATGCGTAAGGTCTTCCGAGGTTCCTCCGCAAAGGGTGTTTTTTCAAGGGCTGGTCGGCAGCGGGGCCGTGCCGCCAGCCGGTTCTGGCCTTCAGGCCCCCGTATGGGCTTCCAGCACCAATTCTTCCCTCAACAAGGCTACCAGGGCAACGGAGCCAAACAACCATTCCCCTATTACCAAAGGGGTTCTGACAGAGGACGGGGCGGTCGAGGACGAGGCCGTGCACGCTTCCCTACAGGTAAGAGACCACCTTTGTTTGGTACCTCATATAACTATGATTGCAGGCCGTGTTTCCCTGTTTTCCCAGAATTGGGCGCAACTGTCCACGGACGCTTGGGTGCTACAGACCGTCCAAGGATATCGAATAGAACTCCGATCACAGCCCATTCAAAGATTTCCCCCTTATCCTTTACGCCTTTCGGCTGCGGACAATCGCCTCATAAACGGGGAACTCCGCGAGCTTCGCATAAAGGGCGCTATCGAACCGGCGCACACAAGGGGAGGATTCTTCAGCAACATGTTCCTCGTCCGCAAGAAGACCGGGGACTTCCGGCCAGTGATCAATTTGAGAGGACTAAACACGTTTGTGACCTACCGCCATTTCAAAATGGAGGGCATCCATTTACTGCGGGATCTCCTCCAAGAAAGGGATTGGTTTACGCGGCTAGACCTCAAGGACGCTTATCTGACAATTCCAATCCACATGGACAGCCGTCCATTTCTCCGCTTCCTCTGGAATGGCACGCCATGGCAGTTCACGTGCCTTCCGTTCGGACTGAGCTCGGCACCGTGGTGCTTCACAAAAATGCTCAAACCGGTGGTATCCCACCTCCGAACACACGGGATCAGATGCATAATTTATCTGGACGACATTCTCCTGTTCTGCAGAACAAGGGAACTGGCCATCCGGCACACTATGTATACAGTACAACTGTTAGAATCCTTGGGCTTCGTGGTCAACAAGGCCAAATCCGCAATGGTGCCTGCCCAACGAATCCAATTCCTGGGCTTCGAGATCGACTCCAGGTCTTGCACCCTACATCTCCCCTCAGCCAAAGTGACGGCTATCAAGAAGGAGATCCGCAGGGTTCTCAAATTGGATTCCATTCCGCTCCGTCAACTGGCACGGATTGTGGGACTCTTATCATCTTCAATACAAGCCATATTTCCGGGACCCCTTCACTATCGAGCGATGCAACGGCTGAAGGCCAGCCTCCTCCGCCAAAATCCCACATACAACCAACCAGTACCACTGTCGGAAGAAGTATACCAAGAACTCCAGTGGTGGCTCCACTGCATGCAGGCCTGGAATGGTCGGGCCATCTTCGGCAGTCAACCGGACTTCGTCCTAGAGTCGGACGCGAGTCGCCTAGGATGGGGCGCCACGGACGGAGAAACGTCCACAGGGGGCACGTGGACACCACAGGAATTATCGATGCATATCAATTGCCTCGAACTCCTAGCGGGTTCCTTTGCTATCCGCAGCCTCACAAAAGGGCAGTCCAATTGCTGTATACTGTTGAGAATGGACAATGTATCCGCGGTACGATACATCAACCGCTTGGGGGGCACCCGGTCGAGAACCCTGGTGCATCTGACGAAGGAAATCTTCGACTACTGCCTCCCGCACAATATCACACTACGGGCAGAACACCTGCCGGGGGAGACGAACCTCACGGCGGATTGGTATTCCCGTCATTGGAGGGATGCCAGCGACTGGCAACTGGACCCGCGGATATTCGCACACCTACAAGACCAGAAGGGACCCTTTCGACTGGACCTCTTTGCCTCACGAAACAACCGGCAGGTCCCACAATTCTACAGCTGGCTACCGGACCCGGATTGCTTAGCGGTAGATGCCTTCACTCAGCACTGGCCACATCAAGGGGCATATGCCTTTCCCCCTTTCGCCATGATTGCCAGAGTTCTCAATCACCTTCGCAGACGGAGGGTCCGACTGACCCTGCTGACGCCACTTTGGCCGAGTCAGCCCTGGTTCCCGGACCTTCTCGAATTGTCTTATCAGGACCCGATCCTCCTACCGAACAACGACATGTTACTCAGGGACCCGACGGGGAACGCACATCCGATGGTGTCAGACGGCCGTCTGACCTTAGTGGCCTGGACTCTTTCAGGGGAACCTGGCGTACCGACGAATTATCGTCAACGGCTAAAGACCTCCTTTGGGATTCCTGGGCCCCGGGAACACGGAGAAGCTATCTATCCGCATGGAGAGCTTGGACCAGTTGGTGCGTGGGACGGGACTTGGATCCCTTTACAGCCCCTGTTTCCGATATCATGAATTTTCTCTCAACCCTATTCGAGGACGGGAAGTCGTACCGCACCATAAATGTCACGAGATCAGCTATCTCGGCAGCGCACGTGCCGTTTCAAGGAAGGGCAGTTGGACAGGATCCGCTAATATGCCGCCTGCTACGGGGCATCAAACTAAGGAGACCGCCAGCACCTAAATATCAACATCTCTGGGACGTGGAGATAGTCCTTCGTTTTCTCAGGGACTGGCCTCCCAACGAACAGCTGTCATTGAAACAACTGACGGCGAAGTTCACCTTCCTGTTGTGCATGGTGTCCTTCCGGAGAGTGGCTGACGTTCGGACTTTCGATAAGGACGCTTTCTCCATTGGACCCGAAGGAGTCACGTTTCACATATCTCAGCGTAACAAATCCAATACAACATCAGTGTTCTATCCGTTTTTCAATTCGGATCCCCAGCTATGCGTGGTCCGGACCCTCCGAGCCTACGTGTCGGCAACGGAAGGCTTACGCTCACCGTCCGCACGACAACTCTTGGTATCATATGTGACTCCACACGGCCCGGTCTCGGTCATCACATTGGCCAGATGGGTCAGGTGGATCCTGGCTCTAGCTGGGGTGGAGGCCTCATTTGGCGCACACTCCGTTCGAGGGGCAGCGGCATCATCGGCATTTTTAGCAGGCGCCTCTCTGGCGGATATCCTACACACGGCAGATTGGTCCCGGGAATCTACCTTTCGGACCTTCTATTTTCGCCCGTCATCCAATGCCGCTTTCGCTCTTCTACCTAAGCGTTAAAACTGCAAATACGAAGCCTCCTGTCATGTTATAAAATTGAAGATTATGCTAGCGCAGTGTACTAATAATCTTAATTTTAATTATGACAGGAGGCGAGTATTTCCCACCCTTTCTTTCTCATAGAAGTTCCCGCCCAGATGGAGGTAAGTAGTTGGTGGGAGTAGTTTGGTTGTATATCGGGACTTACTTACTTGAATTAGCTTGTTATGCTGTTATATGTATTATAAACTATTAGACTAGTTGGTATGGTGAATTTTAAGATGTCTTATTGACTAGTTGATTCGTTACAGATAATTGGTTTTCTTTGGTCAGTCCCGTATCATTGATACTACTCTCCCTCTCTTTTCAGTTTGACAAACCACAAGGATGATGGGAAGGCTGAAGAGGCCATTGTTATGACCATGTTGGATTTCGTTATGACGGTTGGAATAAAGTTACTAAGGACTTATTACTACATTTGGATCTTGTGATGTCGCAGTAGTCAAGAGGAAATGATTGGCTACGCTGGGACTTATATATCCTCTGTTCTACTCTGATTGGTTCTTTCTTTAATGATTTTTTCTTTGCTGCTATGGAGCTAGTAAAGAAAGTTGATGCAAATACTCGCCTCCTGTCATTATTAAAATTAAGATTATTAGTACACTGCGCTAGCATAATCTTCAATTGTCTATAAATGGAGAAAGGTCATGACAGGCGCACAGTCGGATTTGCCGGCATATACGCTAACCTTACCCCAACCCCCATTAAAACACGGACACAGGTTATACTGTTGGAAATAATTTGTCCACAGCTTTATTAAATTATTAATAAATAATTAAGGAATAACAAATGGGGTCATTGCCAAAAAATCTTAATAATGTTAACCTCCCCCATATACATAACATACCCCTAGCAATGACCCCACAATAATAACAATAGATAACAATATAAATAACATGTTAACACAGAAACTGGCCGTCCAATTTGACCACATTTCCACCAGGTTAAATTGTAGGGGTGTACCGAGACACCGCTACCCACCATATCCATTGTAGGGGTGTACCAAGACACCGCTACCCACCATATCCATTGTAGGGGTGTACCAAGACACCGCTACCCACCAGTTCCAGTGTAGGGTGTACCAAGACACCACCACACCCCCAGGTTCGGAGCCACCGACGGGCTCGAACCTACCAACCACGTGCAACACTGCCCAATCCACACTAAACCTCAGGATGCCCACTTTCTCCTCCATCTACCCTCCGATTTAACCAGGCCATTCCCCGCCGCTGTGAAAAAACGGGAAATCAACTAACCTAACCAAATACAGGGAGGGTGGGAGGGACAACTGACAGGTAAGCTTAGGTTCAGTTAAAATGGCCACTTCATATAATGGCTGGTATAAATACTCCCCTTATGGCTCCGCCCTACCCAGCATGCTGGCTGTCACTAAATTCCTGTGGCTGCTATGCCTACCTCCTGGCTCTGTCAAGGCCTATTCCTCTTAGCTGCGCTGATCCATGGGCTACATGACAGGCGCACAGTCGGATTTGCCGGCATATGCGCTAACCTTACCCCAACCCCCATTAAAACACGGACACAGGTTATACTGTTGGAAATAATTTGTCCACAGCTTTATTAAATTATTAATAAATAATTAAGGAATAACAAATGGGGTCATTGCCAACAAATCTTAATAATGTTAACCTCCCCCATATACATAACATACCCCTAGCAATGACCCCACAATAATAACAATAGATAACAATATAAATAACATGTTAACACAGAAACTGGCCGTCCAATTTGACCACATTTCCACCAGGTTAAATTGTAGGGGTGTACCGAGACACCGCTACCCACCATATCCATTGTAGGGGTGTACCAAGACACCGCTACCCACCATATCCATTGTAGGGGTGTACCAAGACACCGCTACCCACCATATCCATTGTAGGGGTGTACCAAGACACCGCTACCCACCAGTTCCAGTGTAGGGTGTACCAAGACACCACCACACCCCCAGGTTCGGAGCCACCGACGGGCTCGAACCTACCAACCACGTGCAACACTGCCCAATCCACACTAAACCTCAGGATGCCCACTTTCTCCTCCATCTACCCTCCGATTTAACCAGGCCATTCCCCGCCACAGCTCAGGACTTGACACCTAAAGCTCCTGAGCGACCCCCACCACACCGGAATAAGGCCTGTTGAATGCCTTCCTGAAGGCCCAATTTAAACAGATCACACCTTACATCCGAAAATGTACCCCATCCCACCTGGAGTACCCAGGGAGCTTTCCTCCCAATTCGTTGTGTCTCACTGTTACACCGCCCCCACATCTGATAAATACCGCCATCAATTTTTTATTAAGTCGTCCTCGACACCGAGCTACCACGGCCGGGTACGTAGTATGTCTCCAATTAGGGATCGACCGATATTGATTTTTTAGAGCCGATACCGATACCGATATTCTGTGAACTTTCAGGCCGATAGCCGATATAATTTGCCGATATTCTGTACATTTACCATTTTGGAAAATAAAAACTATTTCTAAAGGTAAATGCACAAAATATACATGCAATGTGCAGTGGATGCAGTGTGACAGGGGAGCTGTGTGTGTTTGTGTAGTGTGTGTAGTGGATGCAGTGTGTGTTTGTGTAGTGTGTGTGTTGTGGATGCAGTGTGTGGAGGATGCAATGTGTGTTTGTGTAGGGGATGCAGTGTGTATTAGTGTAGTGTGTATATAATGAAAGCAGAGTGTGTGGGTAGTGTGCGTAAAGTGAATGCTGTATATACTAAATTCAAAGTGTGTGTGTATATAATGAATGCAGAGTGTGTGTTTATTTGTGTAGTGTGTTTATATAATGCAGAGTGTGTGTATATAATGCAGTGTGTTTGTGTAGTGTGCATTATATAAACACACTACACAAACACTGCATTATATAAACACTACACAAACACACACACTGCATTATATAACACACTACACAAACACACACTGCACAAACACACTACACAAACACACACTGCATTATATAAACACACTACACAAACACACACTGCATTATATAAACACACTACACAAACACACACTGCATTATATAAACACACACTATACAAACACACACACTGCATTATATACACACACTATACAAACACACTGAATTATATACACACACTACACAAACACACACTGCATTATACACACACACTATACAAACACACACACTGCATTATATACACACACACTATACAAACACACTGAATTATATACACACTATACAAACACACACTGCATTATATACACACACTACACAAACACAGACTGCATTATACACACACTGCATTATATACACACACACACTATACAAACACACTGAATTATATACACACACACTATACAAACACACACTGCATTATATAAACACACTACACAAACACACACTGCATTATACACACACACTATACAAACACACACACTGCATTATATACACACACTATACAAACACTGAATTATATACACACACTATACAAACACACACTGCATTATATAAACACACTACACAAACACAGACTGCATTATACACACACACACTATACAAACACACACACTGCATTTATATACACACACTATACAAACACACACTGCATTATACACACACTACACAAACACACACTGCATTATACACACACACTACACAAACACACATATACACACACTATACAAACACACACTGCATTATATACACACACTATACAAACACACTGAATTATATACACACACTATACAAACACACACTGCATTATATAAACACACTACACAAACACACACTGCATTATACACACACACTATACAAACACACACACACTGCATTATATACACACACACTATACAAACACACTGAATTATATACATACACTATACAAACACACACTGCATTATATAAACACACTATACAAACACACACTGCATTATATAAACACTACACAAACACACACTGCATTATATAAACACACTACACAAACACTGCATTATATACACAGTGTGTTTGTATAGTGTGTGTATATAATGCAGTGTATTTGTGTGCATTGTATTCAAACACACACACACACTATACAAACACACACTGTATTATATACACAGTGTGTTTGTGTAGTGTATGTGTATATAATGCAGTGTGTGAGGGGCATTTTTTATTAAATTATTTAAAAAAAAAAGTATAATTAATTCTTATTTATTTTTGTTGTCCCCCCTCCCTGCTTGTTACCTGGCCAGGGAGGGGGGATATGACAGTCCCTGGTGGTATTGGCTGAGCTGGGGGGGCGGAGAGCATGCGCTTACTCACCTCCCAGCAGCTCCTCCAGCTCCCCAATGCAACTCTCGCGGCCAGCGTGTCGCGCGGAGCGTTGCCATGGTGATCCATGGCAACGCTCGGAAGGCCGCGGGTCTCGCGAGAGTTGCATTGGGTAGCTGGAGGAACTGCTGGGAGGTGAGTAAGCGCTTGCTCTCCGCCCCCCCAGGACCGCCGGGTTTGTAATGAGCCCGGCGGTCCTAGGAGGTATTATCGGCAATATCGGTATCTGAATTGGCCGATACCGATATTGCCGAGAATACCGAATATCGGCCGATTATATCGGTAAAACCGATAATCGGTCGATCCCTATCTCCAATGTAACCAAGGAACCATCTCGGACCGCACCACCACCACACCCGTGGCCAGCTCCCATAGCTGGTCCACCTCCCTCTGCCTCCACCTGATCAATTCCTTTTCCGGGACCATACCAATATCCAGAATGTCCTGGAAAGTACCCCTTGTTACCTCCCGGAAAAATTTCTCCCCTAATGTCTTGCCACCAAAATCCCTGAAAAACAAAACCACTCCTGCTCCACCAATTTCAAAGGAAAGCCCAGTTACGTTTGAACTGAAACGCAGCTCCCATCTGTGCCCCTTAGATATAAGAATGACCCACCAACCATGTCACCAAACCTGAAACGAAAGTAATTAGCGACACGGCATAGCCCCAAACACAAACCCATACGTCCATAGCCATTAAACCAAATAGACTGGCCTGAAACAGGACTTAAACCGTACTGACTCCCACCTGCCTAAACGTTTCCCTAGGTCCTCACTTAAAACCAGGTGGGGTGCCTCTGTTACCGCCATCATGGGAAGAATGGGTCCCAAAGTGCCCGGGATCCAAACCCAACATTGTCAAACCCCTTCGAACAAACACCTGCGGGAATTGAATCGTGACAGCACCAATCTGTCCCCTTTTACCAGTAAGCCACCCGGGATGTCCGGGCAAAGCTCCAAGTAGCATGATGCGCTTAACACCGGGCGTACCCCTGACCCCGGCAGGGAATATAGCTTTACCAAACCTCCTTTACCAGACACATTCGTTCTTGAACAACCCTACTGAATCGTTACCTTAACCGACTAAGGTTCGACAACCAAGTGTAGAACTCCCCAACACCTGCCCGAAGGCACTCACCAGTTCCCCAATCCAAATTGCCCCAAGCCTCCGAAAAGGCCACCGCAAGCAAACTCACTGCAAAAGTAGGGTAATACACCACCAGGCGTTGCGTTACCCAAGGAAACCCGCCACCGACATATTTCATATCTCTCCGTAAGACCCGCGATGCCTGACGGACGTGACAACGTTCCGTCACTTCCTCCCAATCAGTCAGTTTAAACCCTAACGACAATGCCACCATGCTCCTGTCCATTGCTGATGGAGCTAACGCTGAACAAACAAACGGCTTAGGAACCACAGCAAGGTATCCCTTCGCCCCTCCTTTGACTGGGCCCCCACAGTGAAACCAACCGCCTTGTCCCACATATCTCAAACGTTCACATAGGCAGTCCCTGTGCCCGGTGCCATAGGATTCTGTATCGATCCTCCAAGCATGGCGTCTCGAGCTGCCACATTTCCTCCAGACTGGACAGTCCCTCCTCCCGCGCCCCCTGGGGCCGCCATTCGCAGCTTGTCCCCTTGTGCGCGAGCCAAGTAACCAGCCCTACCTTCCGCCAACCAGGCACGTGGCGTGCCTGCACCCGATACCTGAACAGTGATACGAATCGCCGCCATCGGCGTACCTCCTGAACCGAGGACCCGGCTGGATGGTAAACCACACGAACCCCGCCGTATTGTGCGTGAATTATGACTTTTCATCCCTTAATCCTTCACCTTTTAGAGCCACAGCCACTCCCAATTGAAATAACTCAAAAGATGCCAACGTCGAATAAGAAGACTTACCTTTCATGCCTCCCACCACCGCTCTGCTCACCACCTGCCTTCCAGGTATGCCCCGGAATCTATGTTCCCAGAGGTATCTGTGAACAACTCGATACCACCCGCAAAGGCTCCCCAAGTAGCCTTCGCCATGAAATGGCTACCGACCCAGTCCTCGCGACAAACCCGACATGCAACTTGAAACTGCCTTATGAACAACTGCGATTTCTCAGTGACCTTCTTGGACCTGCGAACCTTCAGCCTGTCGGTGGCACTAAATTCCTGTGGCTGCTATGCCTACCTCCTGGCTCTGTCAAGGCCTATTCCTCTTAGCTGCGCTGATCCATGGGCTACAGCACTGCTGCTACTCTCCCTAGGAGTGGCCGTCCTGTAAGATGACTGCAAGAGCACAGCGCAGACTGCTCAATGAGGTGAAGAAGAATCCTAGAGTGTCAGCTAAAGACTTACAAAAGTCACTGGCAAATGCTAACATCCCTTTTAGCGAATCTACAATACGTAAAACACTAAACAAGAATGGATTTCATGGGAGGATACCACAGAGGAAGCCACTGGTGTCCAAACAAAACATTGCTGCACGTTTACAGTTTGCACAAGAGCACCTGGATGTTCCACAGCAGTACTGGCAAAATATTCTGTGGACAGATGAAACCAAAGTTGAGTTGTTTGGAAGAAACACACAACACCATGTGTGGCGAAAAAAAGGCACAGCACACCAACATCAAAACCTCATCCCAACTGTGAAGTATGGTGGTGGGGGCATCATGGTTTGGGGCTGCTTTGCTGCGTCAGGGCCTGGACGGATTGCTATCATCCAAGGAAAAATGAATTCCCAAGTTTATCAAGACATTTTGCAGGAGAATCCTTAACCCCTTAAGGACACATGACGGAAATATTCCATCATGATTCCTTTTTATTTCAGAAGTTGTGTCCTTAAGGGGTTAAGTCCATCTGTCTACCAGCTGAAGCTCAACAGAAGATAGGTGTTGCAACCGGACAATGACCCAAAGCATAGAAGTAAGTCAACAACAGAATGGCTTAAACAGAAGAAAATACGCCTTCTGAAGTGGCCCTGTCAGAGTCCTGACCTCAACCCGATTGAGATGCTGTGGCATGATCTCAAGAAAGCGATTCACACCAGACATCCCAAGAATATTGCTGAACTGAAACAGTTTTGTAAAGAGGAATGGTCAAGAATTACTCCTGACCGTTGTGCACGTCTGATCTGCAACTACAGGAAACGTTTGGTTGAAGTTATTGCTGCCAAAGGAGGTTCAACCAGTTATTAAATACAAGGGTTCACATACTTTTTCCACCTGCACTGTGAATGTTTACATGGTGTGTTCAATAAAAACATGGCAACGTTTCATTCTTTGTGTGTTATTAGTTTAAGCAGACTGTAATTGTCTATTGTTGTGACTTAGATGATGATCAGATCACATTTTATGACCAATTTGTGCAGAAATCCTTATCATTCCAAAGGGTTCACATACTTTTTCTTGCAACTGTATATAGATCGATATTGTATTATTTTTTCCAGTCAAGACATATTTTTAGAATTGTTATTTTAGTCACCTAGCAACGTTCATATTCGTAAAATAAAATATACAATTAATTGAGTGGAATGTCTCCTAAAAGATAAAAATGTTTTTTGGAAGGAATACGCAACCTTTGTCCCTTCATTTTTATACATTTCAGCTGGTGCCATGAAAGTGCACATTCTTATGAGTTTATTTTAAGAAACATGAGATAATGAACTGCCAAATGCGAAAATAGATTTAGAGGAGCAGTAAGGTCATCAAAACAACTAAACAACTTTAGTTTAATGAAGCAGTTTTTGTGCATAGATCATGCCCCTGAAGTCTCACTGCTCAGTTCTCTCTCATTTAGGAATTAAATCACTTTTGTTTCAGTCCATGCAGTCCTAGCCACACCTCCTTTTTACACAGCCTGCATGAAAACAAAGGATTCAGTTTTCAATAAGACGTTAACTTACTCCAGATGTTTTTTTCTCCTGCTCTGTAAATTGAACTTTAATCTCACCAGGAAGCTCCTGCAAGGTCTAGCTAGGTTTTAACAGAGCAGGAGACAAGACATTCCAAAATTAACAGAATTTGCAATAAAGGAAGTGTAAACATTAGATGACTCTTTACAGGAAGTGTTTAGGAAGGCTGTGTACGTCACATGCAGGGAGGTGTGACTAGGGCTGCATAAACAAAGTGATTTGACTCCTAAATGACAGAGAATTGAACTGTGAGGCTGCAGGGGCATGATCTATACACCAAAACTGTTTCATTAGACTATAGTTTCCCTTTCAGTAGAATTTGTTGACCTGTGGATTAAGATGTGGCTAGAGAACTCAAATCTGTCTGACAAGCAAGGCATTCCTTACCCCTTGAGCAAGTTCTGATTCCAGTACTGGGCATTTCATCTTCCAATTTCCATATACCAGAGATTTCTCTTACAGTTATCTACACTAAAAAAGAAAATATGTGCCAGCAGTTTCAATGTGGCTAGATATTATTTTATTTTAAAGAATGTAGCATTTCATCTATATATTATACTAGTGGGATTGACAACAAATTATTACATTAAAATAAAAAACTACACCTGTCAATCATTTCTAATCACTGATGACTGATAGCAGGGTTATGTACGCCAAGGATTAATTGATTGCAATAGCAGAGTCCATCTCTCCTACAAGACATTCGACTACTTATCGAACATCACATCAAAGACGGTATATGTTCAATAGTGGCTGTGATTATGCCCACAGGGCCTGTTGAAATTGCTAGAGTCTCACACTTTGCCTAAGGACCTGGGTCAACAAAAAAGGTCACTGTGCTTCTGTGACCAATAGGGAGACAACTGGAGAAACCCACTATATATATATATATATATGAGAGAGAATATATTATAAACCATATGTAGCGGATGGCACTGGGCTGTCCTGGGAATTGCATAGGTTTTAACTGTATTCGTGTAAATGGCAGGTTATATGTGTAGAAATGTGTTGTATTCGTCTGATTGTTCGGTAGAATCATTCTAACAACTAAGGGAATGAAACTACCGAACAGTCAGACCTCCTCGGTGTGAAGTGTGCCTTTAATTACCCGTTGCAACATTGTTGCAAACGGGTAATTGACAAGCTGGGCAGTAAGTCCTTTGTTCTCGGGGGTGGCCGCCATTCGGGAAACGAACACGTGGTGGCGGCCATTTTAAAACTCCCGAACAGTGGTGTTTTGCCGCCGAGTGTCTAGAACCCAAATCGGACACTCGACTAGGCGAACACCGCTGAGACCTCCACAAACCCGGTCCGTTCGCTTCCAAACTACCGAACGGCCCCTCGTTCGGTAGATAGAAACAACCGAACTTGGGGATTCAGGCGAACCCTCCCTGGTCTCTGTAACTGGAGGCTTTCGTGCAATTTGTTCCCTTATGCCAGGACCGACCGCAGGGCCCCATCGCATGGAACCCAATTCGGCTGTTCCCTCCAGTGCGGTCGGTCTTTTTATTCCCTCCATAAATTTGCCGAACCCCTGGTCTGATCTGGGTGATTTTTGGATATGTTGTTCACCCAGATCAGGGCTACTAGGGGATGTATCATTTAAACAGGTACCCCTAGGTTTAGGGGTACATCCAGAAACGGGGGGAATTGGTGTCCTGGATAAGGGGATTATGAGTCAGGCTGAGGGGAGGAGATGTGTGGGAGGTTACCAGAACAGGATTGGCTACTCTACTGATTAATGGAAATCCCTCCCTTGCATGGGAGCATGCTTTATAAGGCCACTGTACGAATAAAAGTTTAGTTCTGCTCCTGATACTGTGTGTCGTCCAGTTATTGGGAGTGCTGTTGGGATACTGCTGTATTGTTTTGCCTGCTGGATACTTTGCCTATGGATTTATAATTACTTGTTCCTGAGCCTCACTGGGATCCACAAGTGGAGATAGGCTATGAAATACTAGCTCTCCGCTACACCATATACCGATAATAATATTACTCCCATTAACTGTGATTGGGTATTACTGGTGTGATTTGAAATGTTTGCAGCTTTGTTAGCATTTTGCAATCAGGTGGCCTGGCCTTGTAGAAGGGTAAAACATTGTAGTAGCTCTGTTTTTATTTCATGCTCTATATAAATAGGTAAATGTTACACCAGCACTCTGGAATTCCAATACAATTATTTCTTTATGTCAGGATTCCATAGGTCGACATTTCAGTTCCTAAACATCAACTTATGGAATTTTAATATAATAAAGAAATAATTTTATTGGAATCCCAGAGTGCTGGTGTATTATTTACCTATGTATGCAAGTGTTACTAAGCACGGGGTAGTAAGTGTTTTAAGTTGGAATCCAAAGCCACTTGGAAAATAAAATTTAAATTGAATATATATATATATATACATACTGGAAAACGAGAGAAATCTCAATGTATCCATCCTGGTAAAATATTTTATAAATAAATAAATAAAATCACGACGCTCGCCCAGCAGTAGATAAGCACGGCGAGATCAGTAATCCATTTAGACTGAATGCCCGATGCCCTCATTCTGAACTGGTGACAGCAGTTCCCTATTAACTCCATGTACATATTGTGTTTCAAGTGTCTGATGGGAGTGACACTACATTGAGCATCAGTTTTATACTCAAACTAAATGGATTGACGGTGTCTCCATCCCCACCCATTTCGTTTTTTTTCTTTTTATATGATCATAGCGATAGTTTTTGCCTCTTTTCCACTTATCCAAGCTCAAACAATACTCTAACAGCCGTAATGCAAAAGGATAATGATTCATACGCATTCCAAAAAAGCAGAATATGTTAAAAAAAGGTAACAATCTCTGTATGAATGAAAAATGTGTCATCTGTGCAAATAGCTTGTGGATTTCAGCTCAGTACATTGGTTGAATTTGTTCCGCAATAATAGATTTTGATAGTAGAAAATTTATATCCATTACATTTATTTCATGCACTTTTCAGTACATCTATACCCCTCTCCCCCCTTTACTAATTGACTGTGTTTGTTGCGTTCAGAAATTTTGCATTGGGTGTAACTGATTTTAGATGTAAGGATCCATTATTTCACCTTGAAGCCCTTAACCTTGCCACAATTTATTCACTCAAGTCTCTTATCTTTTCAGTCAAGTGGACTTGAGTAGCAAGATGCATGCGTCATAGCGTGTTGAATAAAAGAGGCAGGGAGTCAAACTGTGCTCCTTGACAGTGACGCACAAAGCACCAAATAAGATCTTGGAAATTAATGAGTCTTACCTAGAGGTAACGTCTGCACTGCACAACTTGTTAGATGCACCCACACTTCTCTCACCACGTCAGCAATTTACTGGTTAACATATGCTAAACCTCAGAGCAGAGTATTGGTTATGAACAATTCTTTTAGCTAAAGTGAACCTGCTTTTCTTATTCTTCAGTTTTGTTTGAATGGAATTTTGTCTCTGTACGTCCAGCAATTCTGCTGATCCCACCTTCCCTTTCCTTGTGTCTGGTTTGATCTAGCAGCAGTGTGTCTTTTTTTTAAACTGACACACTGAGATTGAAAAATAAATAAAATAAAAGATAAAGAAAGAAAATCAAAATATCCATCACTCCTTACAATACATTTTGTTTTAATTTTATCTGGTATTTACGAGTGTCAACGTTTTAACATGCAGGTCTTTTCCAATCCACGGTGAGGTCAAAACAATGCTAGTTTGATGAAAGCACCAAATGAAGAAACTCTCAATATATTGGGAGGAGTGTTTTTGTAATTGAATTGCTTGGCAGCGCTCTTTGCAATTATCAAAAAACTGACATTGAGCATCGGGCCACTTGGCATGCACCCTAGACCTCCTATATGATCAAAAACGCTCTTCAAGTCATCTACCAGAAATGTGCACAAGCAGCTCAGTATTCCTCAACAAAATGTCTTGCTTGTTTCTCTTAAGGACAAAATTCTATTTGTCTGTCTGTCTGTGAACATATTGTGATGGTAGCGTAAATTACATCCCAGCCATGGATGGATGCGAGTTACATTCTAGATCTGCCGTCACATTCTATGTTTCTATATCAGTGCAAGGTGATCTGTCCCTTTGTGTGGGACATCGCTGAATGCAACGTCAGTTGATTTCTATTCTATTTTTTCCATTTATACTTAAAAAAAATTATATATATATAATTTCTTTAGTGCACAGAGGAACATACAGGCTTGTAGTACCACAACAACAGGACAAGCACTTCGTGAGTTTACATGCAATTACAGTGTCATGGCATAAGCGAGATTTGCACTATTTTTATGTCAATAAACAAGCTAAGTTATAGGTTGAAACCTAAGACTGGCAGGTTATAGCAAATAAAGTTAGGTTAGGTTTAAGAGCAAACATGTTCAACCTAAGGTCCAACAGGACCTTAGGCATAACATATTAATCGTCGATTATTGCTGGTGCCTTTTACATGTACATAACTACAGGTGAAAGACCTATTCAGTACGAGGCATTGAGTCTAGTGCATAACAAAACATTGGCGTTATAGAAACTTTAACTTTATAGAAACCTTAGCCGTAGCAGTAAGGCTTAGGGGGATCCCAGTAGTATGGGTCAGTTGCTAGGCTTAGGTGCTTTAGCGTTTTGCCACATGGTATTATAAATCATTGTAGGGCGCTAGCAGGCTATATGTATTGCTAAATTTTTACACAGAGGCAAAGGTATACCCTAGACGAGGGGTGTCCAAACTTTTTTCAAAGAGGGACAGATTTGATGAAGTGAACATGCGTGAGGGCCGACCATTTTGCCTGACATTCTTTGAACCATTAAAATTAAATGCAAATTAACTATTTTATGCAAAATGTATTGCAAGCGCCATACTTTTCATTTCATCTCTTTTATTCTGTCCCTTCTCTCTTTTATTCTGGGGGGGTGGGAGATGGCAGGGAGGTGGGTATCTGAGGGTGGGGGGATGGCAGGATGGTGGATAATGGGAAGGAGAGCTGACAGGTGACTTCAAAAATGTGTATAATGGGGCAATAAATAAAGCTGTGTGTAATAGTAGAGAAGGAACAGGACAATGTATAACAAGGGGAGGGATTGAATACAATGTCTTTATTTATTTGGACTTTGGATTTATTTTATTCTGCCCCTTTATTATCTGCCCATTCTCTCTTTTATTCTGCCCCTTCATTCTCTGCCCCCAGTGAATCCCTGCGCGCTACTCAGGACCGCGGCATTCAAAGATCCAGGGATCCTGAGCAGTGCTCGGGGATTCACTGGGGGCCACAACAGATAGGATTAGCCAATAACCTGTGGGGCTGTATTAAACTGGAACGCGGGCCGCAATTGGCCCGCGGGCCGGACTTTGGACATGACTGACCTAGACATACTGGGTATTCTATGTATGGAGAAACATAGAAACATAGAATGTGATGGCAGATAAGAACGATTCGGCCCATCTAGTCTGCCCAATTTTTTAAAATACTTTCATTAGTCCCTGGCCTTATATTATAGTTAGGATAGCCTTATGCCTATCCCACGCATGCTTAAACTCCTTTACTGTGTTAACCTCTACCACTTCAGCTGGAAGGCTATTCCATGCATCCACTACCCTCTCAGTAAAGTAATACTTCCAGATATTATTTTAAACCTTTGCCCTTCTAATTTAAGACTATGTCCTCTTGTTTTGGTAGTTTTTCTTCTTTTAAATATAGTCTCCTCCTTTAATGTGTTGATTCCCTTTATGTATTTAAATGTTTGTATCATATCCCCCCTGTCTCCTCTTTCCTCCAAGCTATACATGTTAAGATCCTTTAACCTTTCCTTGTAAGTTTTATCCTGCAATCCATGAACCAGTTTAGAAGCCCTTCTCTGAACTCTCTCTAAAGTATCAATATCCTTCTGGAGATACGGTCTCCAGTACTGCGTACAATACTCCAAGTGAGGTCTCACCAGTGTTCTGTACCATGGCATGAGCACTTCCCTCTTTCTACTGCTAATTCTTCTCCCTATACAACCAAGCATTCTGCTAGCATTTCCTGCTGCTCTATTACATTGTCTTCCTACCTTTAAGTCATCAGAAATAATCACCCCTAAATCCCATTCCTCAGATGCTGCGGTTAGGACTCAATAAAATATTATGTACTCTGCCCTTGGGTTAGACATCTCTCTAATTGGAGTCACTTACAGTGTACCCCTGGGAGCATTATCAGTATGGAACTTTATCACATCAGTAGTAGGTCTTATAATGTAAAGATAGATAAAAGCGGGGAAATTAGAATCAAAAGATATAAAAGAAAACTTGATGCATATTGTTTAAAACATTTAAAATCAGGTGTTATCGAAGAGGGGAAATGCTTAGACGGCAGTCCCAAGAACGAGTCCAGCCTACTCCTCTGAGTGGCAAAGCTGCTGCTTCGCTTGGACAAGTGTTACTCAGGAACAGGGTACCTCCTCGGCCCCAGGCCTGCATGAGGACTGGCATCTCTTTGACACAGACTTGGGTTCATCAAGGGACCAACTGTATCCCCTTCAGGGGGAGGGCGAAGGAGGTGAGTGGCTATCTCCACTGATAATGGATGTTCTTCCACCCGCATGGACGATGCTTGGAGGACTTTCCTTGGGTGGCCCCCGGCCTTGTTGAACGGTCATGGGGTTGTATCAGCTTTGTTTGAGGTATTGCGCTCTGGGGAGACTTTACCCTGTGTGGCTGCTCCTTTCTCCGGTTCCCTTTCCGCGGTTTCCGCGGTTTCCGCGGTTCCAACTTTAGCATTGTGGTGTCTGTTATACGTGTTTAAGTCTTCGGCCAGAAGTTCTGGAATATCTGATCTAGCAGCCACAGGGAGAAGGCAGTGGAGTTGCTGAATGCCCCCTTGGTGGTATTCGCGCCTTGTGCATTTGTGCATTTGTGCATACGGCGTCCTCCATCTTGGGACGTTATTTTGCGATGCGATGACTGCACTGTTTGTGTGGAAAGCAGAGCTGGTGTAGCCCACTGCCCTCCAGAGGGGACCAGGATATAGCCGCTGGTAGAGAGGGGAGGTGGGGAGGGGGTAGCAGAGTTTCGTCTAGAGTGGTTGGATTCAGAGGGAAGAAAGCGACCGTTTCTCCTCCACTCCGACTCTGCAGTTCTCAGAAACTCCGGGCATCGATTAAGGTGTCCACATGTAGAGAAAGGTACCCCCAGCGTGGAAGTTACATGAGGTAGAGGGCTCTGTCTCTGTAGCTCGGATTATCACCGGGTAAGTAGCGTTAGCAGCAGGAGCCCATGCGATGCACGTCTTGCCAGCTTGCAATCCAAGCTCCACCCCCCTATTTTTTCCATTTTAGAAACAAACATAAAACACAATAAGTGCTCAAAAACATCTCAGATTACACTATTTATATCCAAGCTCCGGGACATCACGCTCTCTGACGTGATATAAATAACATTTTAATACAATAATTGCTATTATTTGCTTCTTTTTGTATGTACATTTTACAGACCGTGTTTGTTCCACAAATCACTAAAAAATATATATACTTTTTGCTTCGTCTCTCTCTCTCTCTGCATGTCTGACCATAGATTCCAAACGAAAAATAAATAGGTACATTGTGTTACTATTATATATGATTACATTCTAATCGAACTATATATTTTATATACAAATTGAACTAATAACAGGTCTTATTTGATAAGTCATTTTTGGTCAGTTCTTTTCTACAGCTATTTTCCAGGAGAATATAACATACCATATAGCATTTTAAGAGAGATAAGGTTCAAAAATACATTTAATGTAATGTTGTAAAATAAACAAGTAGACTAAACCGCCAACATGGACCCTTTGTTTGTCTTTAAGTTCTACACGTCAGCTATACGCAACAAACCACAATTAATTATTTAACAGACAAAAGCATTTACACATATATACATACAAATGTACACATATACAAATATATACATATACAAATATACACATATAAATATATACAAATAAATATACACATATACACATATACAAATATATACATATACAAATATCCACATATAAATATATACATATACAAATATACATATACAAATATACAAATATACACATATACAAATATACACATATAAATATATACATATACAAATATACATATACAAATATACAAATATACACATATAAATATATGCAAATAAATATACACATATATAAATATACAAATATACACATATACAAATATACACATATAAATATATACATATACAAATATACATATACAAATATACAAATATACACATATAAATATATACATATACAAATATACACATATATAAATATACAAATATACACATATACAAATATACACATATAAATATATACATATACAAATATACATATACAAATATACACATATAAATATATAAATCTAAATATACACATATAAATATATACATATACAAATGCACACATGTGAATATGCATAAGGTGACAATGATTAGTCAATATCAAAATTTTTAACAAATGCGCACAGTTTAAACAAACTTAAAAAAAAAGAGGAGAAATATGGAATTAAGGGGGGAAACACAAGAATGAAAAATAAATAAATAATAATAATGCTATTTCTATATAAATTCCATACTATGAAAATACAGTTATGTACTGTACATGATGTCCAAGGGGCAATAGGGGGTATGCCAGTGACTCTATTATGACTATTAAATACTTTTTCATAAAGAATATTTTTTTTTATTTGTTAAATGAACGTTATTGAACATTTTTTTTAATAACTTTAATATACTTCACACACAATCGATAAAATAAGATACACAACAAGACATTTTCACTGTAGCCAGTCTGATGAACACTTCTTAGGAACTTCATTTTCATTTAAGTAATTGGGTGACCAAAACTAACCCCCAAGGAGGGGTTGGAAGTAACCTACATAGGAAACAGAGAGGACAATTTGATTTGATATTACCCGACACAGCTCTCACAAGCCCTTTGTAAATAGCCAAACCTTTTACAACTAATACATTCAGAACATACTGTCTCACATATTTATTATTCTGATCCTCATTCAACATCATCTAAGCATTGCACAAAACAGAAAAACATTGATATATATTTCTGTTTACTTGATGATGATGGCAGGTAAACCATAGAAACACGTTTCTAATAACTAATTACAAAACAATTTGCAAAATGGTTTTTGCACACAAACACCTTGAGTAGTCGAAGTTTACGAGAAACATCAACAAACTAACAATTCCTCATTAATCAGTTAAAGCAAAACAAACTTAAACGAGTATCATTGCCAACACAAGGTTATTGACATACATGCCACTTGTTATTGTTATTGCACTATAGGATGGGTCAAACAGGCAGGTCAGATTTTCCCGGGATAGATTTTCATTGTCGTTAACCTTGAGATCTTGGAGTATTATGCTTGTGTTGGTCTCATTTTTCACAGCCATTTGACTTTCTTGTCTAGGAAAAGTTTGAGGGCTTATTCCGAGTCTACGATGATTGCGTCACTCTGCAACTTTTTAAGAGTTTCCGAAGAGTACGGATAAATTTCAGCCACCCCAAGGCAGCAGCCCGAGCAAGGATAGAGCTTCATGAAACCCAATTCAGAGGGAAAAAATTAAAATTATATTTTGCACAGGTAGGTGTGACATGCTGGAATTTTAAATTTCAGTTTAGATATTTGTTTTTATTTTCATTTGACATTTGGTCTTTTGTTATCATTGTAACACGTGATATGCTGTCTGTGTAAGATCAGTATGTAGAATGCATTTTGCCTAATCTTTTACATGTATTATTTATAAACAGCTAGCATATTGTGCAGCACTGTGCAATGGACCAACAAAATGTACTAGTAACAGCAATTTGCAGTAAGAAACTGTTACGTTTTACCTACCTTCTAGCCTTGCACACGATGATTGTCCTGCTTGAAAATCTAATGATCTCAGCCAACACAATGCTTTCCCATAGGAGAGCATCTGGAGCCTTTGGCGCATGCACGGAAATACTCTGCACTCCACCAATCAAAGGCTGTTCTATAAGCAACATTTGATCTGATCTGAGTTGAACATGGTTATAAAAAAGGAAGTGCCTTTAGTGGTTGTCTTCATGACCTTCAATGTCAATGTAATGTTCTTACATTGAGTTGAAGAGGCCTGGCTGCCTATAATGGGGGAATGAGGAAACAGTCACGAGAGCACAAAGTACTGCCTGATGCCCACTTTCCCTTGTTTTTCGATGACCAAATTTACCTCTACAACCCTCAGTCTGTTCCTTTGTCCTTCCATGGCCCAACTACCAGTTCCTTTACTCTTCCTGTGTGGTTACTGCTTTTTTTTGACCATTTTGTTTAGAGTAGCTAGTTAAACATAGAGCACCCATTGCTAATTGACAATCACTGCATATTATCCATGTAATGGTACAACATTCCTGACTTATTTCTGATGGATTCAAACACATAAGGGGATATTTATGAAAGCATTCTGAAAAGTGGCCGTTAAATTCCATAATTATTTCCAATGTATTTAGCGAAGTAATCTAAAAAGTGACGGTTTGCATTATAGTAAATCCTGACAGTTTTTGCAGAAATTTCCATTCCAGAAAACCGTGTTAAATGTTTAGTCGAGATACAACTGCGTGACTTTTCTGTCAGAAAAAGTGGAGGAAATATTCATAAATATTTTTTAAGATGATGAAAAAATTGCGCCTATATTAAAAAATAACAAGGAGCAAATATAGCAAGAGATCAAGAATCCAATAGATTTATTACATTTCACCAAAAATAACTGAACTTTTTTAATTTTATTCATTTTTCTTTATAGTGCCCTATTGGCACTACTGTATTTATTAGCTATCCCCCTACCCCCTTATTAAGTTACAAAACACTAAAATTAGGTTAAAACATACTAGAATCCAGCGCAAGGATCATCCAAGCCCCATCCTGACATCACACCTTGTCACGCCATATTTCCATCAGGTACGGGATTACAGGGGAAAAACAATAGACAAATATGCATCAAATGCAGGGAAACCAGAATGGATCACAAAAGCTGGGAGGGGGGGGGATATTCAAGCTTCCCCTCGAAGGTGCCTTCACAGCTCTGCTGGAACTGAGTTCCAGGCTGACTAAGTCACGTGTGCCAGGGGTGCAACTAGCACCTGGTGCAAAACTGCAAATATCGCCTTATGTGCAGAGTTTCAAGCAGAGACGCAGCATATAGATTCCTTCCTCCGTGACCACTTAAAAAAAACATTTAAAGTTTTTAACTTGAGATTTTACAAATTACTTTTATTTTTCGAAAGGTCCAGACGCCAGAGACGAATGGAGACAAACTTCACCTGGCGCCTCCACAACCCGCAAAACAGTTTCTCATCTCACCTCCAGTGTCACCTCCCGTAGGCTGGCAGCCCATCGGTGACGCCACGCCGGTTATAAACTACGATCTCCTATATGCAGTCGCCAAGCTGGGACCAGGTAAGAGTTGATACTTTGCTTTTGTCTTAATGACAAGTCATTGTAGTTAAAATTGGTACCAGGTCCAATAACGTCAGCCACTGTGGAAGCATCTAGATGAGAGGTTCTCCTTAATACTTGGCCAAAACAAAGATAGGGTGTTCTTGACAAATCTGCTCTTAACTGACTATAATATAGACACCTCCTTATATACTGGGCACCCCAGTTGTGTTTTGTGCGCACGTACAGATACCCTAACATTTACTGTGCTTGCAGTACAATAGAAACAGAATGGCTTCATCGAGGAGTTTAATAAACTAGCTCCTACTTATTCAGTTCTAAGATATTTATCTTATGGAGAAAAACTTAAGAAAAAAAGTGAGAGAAAATTTCGTCATTTAGACAATGTTTTGTTGCACGTCTATATGATGATATTATTATTAAGTAACCCTTAACATATGCCAAAAATGTCTCTTCTCCTTCAGAACTCAATTGCTAATAGTTTTTGATATTTTATATGTATACTGATTAGCCACAACATTAAGACCACTGAAAGATGAAGTGAATATTATTGATTATATCGTTATAATGGCACCTGTCAAGGGATGGGATAAAAACATGTGTTCATTATTCAGTCTTCTGAGTGCTTTCTTTCAAGTATATTATGTCTTTCCCCGAATAGATTTGAGGGATTCCATGCCCTAGTGCAGGGGTAGGCAACCTACGGCACTAGTGCCATGCACGGCACTCAAGGTGTCTTTGCATGGCACTCAAGGCTGCTAGAGCCAAACAGGCTCTGGCCTATCAGGAGTCCCAGTAAAACTTCAGATATCTACTAATCCAAAAAGGTGGTGAAGGACAATCCTCAATTTATGCAGCACGTAGAGGGGATCTCAGATCACTTCCTCCCAGCACTTGTGAATGAGAATCCTCACAGTCGTAGAGTAGCTCGCAGTTACTGTTGCAGCTCCTGTCCTTGACCTATACCTGGCCGGCCTGGTCCCCACTGGAACCCAGGAAAGCCCGCCACACTGATAGATATATACAGAAATGCAGAATAACCCTCCCTTCATACAAATAATACGGACAGCCCACACACAAACGCAACACCACTAACAATCCACATACATGCACACAACCCCACATGCAGCGTCTCACATGCAATACCCCAAACAGCCCCCACACACAATGTGACATATCCATCCACACACACAAGTCCACATTCATATGTATCATACACAATACCATAAACTACTCATGAACATATACAATGTAATACACAGGGCCGTCAGTATGTCTGTGTGTGTGTCAGTATATCTGTGTGTGTGTGTCAGTATGTCTGTGTGTGTGTGTCAGTATGTCTGTGTGTGTTTGTCAGTATGTGTGTGTGTGTCAGTATGTGTGTGTGTGTGTCAGCATGTCTGTGTGTGTCAGTATGTGTGTGTGTCAGCATGCCTGTGTGTGTCAGTATGTCTGTGTGTGTTAGTATGTCTGTCAGTGTGTGTGTCAGTGTGTCAGTATGTCTGTTTGTGTGTCAGTATATCTGTGTGTCAGTGTGTCTGTGTGTGTGTCAGTATGTCTGTGTGTGTGTCAGTATGTCTGTGTGTGTGCGTCAGTATGTCCGTGTGTGTGTGTCAGTATGTCTGTGTGTGTGCTCGCATATCTGTGTGTGTGTGTGTCAGTATGTCTGTGTGTGTTTGCCGTACGTCGTGTGTGTGTGTGTCAGCATGTCTGCGTGCGTCAGTATGTGTGTGTCAGCATGCCTGTGTGTGTCAGTATGTCTGTGTGCGTTAGTATGTCTGTCAGTGTGTGTCAGTGTGTCAGTATGTCTGTTTGTGTGTCAGTATATCCGTGCGCGTCAGTATGTTTGTGCGTCAGTATATCCGCGTGTCAGTATATCCGTGTGTGTGTCAGTATGTCTGTGTGTGTCAGCATGTCTGTGTGTCAGTATGTCTGTGTGTGTGTGTCAGTATGTCTGTGTGCCAGTGTATTTGTGTGTGTCAGTATATCCGCGTGTGTCAATATGTTTGTGTCAGTATGTCTGTGTGTGTGTCAGTATATCTGTGCGTGTGTCAGCATGTCTGTGTGTGTCAGCATGTCTGTGCGTCAGTATGTCCGTGTGTGTTCATGTTTTTGTGTGTGTGTTAGTATGTCTGTGTGTGTATCAGTATGTCTGTGTGTGTCCGTGATATCTGTGTGTGTGTGTCAGTATATCTGCATGTCAGTATGTCCGTGTCAGTATGTCTGTTTGTCAGTGTGTATGTGTATGTCTGTAAAAGGCCAGCATGTCTGTGTGTGTGTGTGTCAGTATGTCTGTGTGTGTGTCAGTATATATGTGTGTGTGTGTGTGTCAGTATGTATGTGTGTGTTTGTCAGTATGTGTGTGTGTGTCAGTATGTGTGTGTGTGTGTCAGCATGTCTGTGTGTGTCAGTATGTGTGTGTGTCAGCATGTCTGTGTGTATCAGTATGTCTGTGTGTGTTAGTATGTCTGTCAGCGTGTGTGTCAGTGTGTCAGTATGTCTGTTTGTGTGTCAATATATCTGTGTGCGTCAGAATGTGTTTGTGTGTCAGTATATCTGTGTGTGTGTCAGTATATCTGTGTATCAGTATATCTGTGTGCGTGTCAGTATGTCTGTGTGTCAGTATGTCTGTGTGTGTGTGTCAGTATGTCTGTGTGTGTCGGTGTATTTGTGTGTGTCAGTATATCCGTGTGTGTGTCAATATGTTTGTGTGGCAGTATGTCTGTGTGTGTGTGTGTCAGTATATCTGTGTGTGTGTCAGCATGTCTGTGTGTGTCAGTATGTCTGTGTGTGTGTGTTAGTATGTTTTTGTGTGTGTGTTAGTATGTCTGTGTGTATCAGTATGTCTGTGTGTGTCAGTATATCTGTGTGTGTCAGTACATCTGTGTGTGTGTCAGTATGTCTGTGTGTGTTTGTCAGTATGTGTGTGTGTGTCAGTATGTGTGTGTGTGTGTGTCAGCATGTCTGTGTGTGTCAGTATGTGTGTGTGTGTCAGCATGTCTGTGTGTATCAGTATGTCTGTGTGTGTTAGTATGTCTGTCAGTGTGTGTGTCAGTGTGTCAGTATGTCTGTTTGTGTGTCAGTATATCTGTGTGCGTCAGTATGTGTTTGTGTGTCAGTATATATGTGTGTGTGTCAGTATATCTGTGTGCGTGTCAGTATGTCTGTGTGCGTGTCAGTATGTCTGTGTGCGTGTCAGTATGTCTGTGTGTCAGTATGTCTGTGTGTGTGTGTCAGTATGTCTGTGTGTGTCAGTGTATTTGTGTGTGTCAGTATATCCGTGTGTGTGTCAATATGTTTGTGTGTCAGTATGTCTGTGTGTGTGTGTCAGTATATCTGTGTGTGTGTCAGCATGTCTGTGTGTGTCAGTATGTCTGTGTGTGTGTGTTAGTATGTTTTTGTGTGTGTGTTAGTATGTCTGTGTGTGTGTCAGTATATCTGTGTGTGTCAGTATATCTGTGTGTGTGTGTGTCAGTATGTCAGTATGTCTGTGTGTCAGTATGTCTGTGTGTGTCAGTATGTCACTATGTCTGTGTGTGTGTGTATATATCTGTGTGTGTGTGTATATGTGCATACATCTCAGCATTCACACACTAACACTACACACAAATACACCCCTGCATTCAAATTTCAACACTACGTACAAACACATGTCTGTATTACACACCAAAATTATATGTAAATACACCCCTGCATTCAAAAACCAACACTACACAAATACATGCTTGCAATCACGCCAACACCACTTACAAACATATTCCATACAAAAACCTGTTTACATTCAAACACACAAAAACTGCTTAGTGCTAAATACAGACCTGCAAACATGGGTAAATGGTTTAGCCCCAGCTGTCAATGCATTTCTGGAGTTGCACGACAGATGGGGATCTACCTTTTAATCACCCGTGTGACAGGGAGGCCCAAAAAAATTCTTGCACCTCTCTACTTTAGGTCCGCCACTGCGTTGGGGTGGAGGACGTGATTGCATGCCTGGGGAGGGGGGACAGGGTCCAGGGGGCCCCAAGCAAATGCTTTGCCAAGAGTCCAGTCACTATTAAAGACGGCCCTGCATATACGCACAAATACAACGATACAAAGCAATTACAGTAAAAATAGCACAAGCAGAATACGGCAGCATACACACCTCAATTAAAAAAAAACAGGACCGGCACGGTATGGGACATCACAATCCTATATCGGCACAGTGCTGCTAAAAGGTTGCCTACCCCTGCCCTAGTGAACTGGTCTATGTTTGGGGGTAGTCCCCTGAACGTAGACCTGCTTTCATGCCTACCCTGAAATAAGACATTCCCCGAAAATAAGCCCCAGTGCATTTTACGGGGCAAAAATTAAAATATGACCCAGTCTTATATTCAGGGAAAGACGGTATATAGGAAGATGAAGTGCTTTTGGTCTCGTAAAGTTTGGATTGGCATGATGAATATCTACATTATTGGTCTGTAAGGAGTTAAATGATCTTGAAGCAGTTGAACGGTGCACCAGACCCAACTGAATCAGATACAAATCCTATCTGTATTACCTACAGGGTTCCTCACTGATGCTCTGCCAGATTGTTTACTGTCTGTGTTAGTCTGGTGTCAATACATTAACCAATTCAGGGCCAAAAATTATTAAAATACAAAAAAATAAGTCCTACGCTCAAACTCCCATCACTCCTGGGCGGCAGCAACGACCATAGTACACATCAGCCCCAATACATACAGTAAAAACGAGAAAAGTTACCTGCGCTCTTCCCAAATCCCTATGCATATTTAAACAAATGGAGGTCATTTAGTTACTTCAATGGCCATAACTTTTTCAGGCTGTTTCCACAAATTTATTTGGGCTCCCTGCCGATTCCATATGGCCAATGCTTTTATATCACTCTGGACACCATAACAACTTCAGATAAATAAAGGAGAATACTGACGCCAGCTTACCCAGCAAGGTCAGCTGGGATGTTCATTTTCCAAGGTTGTGAAATAAGTAGCATTGGGTTGGATGCTAGTAACATCTAGTGGCAATAAAAACTCTTCATCTAACAAGGATGCCTGACTTGTTGAGCTTTAAATGTGTTACCATCCTCATTCAAGTCCTGGGATTTTTTCAAGTTCTATTGCTACAGGATAGCTGTGTGGTGCAGGAGACCACTTCCCTAACACCCAAGATCTAAATTGACGAGTGGATATTTTAATACACTCCTCCAATAAGTCTCATGCTTTTTGACAAAGGAAACTTGTGTTCCATGGTATTCTCATCATCTTAACTTCTATTGCTGGTAAAGTCTAGACCTCTGGATATACTTGGAAATTGGCAACAGCTGAATGGATAAATATCTTGGTATTATTATTATTACTATTGTATAACCTCCTTAAGTTTCCAAGGGCCAGATTAAAATGTTCCTTATGTTCCTAATAAATTGGTATTCTTTATTCGTAGCCTTTTGATCTGCAGCGAATGGCTGCCCCGTAGATTACTGCCAACTGTGAACCATGCCAAGTTCATAACAAATGTCTTTTCTTTTTATGTCCTTAGTGCGATATGAATGGCAGAGTCTGGCGCTCGGTGCTCTCATTGTCAACATTTATATATAGTTCTTTCTTTTGGGTTTTGCTTTTCAAAAATTCATGGGTTTGATAACAAAAGCAGAATAAGGGAAGCGGTTTGAAATGTCATTTCAGGTCTATAAACTGGTCTTAACTCCTTCAGGACCAAATGTAGCACTTTGCTTCCATCCAATCAAGTCCCAAAATCCCCTATGGCAGCATTGAGCACCCAGATTATTTAGCCTTGGCAGCTCCATGCAGTCCTGCTATCATTAATTAATATTCAATTCTGGAATAGGATCTGTAAAAGAACATAAGAGCTACATTTAATTCACAGTTTAAGGGTTACTTCAAGCAACATGACCACTTTGCTGATTTAAAGTAGTCATGGTGCCTGGAGTCTGTATGTACAGCGTTTCACTATGAAAAACTGCACATACTGAGTTTAACCCCTTTTCTTCCAGAGGTGTAACTCCACCTCATTGGAGCGTCATTAGCCAGCCCCGATCAAGAGTTCCGTGCTGCTTAGTGTCAATTCTGTACACATTCCGATGCACATCTCTACAGAAGCTGTATGGTGCCAAACCCAGCCGGAGAGGACTCCCTACTCCTAGCGGGGCCATAAGTAGGAGTGCAAGCCATTGTGAAACACTTTGTGCCATTAGCGGCAAATGCTGCCAGGGTATTCCTGCCACCAAAACCACTACAGCGGGCTGGTGTAACCCTTTTATATTAATTGGTTTCTCCTCCTTCACATATTATGCTCAACAAGAGAAAAAGGCAGAGTTTATAACAATGATTGACAGGGAGCCAACTAGCGCAGTTCCATAATATATATAAAATGTGCTGTAGATTCATACACTTGATTTAATCATTCAGATCTCACACACACATTTTTCTTATATATAGAATTAGTAAAAATAATATTACAAATGACAGGTGTGACATCCCCCTATAATAAATAAATGTAATTATTCCATATGGTGTACAGGTGATAATTCTGCTTTAAAATTGTCACTTTTTACGTCACCATTTTACTCTACATACCTTTTAAAAGTTTAATCTGACTGTACGTAATTAACATATGTAAATTCTGCATCGTATGTAACAACACAAAATATGGCTGGGGAACCAGCTAATGTCAATTCTGTGCATATTGTATGTCTGACATCAACAAACACAGCATTCTGGTGACAACGTCCAATCGCCACATTTTCCCACATACTCCTTGCCACCATTGTCCTCTGCTCAGCCTGGCCTGCCTACTCTTCCCTCCCCTGGAAGAATTTGGCATTGGTGCTGGTACAGAGATAAATGTAAGCCTTTCTTTGTAATCTTTGACCATGACCAGGATTGTTAGGGTTACTCTAACCAAAACCAGTAGTTTTATATATAATAGCTACTTACCCTACTAGTTACTTTCCTTAACAAATCGTTACAAACGTGCAGTTGACGCACAAAATTAAAACGACAATATTAGTCTGTAGATTGCTGTAGATAATTAGCCATGTATCATCATTATACAGGAATCGTCACACACCTTGCTGATGGGTATTATCAAGTAATCCAATTTGGCAATTTGGGGTATTTCTTTTTTTAATGTGTGCATAATGTCCCCTAACCGTAAATAAATCTGACTGACTAACCCTGTCTCTATCTCACTGAGTGCTGCACACATTCCCACATTCAAGGTATCTGCGGCAGTGCCACCCAGGGGCATACGTCAGCGTCCTGTATGTATTAGTGAAGTAGCTGCTTCTAAAAAAAACCTGATTACCTGCTGAGTGAGCTACTTACAAAAAAACCTCTCGGTAAAGTCATTAAGTAAATATGGATTCAATAGGCAGCCTGAATTTTTTGCAGTAAGCTAGCAGCAACTGTACGGCACCTTGGGTGCAAATTTATTTCAGCCTTACCATTGACAGCCAATGTAAGATGTTCATTTTGACCTTTCCGTTTACGGTTTTGCTGTTTGCAGGTCTGCGGAGCAAACCGTGACTGATACAAACCCAGATGGTCTCTGTTTTCTTATGCAGAGATTAATGAGAAATATACCTTTCACTTTACATCACTGAGATTAATTCCGAGCAGTGAGATGAGGGAGCAGTGAGTCACGCTAACATTTATTAATTATTAATTACAGCCTCTTGTCAGGCAATAGGGGAGGCTGGATGCGCATACAGCAATCCAGCAAATGGAGGTCTGAGCTTGAATGTAGTATAATAATAGCGTATATTTTATCTGTTACTCTTTCCACAAAGCTGGAAAACTGATAACAACCTGTAATCTGTAAGCACCATGACCACTGTAGCTCATTATAGAGGTGTTTGTGCAAGGAGTCTCTGTGCCCTGTGCCCCAGTTAGTGCCAAGTCAGTATTTATTTAAATAAATGGTGTACCTTAATAAGGTACACTTAGAATCCTGCTGTAGGATCCCTCTTCAGAAATCGTACATTGCAGAACCTTTGGAGCCATTTGTCACTTTCAGATTGAACTTTGATATAAGTATTTTTCTTATTGTAATTCCTGATCATAATTACTGGTTATTTTTTATTTCCTTGTATTTGTTTACATTTATTCAGAATCATATTTTGTAACATAAGTATATTATGAGTATATTCTGTACTTAAAAGGACTTCTGCACTTAAAAGGACACTAGAGGCATCAAAACAACATTTGCTTAATGAAGCAATTCCAGTGTATAGATCATGCCCTTGCAGTGTCTTGCTTTAGCAGTTTATATCTAATGCTCTGAAAATTGAACTTTAATCACATACAGGGGGCTCCTGCAGGGTCTAGAAGGTTATTAACAGTGCAGGAGATAAGAAATTATAATTTAAACAGACTGTGCAATAAAGAAGTATGATCATTAGATCTCTCTATACAGGAAGTTCATTAAACTAAAGTTGTTTTTGGCGCCTATAGTGTTCTTTGAAATTATATCTGATTTTCATATAGTCGTATAGGATTCTGTGACCCTTTTTGGAGCACGCTTGTTAATCAATATTCTCACACGTGAGATTTTCCTTTCTTTAGTTTATTTTTGGATCAATGGCAGCATCAGGAATATGTTAAAGGATGTATTATGTTGCTGTGGCAAATCATTACAACACTCTGTTTTCCTCTTGATTGCTGTTTCAGAGCAGAGTGTTCTAAGATGTTATGAGAGTAAGGCTGAGATTCATACTGTCTAAACTGCGTTCTACCTTCTAGAAAATAATCACCATTTAATTTGAGATTTTCAAGTGCAACCAGGCAACTGGAGCTTTGAAACCTTTCCTTCCCAGAAAAGTGCTGAGAGCAAAGATTTCATCAGTAAAAGAATGTGACATTTGGGCTTCTATTATTATCCGGAGAGAGGGACGGGGAAGTGATTTCGATGCTTTGCTGGAGAATAGAGCTCCTTTGTGTATATATAACCAGCGAGATGGCTGCGAGTGACAGAGACCGATTGGCCCTCGGCTCAGGCTAGGAGCATTGACGTCAGAGGAGAAATTATTTGGAGACTGGAATGGGTTCCTGATACAGCAGAGCTGGCTGAATTACCCCAGGGAAGCACTTACCCTGTACCTACCCTCTGCCCTTTCACTCTGCTCCAGCCATATTTCTGTTTATTGCATTTTTCCTTCTTTTAGATGTATTTTTTTTATTACTTTCCTTTCACTCTGTTTTTTTCATTTTATAATTTGTATTGCTCGTTGTTCTATGATTTTCTCCTTGACTTACATCTCTGATTATTTCTCTCACCTTTTCCCTGTTTGTACAGTGACATTTACCTGATTCCTTCCCCTATTGCAGTGATGGCGAACATTTTTGAGGCCGAGTGCCCAAACTGCAATACAAAGCAACTTTTTTTTCCTCAGAGTGCCAAAAAGCAATTAAACACGACCATTATACACACTGACACTCACAGATACACAGACATTCACATATATACACTGACACTCACAGACACACTTACACTGACACACAGAGTGACTGACAGACACACACACTGACAGGCATACACACACTTTAACTGACAGACACACACACACTCACTGACAGGCACACACAGAGTGACTGACAGACACAGACTCACAGACACACACACTGACAGGCATACACACACATTAACTGACAGACACACACACTCACTGACAGACACAGACTCACAGACACACACACTGACAGGCATACACACACATTAACTGACAGACACACACTCACTGACAAACATACACAGAGTGACTGACAGACACACACACTGACATACATATACACACACACACACACACACATTAACTGACAGACACACACTCATACATATTTCCCCCAACACTCACAAATTACTTTTATTTTTTTATTTTAATTTAACTCCACCCAGTCTCCGTGGGAGAACTGGAGTGGATTCCTCACCTGAGGTCCAGTAGGGCTGCAGGGGCTGCATGTGCCGCTCGGCAGGTACGCGTGCAGGCATGGGGCGAATCATATTTGCTGGAAGTGAATTAAAGGAACACGTGTATTCCTGACCCTGTAGTGTTAAAACCACCATCATTTTCAGTGTGACAGATATGGATTTATTAACTGATTTCCTGTCTTTGCTCCTCACATTGCAGTTAATTTGGGATGTTCCTTGCATCTCAGCACTCGAGTATCGGTAGAGTAACTCAACCATATGGCACCTACATAGATCCAACCGATTTAAAGGGAAAGCAAATGTTAAAAAAAAATCTTATTTTTAAAGCATTTCAACAAGGCAATAAAAAAAAAATAAGTACTTGATTCTCCCCCAATTTGCCCAGCACTAACCTCCCTCTTATTGTTGGGCAGTATCCAGCTTAATGTTTCTCATATAGGAGCGTTATTGACCTATTGAGCACATTTGGAAGTTCTAAAACCATACATGGATCTTGGTAAAAATAAAATATAACAATATGAACTAATTAAATACTGGATGTTTTACCAATCATATAACTGAAATGAAATAAAATAGTTACATTGCTTTGGAATACGGCCCAGAGTGTACTTCTCTGTCGGTCTGTCTACTCTGTCTGAGTGCAGACAAGTTGGGAAGCACTCCTAAGGTAAATACAGCAAGGACTAGGCTAAGACTACATAAACCTACATTTAACTCCGAAATGGCAGAGTATTAAGCGGTGAGAGTACAGGGGCACGATCTACACACCAACACTGAGTCATGATGTGAAATTGGTTTTGATATTTAGACTGTCCCTTTAAGCTTTGTTTTCCCTCTGAAACAAGCATTGCAATACTGTATATTCAAGTTTAATTAAATGTGATTGTTTTTTATTTTAGCTATTGTATTAATAGAAGACAGGATTCTAACAATTTGATGGACATGTGATCAATATGTTACGTTGGCTCCTGGTTGCATAGAGCTGTCTGTGGTGCTGAAATCCTCAGTGAATTTTTAGAAGACAACTATTGAATTACATATAAAGAGCATTCTGGGGCAAAGTGCTGAAGAAGCAGCAATCTCCATAAAAACTGTCAAAAAACATTAGACTATTTCCCAGAATTCACAGCTAAGGCGCTTGCTATATGTTTTATTCCATTTTAATGGCCTACTCTGCTTAGTATCCTGTATAATATCCTTAGTATAATTATTGCATGCCCCTATATCAGTGATGGCTAATCATAGTATCCAGATGATTCCAATAACTATTCCCATGATGTCCAAAGGCTGGCTAAATATCATGGAAGATGTTGCACATGGCTGCGTTGGGCTAAAGCTAGCAATGTTGCCTTTTCATTATATAACAACTCTGAAATCTGAATATATGAAAGTGTGAAAGTGAATTTGATAAGATAAGGTCACACTATTGACACTCCTCTGTGCTCTTTTTTTTTTTTTTTTTTTACAAACAATATCCGTTTGTACAAAGTGCATGTGTGACAGTGGGAGCAATCTAGTGCTGCTTGCTGCGGTGCACGATTTATATTACTGAAATGTTTGATTTGTTCTTACATAAGAGAGATATTATATTCATTTTTCCATGAATGTATTGGCTTGCTTGGAGTGGCAGGCCGTCAACGGGGCAGAAAAGAATGTTAGATGCCCTTGGGCACCTCCAGTCTGAATATTGCATAACGGAAAAACAATAGATTTTTGACTTTTTATCATGCATGACATCATACAGATATGATCAGTTATTTAATAAATTGAGAATTCAAAGCGAATTCAATGCAAATTTCAAATTTAAGGCTTGATTCGCTAAACTGAAAGTGTAGCTGGCTTACAGAATTTTTCCATTATGTCTATTTTGACCTTGAATGTAAAAATTCTCTTTGAATTCTCACTGTAGCGTATAGCCCTATATATGTTTTTAGATTCCATCCCCACCATAAAATCCTGTCTGTTGCCTTTTTTAAAGTGTCCCTGCAGCATGTTTTACCAATGCACTTCGTACAAGAATGGCCAGAGTGCCTTGATCAGCGTGAGCCAAAGAGACATAAAGTAACCTAATGTTTCATGCTGAGCTGGCCGTCGGGTAAATGCTATACGGATCATATTGCAGCAAACATTTGTTGTCTTTCTGGTTTTCACAGTGACCTCTTTTGCCACCACTGTTTTTTTAAATATTTTTCAGTAATTCAATCATTGGGGTTACAATTGATTTGATTACAGTGGCTATCAATCTGAGATGTGCAATAATTCACATTATGACAGTGTGCATATTTAGAATGGGAAAGGACTTGCGGCATTTATACACGGATATCTGTGCATAGTGTGCTTTATGGGTAATCCAGCACTGCATATTGTGTGCTACATGTGACACAGAACATTTTATGGTATGTCCCATCTGCATTCATAATCTTGTTTTTTTTTTATTTTTTTATTTTTTTTATTAAAGGTCAGAAGTATGAACTACATGCGGGGACAGACTCCACCCCCAGCGTCGTCGTCCATGTTTGCGACAGTGATCTGGAGGAAGAAGAGGACACAAAAAATTCACTGAAGCCTAAAATCATCCCAACACGGCGCCCTGGTGTGCCCCCTACAAAATCTAACTGATCAACCTTTCTGTACAGGGGTGAGCCGCCAGCGGCTGCTGTAGAACTACAAACCCAATGATGTTTTATATCTGTGGCCCAACACCACAGAAGCTGTAGTTCAGCAAATGCTGGAGTGCTTTTGGTTGACTACCCCACTCTAGTAAAATATCAACACTGATCATTTTAACACAGCTTTTATATTTTTCACCCTTCCTTTAAATAGTAGAATTTCTCATTTTTATAGGAAAACTTTTGCCACACTGTAGCATTATGCATGTGACAATATAAAAGCTGTAATTAGGTTGTTATTCACGTATTCAGTGCTGGGGAACGAGGGGCATTATACGGCACAATCCAGTGTCGAGTTTTATTTATTTTGTCTTTATGGTTTTTTGGGGGGAGGGAGGAGAAGGGAACACGATATTCCAGCAAAAAACAAAAAAACAACACAATCTTGAAAATGAAATTATAAAAATAACAAAAAATCTAATTTTATTTTAATGTTGTTTCCCTTTGTACACAAGAAAGTTGCTATGGTTAAAGCCGCATCAGGCTGATGTTCACTTAATGCTGTGCGTTCTTCTATGTTTCGTAAGGCTGCAGGACTAGAGATATATATGACTCCAGACTAAGGAAGGATCTAACAATGTAATGATGATAGCAGGAGAAGCAACATTTATAAGATACTATTTTATTATTGTAATTTTTTACAGTTATTGAGGTAAAGAAGACCCTGCTCAAAGGAGCTTACAATCTATGAAGATTTGAGGTAGGTGGCTATATATCGGTGGGTGTCTTGCCTTGTTTCAAACCCAGGTCTCCCCGTTCTAAGGTGGTGACAATACCACTGCTCTAACCAGTCAATGTGTAATAATTACAGGAAACATTGTATTATAAAACTATGCTTTGTCAGGTCTTTCTCAGGGCAGGATGGCCCCATGATCACATTAAGCTGTGTGCTTGTGTTTACACTAGTGGCACTTAGTTATATCTACACCTTGCCTGTCATATCTAAGATGTAAGATGGCCCCCATTGTATCTCTATTTTATGTATTCCACAGTCATTTTGCTTTCACTCTATCAAAGCTTTAACTATTTCCTTTTTTTGTTGTTGTTATTGTTTGTATGGATGTAGTTCTGTTTGTTTTTATTGTAAATCTTTATTCATGACTCACTCCACACGTTAACGAGTCAGCAGGAAAAGACAAAAATGTCAACAGTACAGTACACCAGGTACAACAGTAACAATCCGATAGACATTCTAATGGAGAGACGGTTTATTTTTTTGTATTGTGATCAGAAGTAAAATCGCGTAAGTTGAACATGTTCGGAAGCTAACTACGATAACCCATAAGGCAGGAACTTACCCCATTGCTGAGGCTAATAGTTATTTTTATGCCTCTCATGTCCCTTTTTTGGGAAGATCTGTCGCACGTTAAGACCCAAAACTCACCTGTTTCTCCCTTTCTTCAAATCAGTATAATTGTTTGAAAATCAGTTTGGGTCAATAATGTCATTTGGTCTAATTATAAGTAACTACGTTTCTCTTCTAGTTACATAAGTGGATTTTAGTATGTAATCAAACTGCCTTCACTAGCTTCCCTTCTGATCACCTTCAGCTACACCCTTTAATACAAATGTATCCGTCCTTGGTAAATCGGAATGTTGGGAGGGATCCCTTCATGTCTCCATTTATGTCTTTCTGTGTCTGTTTTATGTCATTGCTTCTATCAATCCCCAATATTCTATTTAGTTCTTTGTATGCTTTTTGTGACTGATCACATTGAAGTCTCTTTTACCCTCTAATCAGATCAGTGATATAATCTCAGGTGGATATCGGTCTTCATCTATCTTTTCCATCAATGTTTCTCTCCTTAAATCCTTACGTCTACTGTTCTTCCTCTCTCTTTTCCCATTTGCAGTCAGTGCCTTTTAGTGTCCTTTTGTTTGAACTCTTTCCACTAACAGAATTAGTAGTCGGCACCCATGGTACGCACAATAGGTTGGTGTCCCTCCCTGTAGGTAAAATATATATTTTTAAGACTGGGGTCATTGATTTATACTTACTGTATCAGTGTCGCTGTGCTAAACCCTGTCTGTTTTCCTTTAACAAGGAAAGCCTTGGTAAGCAATACATGACAGTACAGGGTACTTTTTAAGATTTTACTAAACTTTCTACTGTGGATCCCAAGCAAAGTTACAGGACATATCCAAAATTAAGAGGTGCCCAAAGAAATACACTTTGCAGATCTGCAGTATGCGATTCTACTTATGTCCAAATAACTTTAAATCACTAACGTGCTTCGATGTGGGATGTAAGATCACTGTTGATATTAGCATATCGTCTTTGTAAGGGGTTAAAATATAACTTTCTAGGATCCAATATCACTATAATGTGAGAAAATACTATTTTTCAGAAAGGGTAGTATAAAGCCTGATAAGCCTTTCAGGTGAGGTTGTAAAGACTGAAATAGTTGAAGAATTACTTGGAATGTCCGATAGACTGTCCTTAAAGCACAAATAAGCATCGGTCCGAGATTTCATAATGGACTGATTCATTGGGCCAATTGGTTCTTTGTTGCTTGCACAATCTACGTTTCTGTACATATAAGGGCATTGCATTTTATTTTATGTTTTTATTTTAAGAATCTTGTATGCAAACAGCCTTGTTGAAATAGTGATGGTTTGATAAAAAATAAATAAAAGATGTGATGTTCCAGCATTGATAAACATGGCAAAATAGAGCCTATCAGAGGAAGGCATCCTGCTGTTAAACTCCGACTCCCAACATCCACATTCAGCAACAACTTAAAGGGAACTATTACGGAGAAATTACTTTTGACACATATTAATATATGCTACTAGGCAAGTTAACAGTAGGTATAATAGCTCTTTAGTTTAAAATATAATGAGATTTATATTTATTTTTTAGATGAACTCACCAAAATAATTTATCAAAGGGTGAGTGTCAGTGTCCCTTCTCTATTTAGTGTATTTACAGGAGTATAATGATTGGAACAATTGCATAAGCTGATTGCTGTCTGTAGATACTCTGAGAACAAAGCAACTGGCACTGGAGAGAGAGGAAAATAACCAGAAAAAAAGCAGATTTTGTTTAAAAAAGTTTAACTAAGGGTCAAAAAAATAGAAGTGTTGTTTTCATAGACTAAAGAGATAAATAAAAAAATTATTGAAAGTTAAAACATTTTTAATAAATAACAACTAAATCAATTAGCGAAGTCTAGGAAGGAAAATCATCTTTTTTTTAACTTATTTTACTACTCTGACAAGTTCAATTTTAGTAATATATAGTGCAACATATAAAAAAAATGTTTTCCATGGTTGTTCCCCTTTAACCCCTTAAGGACACATGACATGTGTGACATGTCATGATTCCCTTTTATTCCAGAAGTTTGGTCCTTAAGGGGTTAAAAGTGCCAGGTTGCCTACCGCTGGCTGACACCATATTCTAGAATTCATGAGGACATCCTTTTCACCTGCTACAAATGAAAAAGAATTCTGTTAATCTACATCTACACGGATCGATCCGTCTACGATTTACATGACAAATTCATTTGTTCAGAATAATATGACTATGATTGGTGAAAAGGATTTGTGTGCAAGTCTACTAGCCATGCGTGTTAAGGGGTTCAATCAGCACATGATGTATGCTTAAAGGTAATCATTTGAAGTCTCTGTATGAACAAACCATTGTTGTGTGTTTATTTCAGTGCTTCTTCATTTTACAAAGTCTCTGCTCAACAGCAAAAGATAATATTGACAATGCACCAACACATCCCACCATAGCCTAACAAACAAACGCATTTAGAGTGTTACAGAGAAAATGGAATAAAGCAGATGCTTTTTTTGTACATTTGTATAATTGTCTGAATATGATGTTTTGTATGAATTAGTTATCATTTGAGTAGGATATAAAATTGTGATTATTTGTCCTGCCTCCAGTTAAAGCAATTTTGCTTGTCCCTTTTTAAAAAGCAATGAAACGGGCAAGTGCGTTCACTTGTAACTGAAGACAAATTAAAACAGATTTTCTCACAAAATGTTCAGATTTTTCTTAATGTGTTATAATATTATAGGAATACCTTGGGAACACTACAGGGGGGAGGAGGCACGTTTTAATCGTTGGCCCCTAGTGTTAGTTGAATTGCTTAGGTTTCACAGCCCCCCTTTTATTTAAAAAATAATAATTAAATAACCCTTTACTTATCTTCAGTCCAGCGTCGAGAGAGTCTCTTTTGAGCAGCCCAGTCATGCTTGATGATCATTTTGTCCACTCAAATGCCTCTCTAAAGAAGCATTGTGGCCTTAACATGCTTGCACAGTAATCACCACTACGTGCCAATCCAATGCTTCTATCAATCAAGAGCTGAGACAGACTTGGTTCTCACTACATAGGGACCACCTAGTGGCAGTCAGGGAAACAGCCACTAGAGATCTGTTTAAACTTGCAATATAAATATTACAGTATCTCCAAAATGACAATGTTTTACATTCCTGGCAAAAAACCCTGGGGTCACTGCACCTAGACCACATCATTGAGATGAAGCAATTGATTGGATTTGATTTGATACACCTCAAAATCAAGTTCCCATTAACATTTTTGCATACGTTTGAGTCAACTATAGAGATACTGATAGATTGATATCAATAGGGATTCATCACTGGCAAATCATAAGCCAGGAGGGGACTATCATTGCAGGATCAAAAAACAAACAGATTACTATTTAAAAAAATATATATTTTAAAAATCATATAAAAAATTATTGTGGGTAATCAATGTATATACTGCAGATAGGAGGCACGGGGCTACATTTTACAGATGTTAAGTAATAGGCAGATGCGCTCACCAATTTTATAGTCCCTATTTAAATTAAATATTAAAATAATGGTTCAATGGGGATAAAAATATAATTTTTTATAAAACATATAAAGTAAATAATAAAATGGTCCAATAAGGCAAAAATAAACCTAATAATGAATATTCAGGTCATGCATTCACATAATATGGTGGCTAAATGTGAGCTTAATCATGTAATGAGGTAGTATACTACGGGCAATATACTATGGTCAGTGGATATTTGGGAAAACTAGTCCTCAACCCAAAAGCAATGGGAAAGCAAATTAAATGAATAATTAGCCACTTGAAATACAGCGTTTATTTCTGCCTCTTACATCTGAGCTAGGACCGCATGCACTTATGTTGCATTTGTATTTCCCTAATGTAAGTAACCCCAATGAAAGTCCTACCATTCAAGGTTTAGTAATTCTATGTTATCCTATTCTTATCTCCGGGCAATACCAGGGTAAATACCCAATCACTTTACAAGTACATCCTATGTGATCTGCCAGTAGAGTAGACTTATAGAGGTGGAGACGCTCAACTGATTTTTTAAAATTTTATTTAAAGGGACACTATCGGCACCAAAACAACGTTATCTATTGAAACAGTTTTCTTGTATAGATCACTTTCATTCATTCCATTCATCAATTCTCTGGCATTTAGGAATTAAAGCACTTTGTTTTATGCAGCCCTAGTCACACCTCCCTGCATGTGATTTACAAATCCTTCCTAAACACTTCCTGTAAAGTAAGATCTAATGTTTAAATTTAATTTATTGCACTGTTTAATTTAGAATTTCTTCTGCTCTGTTAATAGCATGCTAGACCCTGCAGGAGCCTCCTGTGTGCGATTAAAGTTTGATCTACAGAGTTAAGAGTAAAGTAAGCTAAAATCTGATTGTAAATGAAACCATTTCATCAGTCACAGACAGGGGAGGTTATGGTTAGGGCTGCATTAACAGAAATAGAAGTGATTTATCTCCTAAATGGCAGATAACTGAGCAGTGAGACTGCAGAGGCATGATCTATACACAAAAACTGCTTCATTGAGATAAAGTTGTTTTGGTGCTTGGAGTGTCCCTAGAGACCATCTGATTGGTGGAGCACCAGCCTCCTAGTGCTTTCCTATAAGATCTTGATGGTCTCAGGAGGTGGGTCCAGTTGCGGAAACCAGCATGGCAAGGGAGAAAAGGTAATCCCTGCAGGTGTAGGTGGTCACTTTAACGACCGCCAGGCACTCTAGCATTAGGAATACATATTGGCATTGCTCATATTATAGCGTTCCTTTTAATGCACACCTTTGGAATGATCTAACACTCATTGTTACTGCAAAGGATCTCCAAGAGGCTCTAGGAGTGTTCACAAAAACACCCAGAGAAATCCAGGATCATTTAAACCCACTTTTATAAATAAAATAAAATAATGGCTGTGATCTGGAGATTGCATCTCCATAGCTTTATCAAAAAGGCACCGGGAGTGGGCACTTATTCTTAAGGAACTGATCCCAAGCGCACAGGCCACATGAGGGATCCAAGGCTGGAAGATACTGCTTATAATTAGTTAGTTTTTTTAACTAAAGTTAGAATTCAAAGTGAATTTTAAATTTAAGGTTAAAATGGCTGAACTGGCCTCATTTTCTAAGTCAGCTATGTATTCTCTGGCATTCAATCTAAAATGCACTTTGAATAACCCTGATAGTGTGACTCACTGCTATCTATTATTGGTACATGCATATTGTAGGTGATGCATGAAAATGTATGACATCACCAGCTGGAGTAAGGAAGTGTCTAGAATAATTGTAATGTGCATTGTCTTAGCTGTCATGAGAATGAACCGCTGGAGGAAATCTCGAATTGCACATACTGGCAATGTCAGCTCCCATCTCTCATGGATGTTGAAGATGGCCCCAGCGATAGTGGAAGCACATCTTAAGTCAGCGTAGATCATGGGTGTCCAAAACACTTGGCAAAGCATCATGGGAGTTATAGCTTGACAATGGGTGGAGATCAATCTTTTGGGCACCTGCGGTGTAGGTGTATAATATATGCTTTGTGGAATTGGATGCTTTCATGACTCTGCACATTGTTTCAACTTGCATTAATAAGATGACTGAATCGGGAATGGGCAGAGACAGTCACAACTAAGGATCCTCACTGAAAAACAAAACAGATGTTATCCCTGTATGCTCACCAGCAAGTGGAGGTTTTCTTGACGCTATCCTGGAAGAAAGAATGTATATATATATATCTAACTGAAGGCATTGCAGACTTAAAGAATTTGTCAATTTCAGCTACTTTGGCCATAAATCTGAAATTCACCTTGCATTCTCACTTTACTGAATAACCGTATAAATCTAAAATAATTGGTTTTGGAAATATTCTCCAATTCAGGTATTTTAACAGCTTGACTGTTACCGTCTGAATTTTGCAATTTAAACTAAAATTGACCAGCTGTGACTATAGAAAGTTGGAGAATAGAACCAATATCAGTGGCTCACTGCTGCCCTCTAGAGGAACAAACCCTTAATATAAAAATGTTTTCTTTTACGCTTTATATTAGCCAGAAATCACAACTTTATTCGATGTTACAATGTTTCTAGTACTTACCATAAATTATAAATATAATAGAACCACTATTCTAACATTGGCCAGTGCATTCTCAAACAAAGAGGTGCTAGGGCTAGAAAACCCATGTGATCTTATCATCACAGGTCTTTTATAGGGGTTAAATAAAAACCCCTTTCCACATCTATGGAGAAGACTAGCGGTTCTTATACTGAGAGAGGTACTCAATACTATTGGGCGCCTCCTGTTGTAACCGCAGCTGGTTCACTTATTTACCACTATAACGTCTTAAAGCATAGAACGTAGCAGGGCTAACCATACAGATATCTTCAGCCATAATATTATATAGTTAGCAAGAGATCCTCTGTTTAAAATATATAAATAATTGAGAATACAATATAAAATAAGGATTGTCTTGGAAGCAATAACGTTTTGTCTTTTAGATATTTTATTAAATAGAAATATAAATACAGACATATAAAATCCATTACCATAATCTATAGCAGAGTTTATAAGATTAAACTATATGCTTGGAATATAATTTTAAATAGAATACCATACCCTCTTGAACATGTCAACATCTCTCAGTCATTATAATATGGAGTGACAGTGTCTGTGTCTCCAAATCTCTCCACTGGGTGTTAACATTTAAAATGTACACATATTTATACCTTAGGTGTCTTCATTTTAGGGATACCGTAGTTCATATATGAAAAAGTAACACTTCTTTTACTTTATTCATTTTAGGATCTTACTTAACTTGGCAAAGATACAAGGCCATAACTAAAACATAAGGGTGCACACGTCATGGGAAATTCCCTGACTTAGGACAAGATGGCATCTTAAAGTCTGAACATCTTTATGTATTTAGGGTTACTGTATTTATAAAATATTTTACCAGGAAAGATACATTGAGATTTCTCTCGTTTTCAAGTATGTCTATTATAATGTATATAATGTACTGAAAGAGTTGTAGCATAGCCTTGAAGCTTGTTTATGCATTATTGTGATTGTATTTTGTCTGGGACAAAATGGTGTAAACATATTATGCACTGAAGGTAGGTAAAAGGTTATTGCTTGAAAAACAATATGTTCCATTTCTAACACCTTGTCAGTTTGCAATATCTCTTAAAGACAAAGTACACAGTTTTAGAAAAATAATATTTGGATTTTGCTTATAACACTGTAATGCGTTCCTTTCCAGAACAGTTACAATGCCTGGGAACAGACAATCTCTGGCTCCAGTCAAACAAAACTACAATAAAATAAATTATAATAAATTAAATAGAAAAAAATACCAAATAGTGGGAAAATAATATCAACCTGTGTTTTATTAGTAACAGCTCGATCAAATTAAAATGGATTATTTGTTGCACCGAATCTAGAACTGTGAATGTGGAAAAATTGTTCATTAAAAAAGCCATTTGCTGACTGCATAAGTATTGATCCTCATGAGTCAGTTCTTGGTAAAATCAGTTGTGGTTACATCTGTGAGCACTGTTTTACCTTAGGGACACTTCAAGCACCAAAACAACTTTAGCTTAATGTAGCAGTTTTGGTGTATAGATCATGCCCCTGCCGTCTCACTGCTCAGTGGTCCCTTTAATAAACATTGTCACAGTTGTACCTGGGGAACTTGCAGAATTTGACTGGGAGTTTTATCATTTAATAATCTGCAGGCATTAATTGTGTTCAGCTTTTCCCCAGCTCTGCCCAAAGACACCTGTTACCGGCTGAGAGACAAATAAAGCGGAAAGATATTTTGGGGCAGACACAATGTTGGTTTGGGAAACAGTAACGGTGATAGCTGAAAAATGACAGACACCAGAAACTCAAAACTAGACATGTGCACAGAGAAAATGTTTGGTGTTTTCAGTCATTCGGTCAACTAGAATTTTTTTTTTTTGGTTTGACCAACTTTTGATGACATTTCTTCTTTTTGACTGAAATCTTGTGAAAATTGTCATTTACCCCCGAATGCTAGTTGATTACTGATCTCTATGGCAAATCGTTAATTACACTCAGTGGCATGAGCATTTCACATACACTGCAATTATAGTCAGAGACACCTGATTTGTTAGCTTACAAGCCAACCAATCACATTGAGTGAGCGCTGGTCCAGAAGAGCATTTAAACAGTCTGCACCCGCTAGAAGTGCAGACCACATGCTTACCCTTCCAGTCCCTGCAGAGAGCTAAACAGGAAACAAACACAATTTTCATGCTAGTATTACACAAACAGCCTGCACATTGAGACAGCTGCACATACTATCACAAGCAGCCAGGCCCACAGGTAATCCAACTCGGTCAACTTCACATTCAATCACACTTAGACAACCACACACACAATCACAGCCAGCCCTCACACACAATCACACACACAATCACATGCAACCAACCCCCAATACACACACACACGCACACTCATCCAGATCTACTCATACATATCACACTAGACCAACCCCACATACAATCACACTCAATCACCAAACACACCCCACTAAGGTGTATTGTCTAGGGCAGGCTTCCCCAAACTCCGGCCCTCCAGATGTCGCTGAACTACAACACCCATGATTCTTAGCTTATTTAATTCATAGAATCATGGGAGTTGTAGTTCAGCAACATCTGGAGGGCTGGAGTTTGGGGAAGCCTGGTCTAGGGGGAGCATTGAGAAGCCCAGTATTGTCTAGTTACACCCCTATAACTGAACATAAGTGGGACTTTTGGCATCTATGGATGATGTGTAAATATTCTAGATGCAATGCATTGTCCTGGTAATAGAGCAATATTTATATACTTTGTGATGTTTGGGGTAAATACATTACACCTGCCTAAAGACCATAAATACATTTAAACACTGCCTACATATCCCTCTGATGTTTTATTTAACCGTAATTGGATCACAACACGAGAATAATTTGAACCAGATGGAGATGGCATCTGTGTTTATCCTGCAGTGTTTTCTACGTTCAAACCAGGAGATTTCTTTGATGTAGCTAATGGAAGCGTTTCGCACGAGCTGCATATTGAATGTTCATGCTTTTAATGCCTGCTGTCCTCTGAACATATTTAACCCCTTAGTGACCACTTTTCAATTTTCTTACCGTTTGGGACCAGGGCTGTTTTTACATATCTGCGGTGTTTGTGTTTAGCTGTAATTTTCCTCCTACTTATTTACTGTACCCACACATATTATATGCCATTTTTCTCAACATTAAATGGTCTTTCTAAAGGTAGCATTACTTTCATCATATCATATAAATTATTATAAAATATGATGAAAAAATTTAAACAAAAACACTTTTTCTAACTTTAACCCCCAAAATCTGTTTCGCATATACAACCGCCAAAAACCACCCATGCTAAATAGTTTCTAAATTTTGTCCTGAGTTTAGATATACCCAATGTTAACATGTTCTTAGCTTTTTTGGAAAGTTATAGGGCTATAAGTACAAGTAGGACATTGCTGTTTCAAAATATATATTTTTAAAATGTATCAATAGTGACATTGTAACACTGTTATCTGTCATACATCTTTGATTCACACCTCACATATACATATTTTTAAAGTAGACAATCCATGATATTCAATATTGGGTATGTCCAGTCTTTTTTAGTAGCCACTTAGTTACAAACCCTGGCCAACTTTAGCATTTATATTTGTTTGTGTGTTAAAAATGCAAAAAAACTATTATGAATGTAACTTTGGCCAGTGTTTGTGACTAAGTGGCTACTAAAAAAAACTGAACATACCCCATTTGCAATACCTTTGGTTGTCTTCTTTTTCAAATGGTATGCCATCATGGGGGTAATTCTCATTCCTGAGCTATGATACGCTCTCAAAGGCAACATAACCAATCTGGCAAATTTCAATGTGAAAAAACAGAAAATCAAGCCTTATATTTGACTCTGTAACTTTCAAAAACACTATAAAACCTGTACATGGGGGTTACTGTTATACTCAGGAGACTTTGCTGAACACAAATATTAGTGTTTCAAAATAGTAAAACATATCACAACAATTATATCGTCCGTGTAAGTGCCATTTTTGTGTGAAAAATAAAAAAAAGTCACTTTCACTGACAATATCATCGCTGTGATATGTTTTACTGTTTTGAAATACTAATATTTGTGTTCAGCAAAATCTCCCGAGTAAAACAGTACCCCCATGTACAGGTTTTAGGGTGTCTTGGAAAGTTACAGGGTTAAATATAGTGCTAGCAAATTAAATTCCCTGGACTTTCGGCCTGGGTTGTCAGGCAGGTCCCGCAAATTGCAATCAATAAAATTACTTAATTATGTAAAAATATTACATAAATATGCATGTATAATTTAAATATATATACATATTTGTATATTTGAAGTCTATGTGTATATTTATGAAATGATTTATGTAATTATGTATATGGACATATGTATATTTCGTATTATTTTGATTTATTTACATATACATAGAAATATATATAATTTCGTTCTATAATTATTTATTTTTTATAATATATATATATATACACACAATATATATAAAGTTATTATATATATTATATATATGCGTGTGTAATTTTACTCTAAGTGTTTTTTTATACTAATATATGCATATATTAATTCAAAAAATACACTTAGTATGACTTTATATATAAGATATATATACATATTATATATAGATATAATATATGTAATTTTTTTTAATTAAGTTTATTTTTTAATTTTTAGACTTTTTAAAACTTTTTTTTCACCAGCAGGGGGACTGCCTGGCAGGCAACACAATGGACGCCTATTGCGGCCATGTGACCACTCTTTCAGAGCGATCACATGGCCCATGGGGTCCTATTTAGCCTGGGCTGGGCTGTCAGACAGTCCCCCCAGTGGAGAAGAACACCGATCGCGGCGGGGGAATGGCGGCGATCGGGTAAGTGAGTGGGAAGGGTGGAAAGGGAGGAAGTGAAGGGGGGGTTAATATTTATTTTTTAAATTAAAAAAAATAAATATTTTATTCTTCACTGAGTGCCTCGACCCGTCGAGGTACTCAGCATGCAGGCAGAGCACCGGAAGCCTGCCTGATGGATTCCGATGCTTTACCTCACTGCTGGGCACGGAAGTGATCGCTTTGGGGGAACATAGATATAGATATATATATATATCTCAATCACGGATGGGATGCGAACCTGGTGCTATATCACCAGGGCCGGATTAACATAGGGGCTGATGGAGCTGCAGCTCCAGGCCCAGGCCCATGGAATAGGCCCATTGATTAAAAAAAAAAAAAAAAAAACTTTTTTTTTTTTTTTCACACACTACTCTTAGGGATTCCACCTGGCTTTTATTTTATTGGCACAGCCATTATTTGGGGCTGCCTGGCCAATATTGCAGTGATACTGGCAATACAAATGCTGGTATTTTTCTCAGTATTACTATGCAATACCAACACTGGCCAGTAGGGGTCACTGTGTGTGAAGACAGGCAGGGATAAGAAGTTCCAGCATATCCCTCCCTGCCTATCTATACTCACTGATCTGCAGGGGAGCAGCTACAGAGAGTCCAGACAGCAACTCCCACCCTGCAGAGACAGCCTACAGCTCAGGGAAGTAAGGGATGGGGGAAAGGCTGCTGGGGAGACATGGGGACACTGAGACACTAAGGGGCACTGGGAGACATTATGGCAGACACTGAGACACTAAGGGACATGGGGAGACATTATGGCAGACACTGAGACACTAAGGGACATTGGGAGACATTATGGCAGACACTGAGACACTAAGGGACACTGGGAGACATTATGGCAGACACTGAGACACTAAGGGAGACTGGGAGACATTATGGCAGACACTGAGACACTAAGGGGCACTGGGAGACATTATGGCAGACACTGAGATACTAAGGGACACTGGGAGACATTATGGCAGACACTGAGATACTAAGGGACACTGGGAGACATTATGGCAGACACTAAGGGACATTGGGAGACATTATGGCAGACACTGAGACACTAAGGGACACTGGGAGACATTATGGCAGACACTGAGACACTAAGGGGCACTGGGAGACATTATGGCAGACATTGAGACACTAAGGGACACTGGGAGACATTATGGCAGACAATGAGACACTAAGGGACACTGGGAGACATTATGGCAGACACTGAGACACTAAGGGACAATGGGAGACATTATGGCAGACACTGAGACACTAAGGGACATTGGGAGACATGGCAGACACTGAGACACTAAGGGACACTGGGAGACATTATGGCAGACACTGAGACACTTAGGGACATTGGGAGACATTATGACACAGACACATGGGGACACAGTGTCCCCATGTCTCCCAGCCAGTGTCCCTGGTGTCTCAGTGCCCCTAGTCTCCCAGTGACCCCTAGTCTCCTAGTGTCTCACTGTCCCCATGTCTCCTAGTGCCTCCATGTCTCCCAGTGCCTCAAGTGTCTCAATGTCCCCATGTCTCCAAGCTAGTGTCCCTAGTGTCTGTGGCCCTAGTGTCTCCTTGTCCCCATGTCTCCCAGTGCCCCCATGTCTCAATGTCCCCATGTCCCCCAGTCAGTGTCTCTAGTGTCTGTGTCCCTGGTGTCTATGTCCCCATGTCTTCAAGTGTCCCCTATTTTCCCAGTGTCCCCATGCGTCCCAGCCAGAGTCCCCTAGTCTCCCAGTGTCACTGGTGTCTCCGTGTCCCTAGGTCTCCCTGTGTCCCCAGGTCTTCCCGTCTTCCTAGTGACATGGGGACCCCGGGATACATGGGGACACAGGGAGACACTGATACGTAGGAACACTGAGACCTGGAGTAATCAACACATGGGGGCACTGGGAGACATGGGGCCACTGGGAGGAATCCATCTATACAGCAGAATCAAACTAAGTAGTTTTTTGGTGATTTTACATTTTCTCTTATGTCACTCCTTGTGATTTACATCATCTGATGTCACCCATACATATTTAATTTTGCAAATTAGCAAGGCCGGTATGTTTTTCCAAGAAAGGTGGCAACCCTAACTACTTTAGTATGGAACCCTAACTACTTTTACAGTATGGAAACTTAAGAGGGATGTATGGGAACAAAACTTGTGTGGACTGGCTGACAATGAATATAGTTAAAGGGACACTAGAGTCAACAGAAGAACTACAGCTTATTGAATTTGTTCTGGTGAGTAGAATCATTACCGTCAGGCTTTTTGCTGTAAACACTGTCTTTTCAGAGAAAATGCAGTCTTTACATTACAGCCTAGTGATAACTTCACTGGCCACTCCTCAGATGGCTGTTAGAGATCCTTCCTGGGTCATGGTTGCCTAAAATGCATCCAAACATTCAGTGTCTCCTCCCTCTGCATGCAGACACTGAACTTTCCTCAGAGATTCATTGATTCAATTCATCTCTATGAGGAGATGCTGATTGGCCAGGGCTGTGTTTGAATCATGCTGGCTCTGCCCCTGATCTGCCTCTTTGTCAGTCTCAGCCAATCCTATGGGGAAGCACTGTGATTGGATTAGGCCATCACTTCTAATGATGTCAGCAGACTGCTTGTTTTTCTGAGTCTAACAGCATGAGTCAGGCTTGAATACAGTAAGATTTTGCTATATTTATGGCATTTATGACATGAGGGGCCCAGGGGGGCTAGATGGTGGTGTTAACACTATAGGGTCATGAATTCATGTTTGTGTTCCTGACCCTATAGTGAACCTTTAAGGTAATGCTGACTTTGGTCTCTCTAACACTGTGGCATGTTCCCTTTCTTCTACACTCACTACATACAGCTTTTCTCTGTCCCAGACTATATACCAGGAGCTTCTGTCTGCTACTAAGAAGGTAAGGAGACAAGTGGACCAGCGAGTGCTCGGGGACAGTCCTTAGAAAGCGTTGAGCGAGCGCATCATTAGATGCATTTATGCCAAGCTCAGGGTGCTGTCTGCATAGTATGCCCTTAGTTGGCCAGCTGCTTGATTGGCAGGCAGTCTGACATGCATTCATGCCAGGCTGGCCTTCTAATTCTTTGGGCAGACATATCCTCTTTTTGGGCATGTTCGCCCAATTGGCAGGTTACGTGATTTGTGTCAGTGGCACACCCTTTTACCCCGCCCATTAACTTCCTGCTTGACTGGTCACTGCTGTTAGGGGTTATGGATTTACTTAAAAGATGAAAACATAAATTAGAGAGAGATTAGCCTAGGGTATGTGTTTTCTTATAGCTGCTGTTTTCTTTCTCTCCAGCACCATCTCCATCAGATTCATGATGCTTGGGAGTGTTTTACTGTTTTTGGTCGATATGATTCTGTAATTAGGCCAGTCATAATTGTCAGCACCAGGCCCACTGGGCTCTTAATCTGGCCCTGCAGCCTGGCATGAATGCATGTCAGGCTGCCTGCCAATCCTGCAGGCTGTCCAACTAAGGGCATACTATGCAGGCAGCACCTTGAGCTTGACATAAATGCGTCTAATGATGCGCTCACTCCATGCTTTCTAAGGACTGTCCCCTAGCACTCGCTGGTCCACTTGTCTCCTTACCTTCTTACTAGCAGGCAGAAGTTCCTGGTATATAGTCTGAGACAGAGAAAAGGTGTATGTAGTGAGTGTAGAAGAAAGGGGACATGCCACAGAGACCAACGTCTGCATTACCTAAACTAATTTTAATGTCAGCCAGTCCACACAAGTTTTGTTCCCATACATCCCTCTTAAGCTTCCAAACTTAAAGGGACACTATAGTCACCAGAACAACTACAGCTTATTGTATTTGTTCTGGTAAGTAGAATCATTCCATTCAGGCTTTTTGCAGTAAACACTGTCTTTTCAGAGAAAATAACTCCACTGGCCGCTCCTTAGATGGCTGCTAGAGGTGCTTCCTGGGCCAGTACTGCCTAGTCTGCAGCACTGCCATATAGTGTCTCCACCCTCTGCATGCAGACACTGAACTTTCCTCATATAGATGCATTGATTGAATTTATCTTTATGAGGAGATGCTGATTGGCCAGGGCTATGTTGGACTTGTGCTGGCTCTGCCCCTGATCTGCCTAGTTGACAGTCTCAGCCAATCCTATGGGGAAGTATTGTAATTTGCTCAGACTACCACTTCTGAGCCAGCAGCTGCAGACTTGAATACAAGTAATATTTTACTATATTTAGGGAGGCAAGAAGGGGCCATGGTGGTGGTTTTAACATAATAGGGTCAGAAATACATGATTGTGTTACTGACCCTATAGTGCTCCTTTAAGCAAGAATATGTGAAGAGTAGTTAAAGGACCACTATAGTGCCAGGAAAACATACTCGTTTTCCTGGCACTATAGTGCCCTGAGGGTGCCCCCACCCTCAGGGTCCCCCTCCTGCCCGGCTCTGGAAGTGGGAAAGGGGTTAAAACTTACCTTTTTCCAGCGCTGGGCGGGGAGCTCTCCTCCTCTTCTCCTCCCATACGGCTGAATGCGCACGCGCGGCAAGAGATGCTCGCGCATTCAGTCGGTCACATAGGAAAGCATTATCAATGCTTTCCTATGGACGCTTGCGTGCTCTCACTGTGATTTTCACAGTGAGAAGCACGCAAGCGCCTCTAGCGGCTGTCAATGAGACAGCCACTAGAGGAATTGGAGGAAGGCTTAACCCATTCATAAACATAGCAGTTTCTCTGAAACTGCTATGTTTATAAAAGAATGGGTTAAGCATAGCTGGACCTGGCACCCAGACCACTTCATTAAGCTGAAGTGGTCTGGGTGCCTAGAGTGGTCCTTTAAGGTTGCCACCTTTCTTGGAAACAAATACCAGCCTTAATCATTTGTATAATTAATTAGTTATGCGTGACATCACATGATGTAAATCACAAGGAGTGACAACAGAGAAAATTCTGTAAAATCACCAACAAACTATTCACAGTTTGATTCTGCTGTATAGATGGATTGCTCCCAGTGTCTCCCTGTCTCCCAGTGTCTCAGTCTCACAAGTCACCTAGTGTCTCAGTGTCCCTATGTATCACAGTGTCCCCATGTCGCCCAGTCCCCTAGTCTCCCAGTGTCTGTGTCCCCATTTCTCCCAGTGTCCCAATGTCCCAGTGTGTCGCCATGTCACAAGGATACTGGGGACACTGAGAGACATGGGGACACTGAGAGACCCGGGGACACAGAGACATGGGGACACTGAGACATTTAGGGAAACTGGGAGAAATGGGGACACTGAAACATTTGGGGACACTAAGACACTAGGGACACAGAGACATGGGAACACAGACACTGGGAGACTAGGGGACACTGGGAGACAGACACTTGGGGACACTGGGAGATTAGGGGACACTGGAAGACAGACACTTGGGGACACTGGGAGACATGGGGACAGTTGTGGACATAGACATGGGGACACTGGGACATGTTGGGAGACATGGGGACACCAGGCACACTGAGACACTAGGAACACAGACACTGGGAGACATGGGGACACTGAAACATTTGGGGACACTAAGACACTAGGGACACAGACGCTGAGAGACTAGGGGATACTGGGAGACTAGGGGACACTGGCTGGGAGACAGACATTTGGGGACACATGGGGACAGTTGTGGACATAGACATTGGGACACTGGGACATATAGGGACACATGGGGACACTAGACACACTGAGAGATATGGGACACAGACACTGGGAGACTTGGGGACACTGAGACACTAGGGACACTGGCTGGGGGACATGGGAACATAGTGTCTCCGTGTCCCAATGTCCCTATGTCTCACAGTATCCCCATGTGTCCCAGTGTCCCCTAGTGTCTCAGTGTCCCCTAGTGTCTCAGTGTCCCCATGTTTTCCAGTGTCCCCGAGTGTCTCAGTGTCCCCATGTTTTCCAGTGTCCCCAAGTGTCTCAGTGTCCCCAGGTCTCCCAGTGTCTGTGTCCCCATGTGTCCTAGTGTCTCAGTGTCCCCTAGTGTCTGTGTCCCCATGTGTGTCCTAGTGTCTCAGTGTCCCCATATGTCCCCTAGTGTCTCAGTGTCCCCTAGTGTCCCCATGTTTTCCAGTGTCCCCAAGTGTCTCAGTGTTCCCAGGTCTCCCAATGCCTGTGTCTTAGAGTCTCATTGTCCCCTAGTGTCTGGTGTCCCCATGTCTCCCAGTGTCCCTATATGTCCCAGTGTCCCCATGTCTATGTCCACAACTGTCCCCATGTCTCCCAGTGTCCCCAAGT